AAATGTGAAAATACTCGCAATACTAATTCTATTAAAAATATTTTGTCATGGTTATTTAAATATCGAGGTGAGCGACACATGTTTCGCGAGATTCATATCAACCTTTTATCAAAAATGGCTCTCACAGTATTATTCAAAGGGACATTAACTAAAATTTCATTATCGCATTCCCCTTTTTTAATGATTTCCATTTTGTTAGGGTTGTAAAGAAAAACAATAAAACATTTACAATTCTATAAGGATAAATGATGCAGTTTGTACAATACTGTTAAAAAGACGCTTTAAACAAATAGGCCAGGTGCAATAATGATTGATTATTTTAGTGACGTGATAATCAAATGACGTCATAGACCATCCGGGGCCTTGCTAGGAGCGAGTTAAGGGCAGGGCCTGATAGAGGGGAAACGGGGATACAATAATCAGTGTTGTTTTGTTTTGTTTTTCTGTTAGAAAATTTGATGAATTCACCTGCGTACCATCGTTTAGGCAGCTATGCGTCTGAAAATGTCTAATTGCGTTTGGAACTTATTCACCAAAGAGTAAATTATTTACAGTTTGTATTTATTTCTATCCTACAGGCCATAAGGCCCACTTACAGGTTGATAACAAATAACTGTTTACAATAAATTACATACTTCAATATCACAGACCAAATGTTAAAGTATCAAACAATACATATATGATACATAAAACAGACTATGTGTTATGAATTAAAACTAATTCTGATTCATTTCTGTTTTAAACGTTTAAAGTGATCCACTAAAAAGACTATCTGGCTGAAATTGAGGAATCTCATTTTTTTCTGACACCTTATTGAAACAATGTTTTTCCTTACGTCAATACGACTCTAGGTGGGATAAAAACGCATTGTACAGCTGCACCTAAGAGATCTGTTTGGAACCTGGACAGTCGAACATACTGTTTATGCAATTAAAAAGGAACAAATGATTTTAATACATTCCACGTTTTGAAAGAGGTGGTAAATTGAATAATCACATATTAGCACGGATGTAACGGTTACGTAACAATCAGCTGGCATCATACATCACGTGATGTCACTAAACAATAATAACATCACGGTCAATTCCGTCAAGCTTCGGAATTGTTCCCCGAGTGTTGACGGAATTGGCCGAGATATAACGACTAGTTAATGATGGTAATTACTATTGCAGGGCAAATATGACTTCCGAGAAGAGCTCGAGGGCCGTCATCAAAAACGCTGACATGTCGGAAGAAATGCAGAACGTAGCGATCGAATGTTCATCACAAGCTATGCAGAAGTACAACATTGAGAAGGATATTGCAGCTTACATCAAAAAGGAATTCGATAAAACATTCAATCCTACCTGGCATTGCATTGTGGGACGTAACTTCGGAAGCTACGTAACACACGAGACAAAGCATTTCATCTATTTTTATCTCGGACAAGTCGCCGTCTTGCTTTTCAAGTCTGGATAAGTTTGTCATGTGCGTTGTACAGGACTGTTTAGTTTAGGGTGTTAAATCAACGTCAAAAGTGACGGAGTCTTTCACATATAATAAGAGAAGAAAGTGTCGTTCCACCTGAGATACACACCAAGTGCTGTCAACATTCTGAGACATTTTTGGTACCAATACTATAGTTAACTCGAGGAAATTTGTTACAAGTTGCACATTTCCTTTCTTAGTGTAACGGGTTGTTATTCCCGCGAAATATATACTTCACTATGGATATTATCTGACATTTCGCGAGACATACATAATGTATGTACATACTCACTTCCAAGATATTGCTCAATTAGTGAGAGACGTGTCTGTCTTTTAAATGTTAGCGATATACATACATATTATACACGCACTATAATATAGATTATGACCTCTGTTACTTTTTAATAAAACATATTTTGTTTTGTTTATGTCAGTGTATTTTCCTTGTTTATTGAACAAAGCGTGTAGTTAGAGAATATCGTTTGAGAGTATTTCACGGGTTTGTTTCGGCGTCAGACGATTTGTACTCGCGAAGATTTGCATTCACAAAATGAACATCGACAGATGTTATCATGTATACATCACAGATACCCGAGAGTTTATTTAAGTTGGGATGTTTGGACCTATCTTGATGTGTACAGAGTGATATTCGATATTTTAGGGTTTTAATCAACTCATGGTAAAAAGGCCACTCCCGTGATGGTACCAATATATGTACATGCATGAAGGTTGAAAAGATCGATGTCGGAAAGTCAACCTTACTTCCTCGCATCAAACATCACATTTCTAATTGGTGTACAAAACTTGCTAGATACCATTGACAAGGTAGATCATTTGTCCTTCAGAAACCTCCTCTACACGCAGAATGTATTCTCCTTCCGCAGACATGATCACTGTTTCCTTATAATACAAAAACACCTTTTTCGCATTCATACTCACATCATTCCGTGTTCATGAGGTAAGGTCATGCTCGACTACTAATCAACTAGCTGATATCTATAATACTATAAGTGGCAATTTAGACCAAGGTAAAGATTTGCGTTTTGTTTTCTGTGACATAAGTAAAGCATTTGATCGAGTATGGCATTTGGGCCTATTATATAAACTAAAAACATATGGTATTAAAGGTAAATTATATAATTGGTTTAAAGCTTACTTATCTGACAGAAAACAAAGGGTTATCTTTGAAGGTTATAAATCTAGTACCAAACCTATGTCTGCAGGGGTTCCTCAAGGATCTGTCCTTGGTCCCTTCCTCTTTCTTCTTTTTATTAATGATATTACTAATAATGTAACTTCTCATATAAAACTCTTTGCAGATGATACCTCTCTCTATGTAATAGTAAATAATAACAATGACCTTACAACACCTACTAACATGCTTAATGATGATCTTGACTCAATCTCTGAATGGTCAAAGCGATGGCAGATCCTATTCAATCCGAATAAGACTGTAGCTATTAACTTCTCTCGTAGACACATTAACAATCATCCTCAACTGCTATTTAACAATACTCCAATTGCACAACATGAACACCATACTCACTTAGGACTAACATTTAACAGTAAAGGGACATGGTCAGATCACATTTCAAATATTTATAAGAAAGCGAACTCTAGACTAAGTATTCTTAGAATTTTAAAAACTACAGTTGATAGGAATACATTAAAAACATTATATGTCTCTTATATAAGACCTGTGCTAGAATATTCTGATATAGTATGGGATAATTGTACCAAATCGGAATCAGATCTTTTAGAATCAGTTCAACTAGAAGCTATGCGTTTAATTACTGGCCTCAGACGAGGTACATCTCATCATATTCTGTATACTGAAACACAACTTGAAACATTACACACACGAAGACAAAATCATAAACTAACATTAATGTATAAGATTCTTAATAATTACACTCCAACTTATCTCGATAATATCATTCAACCATTTCTAAATGTAAATAATAACTATACCTTCAGAAATAACAGATTCTTTAATATACCACAGACAAGAACTACTACTTATATGAATAGCTTCTTCCCTTCTACAATGGTAAAATGGAATGCACTTGATAGCACTGTACGAGACTCCATCTCAATTTCATCTTTTAAAAAGAAACTTAAAAAAACCTTTGATACATCCGTCTCAGAAACTTTTATTAACTGTGTTCCGAGGAAACTTAACATAATTTTATGTCAGCTAAGAAATTTTAAAAGTGATCTTAACTGTGATAAGTTACAAGACCATCTGATTGATGATGCTTCCTGTGTATGTGGTGTACAGAGGGAAGATCTAATACATTTTTTCTTTCAATGTCCTCTGTATTCTAATATTAGGCATCATATTACCACTATTTATAATCTAGTAGGATATTTAAATCTGCACTGTTTAGTATATGGTATTAGTAATGCATCCAACCAATTAAATAAAACTATTCTTATACATGTTGACTCTTATATTAAATCATCAAAACGTTTCGTTACTTATACGTGCTAGATAAATTTCCAAATGAATATTCATGTATTGTTATAATTATTGTTATTCAGGCAAGTTTTATCCCTTAAATAACGAGTATTAGACATAAGCTGGTGTGGGTGTGGGTGTGCATGAGTGTGAGAGGAAACGAATCACAACATTTTATATATTTAAGCATTGTACATATCTACCGGAATTAGAAGAAGACTGATATAGGCAAAGCCTGTTGTCTTATTCTTTTGTCAATACTGTTCAAATATCTCCTTTAATGTTAACTTATATGTTTGTATTATATATGTATTGTCAATAAAATACTTTGAAATTGAAATGCTCGAGCGAGCCTTACCTTGCTTAAAAAGCTGTGTCGGGAAAGATATATGTAGATTCACAAAATTACTTGCCAACAGGATAGAGGGTTCGCTCAAGCATGACACCAACCTCAATTAAATTAAATTCAAATGCATTAACGAATGCACATTGCATAGAGGCGTTTAGAAATATACATATTGCACAATACTTCACAAATATCTTGTACAATGGCGGAGAACATATGCAATCATTTCGATTCCATACTCAACAAGCATGGCATACACCTAATCAATATGGGGAAAATGGTTGATTTTTCTACATCGACAGCTTTTTAACCTTTTATTATATTGTACCATCATTAGGGAGGGCCATTTTGTACCGAAAGATTATTTGAACCCCTTGGTGGGAATGGGCCTCGAAACCTTTCGTAAAGGTTTGCTCAATTTTATATAATTGCAATTGATGGTAATAAAATATGATAAAACAAAACCAATTTGGAAATTGGATATTGACCTCTTTACGAGTGGTTAATTTTCGCATACCGATAAGGATACACAAATACACGCAGCGTGTGAACACTAAGCAGGTATCAGTGGTAAGTACTTCTCTAGAAATCTTTATTATCAAAGGATTATTAAACTATATATTGCTATATATAACGTGTCTTACACGCAAGATAATCATACCATGTAAACAAAATCACGCTGAGTGTTGGCCTAACAGGGAAATTAGCCAGCATGCATCGAGGCGGTTACATTGTGACGTCAATCAGTCAGTGACGTCACACTTAGTGATATGTCGCTAAGTGGTAAGGGTAGTTCTGTATCCTACCTATTCGAGATAGTGTATGCAGTACAAACTCGACGAGATTGTCTGGGACTTTGTGGCTCTATAGTAGAACTAGGCTTGTGGCAAGTTGAAAAAGCTGTGGTCGCGAAGGAAATCCCGCAAAAATCAGGGATATGGTTTGCTGCCGTGGATCTCCCTTCAAGGTCAGAGTTCTGTTGGAAATGGGTTGTGTTGAATGAACAGAAACATGCGATACGGTGGGAAGAGAGACCAAATAGAAACAGCAGGACAGGCGTTTGTCATGGCAGACTACAGACTTCTTGGAACGGTGGCGAAATTTTGTCTATATCATGGAAACAGAAATACCAACATATTGGTAATTACTGATTTATACTAACGGGTAAATGGATCATATTTTTTTTTTTTTTTTAGGAAATTGTCTTATTTTTGAGTTATGTGTCACAGCTTGTCAAGACATGGAGCCGTGTCTTACACGCTTCGGCTAGCGAGAACTTCCTTTTAGCGCAACTGGTAAGGCCGGCGGACTCAAAAGCTGTGGGTCGCTGGTATGATTCCCGGCGAAATCTCACCATCCTCTTTCCTATTACAAATGGCGTTCATGGCTCCACCTGTGGTAACAGGGAGTTTGACCCTGGGTTAAAGTGGTGTTTGGCGACGAAAAGAAATAAAAAGGAGGAGTGTAGTGTCAAGTACCAATAGATAGAGTACTAGATAATTGGTACAGCTCCAGTGCCGTCTTCAGAGCTAAAACGGTCATTGTCAGACGACGACCCGAAACATGCCACAAAAGCGACGAGTTTTATACGTTTCTAAACCGTTTACTTATATCGCTATTTACATAGATATAAGTCAAACATAATGAAACCATGTATCTGAATATTTCGGTTGGCTTACATTTTTTTACAGGAGAAAGAGAAATAAAAGAGAAATGCAACGGCCAGACCGGAATTCGAACCCGGGACATCCCAAGCTCTGAAAGAACGCTCTACCAATTGAGCTAACTGGTCGCCGACGATCGACCTAGTCCAGTTCCGATACATATTCTTTCAGCAAAATTTATTTCTGCAAATTGGAGTAAGAAAATATAAGTGCAGTTGTTCCTTTCCTTGCAGGAATAGACGACACGGGAGATGAATGTGAAGAGGAATACAGCTCCGCCCCTCCGTTAGACATTATAAAAGGTTGGGCGGCAGACGACGGCGACATTTTAGAGCCAATGCATTCTCGTCTATCAGAAAGACCGTCAACAACAAGACACCAAGGGAACCACCCGATTGCCATCCAAGTGTCGGCCCAGGAAGCGATTCGCCACCAAACTACACTTGAGAAACCAACTTTGGAAGCAATAGAAACATCCAAGCGCAGTTTACCGCCAAAACTTCAAGATCATTTAATTCGAAGTATATTATCTTGGGTCACAGGCTTCCGGGACTTTATAAATACCCTCATTGAAATAAATTACAGCTAAGTTAATATATTTGGTTGTTCGTTATATCGTTATATCGTTAAAATAAATTTTGTTTTACGGTATATATTTTTTTTCTGGCGAGATACTTAATCCAGGTCCAATGAAACAAAGGAATAAGCAGTTTTTGTTCCTTGCGTCAATTCGAATTTCCGAGAATATAGTAGTAAAAAGTAAATGAACCATTACAAAAATAAGTATATATTCAAAACTAGATAAATTGCAGTAAAATGTACAAAGTTTATTAAGTAGTGCAAGACAACCATGTCGTTTAACTGGATATGAAGTTATCGGTTGGACTTAAAATAAGACCTGTATAATAGCCGATATCTATCACAACATATCAGTCGTAAATCTGAGCTTACCGGAAATGTCCGAGATGTAGCGAGAGGGACCTAACTTTGTACGCAAACAACGTTGTCATCAAAATATTTCCCAGAATGCAGCCCGGTCCCGGCAATGAATCCTAGGATAGATTGGTAAACTGTGAAAATAGGACTACATCTGCGCAAGGAAAGATAAACGTATTAAAAAAATAATAAGTTATTGAAAAGCCCCTTCCAAATTATAGGACTTAATATATCTAAAATTGGTATGCACTTAAGCTCATTCGAATGATAAATTGTTTCGTCACTGCATGGTGAAATTATTTAAGGGTCGACTCATGTGTTCACCCAGTGAACCGAGACTTGCATGTCCAAACCAATACCAAGTCCCAGAACACTGGTACTTGTGTGTTCAAGGATATACTCAAGGTCGTCCAAATTGACTTCACAGTCTTTAAAAACGAACTTCGGATTTTGTCTGCACCGTCATCTCTCAACCGCTGACACTGATTTAATACATACATGTACATGTACATAGGTATACGTGTACTATTAGCACAAGACTTTGCGAGATGTACCATGCGAATGATTAAACAACTAGATTCAGATCAGTACTAAACAACTTTGAAAATTTAGTAAAACTTCGAAATATTTTGCAAAACTTCTATCTGTATATTGAAAATATTTAAATCTTGTAAAAATCTTGTAAGTTACAAAATATTACTTGATACATAAATATGTAAAGTATGACAAGACAATTACTCACTTATCACCAAACGGGTCCATCCATTCTAACTCGTGTCCAAAGTATGTGCTGAACCGCTAAAGATTTGTTTTAGAAACTAAAATCATATCCCACAATAGTATAACCAGATTGACAAGGTCACAGCTAGGTGTCAAATGTCAACTTACTATGATACCTGTCCTCATTATCAAGGTCACAGCTAGGTGTTAAATGTCAACTTACTGTGATACCTGTCCTCATTATCAAGGTCACAGCTAGGTGTTAAATGTCAACTTACTGTGATACCTGTCCTCATTATCAAGGTCACAGCTAGGTGTTAAATGTCAAATTACTGTGATACCTCTCCGCATTGTCAAGGTCACAGCTGGGAGTCAAATGTCAAATTACTGTGATACCTCTCCGCATTGTCAAGGTCACATCTAGGTGTCAAATGTCAACTTACTGTGATACCTGTCCTCATTATCAAGGTCACACCTAGGTGTTAAATGTCAACTTACTATGATACCTGTCCGTATTGTCAAGGTCATAGCTAGGTGTTAAATGTCAACTTATTGTGATACTTGTCCGGATCGTCAAGGTCACAGCTAGGAGTCAAATGTCAAATTACTGTGATACCTCTCCGCATTCTCAAGGTCACAGCTAGATGTCAAATGTCAAATAACTGTGATACCTGTCCGCATTGACAAGGTCATAGCTAGATTTCAAATGTCAAATTATTGTGATAGTTTTCCGCATTGTAATCTTTTTTTTTTTTGAATGGACCACTTCTTCAATACGGGTGAGGGAATTCGTCTTAATTTAGAATGGAGCATCCTCGGGCGGCGAAGCAAATTCAATGTTGTAAAAATGATGTGTCCCCCTGGCAATAGGACACAAAAAGGTGATATTTGAAGGACCGTACTCTATAAATACAAATAAAGTGATCGTAACCCAATAAGGCATGAAGTATATATTGGCAAAGGTAATAAGATGTTATAAAGATTACAATTGTGCCCACAAGGGACAGACAATTGGGGCCGATAAGGAAAAATATGGATTTATATTTCAAAGACTTTTCCTCCAGTAGGATTGCATGGATTTTGAATATCCGTAAATGAAGAGACTTCCAAGTTTGCTCTGGAGCCCAATGAAGGAAACTTGATAAAACATTTCAATTTCTTCTCAAACTACATACCGGTTTTTGTCTGTAGTATGGTTAACAAGAATTCCACGGAAGTGGATGTGTCGCCTGCGCAGGAAGCTGGGAGATTACGAAGAAATAGATACACTTTTCATTTCAAGAAATAATGTTAAAAGTAAGCAATAATCATAGATTATGTTTTTGGATGGCATCATTTTGTTATAAAATCTGTTATTCTGGGAAGAATACTCTGAGTTTAAAGGAACTTGCTATGGATACTCATTGTCTCAATTCCAAGTTTAATTTGTATGATTTGTCGGATGGTTTCCCATAAATAAATGAACAAACTTGTGGATTATGATGTTACACAGCTAGTGTTGTCAATAACATTTGGAGTAAGACGGCATGTCAGAGGTATACACGGTGAGTCAAGTGGTAGATCGAAGTCGTCCAGTATACAGTTTTAGTGAAGTTTCTATTTATAGTAACAGTGACCTTGACCTTTGACCTTCGGACCTGAAAAGCAATCGCAAGCAAGCATGTTTGGTAAGGAAGCACTGCATGAAGTTTGAGTTTGATTGGCCAAAGGAAACTTAATTAAGTTATCGCACGAAAACAGATTTTATATTTATAGTAACGGTGACCTTGACCTTCGATCTTCGGACCTGAAAAGCAATCCCAAACAAGCACTTATGGTAAGGAAGCACTGCATGAAGTTTAAGTTTGGTCGGCCCAAGGAAACTCAAGTTATCGCACGAAAACCTCTGTTCGGACGACGCCACCGACACCGCCGACGCCGACATAGAGATACCTATGTGTCACCAGCTTTTCGCAGGCGACACAAAAAGTAATGCATGGTAAACCATTTGTGTATACATAAAGTATGGTTGTTTTAAGTGTGCAATGGTTTTTAACATTTTAAAATCTTGTTTTAAATCAACTGTGCACTATGTAAATAATATTTTTTTCGTTGTATACGCAAGACTGCACATGGCTTTAAAGTTCCAATACGTTAATAATTACTTAAATAGCATTGTTATCATAATAGCGTATGTGACACACTATTGTAAACGTGTACGATGCAGGATGTTTGGCTTATAGGGATATATATACTGTAAGAAACAGTTATAAAACGTTTCTAAACAAACCCAAGATTTTTTTTAAAGATTTGAGTAAGGAACAACAACTCTGGGTAGAAACTGGCTTAGGACCCATACTAAGATTCTTCGACTTAAATTACCTTAAATCGCTTAATTACTGGGCCGACACTTTGGTCAATATTGAGTGGTTACTATACGGTTTCTCGTGATCGGCGGACGCAAACGTTTAGGCGCCGTACAACAATTTTGTATATTTTGGTGTTTTTTTCTCATAATTCTAGTTTGCAGAAATTGAAATCGCAAAGATTTTATTCATGTTTTGCAAATATGATAAATGCCAACGACAACAAGTTTAAATTGTGACGGGACCATTACAGTATTCCCCCGAAACTGCCTCCATAGTCGCAAACAAATTACTATTTAAAATAACAACGCTTAAACTTCAGCCGGTCCAGCTGAAGTTTAAGCGTTGTTATTTTAAAAAGTAATTTGTTCAAATTAATTGACTTACACTAAAACATACAAAATCTAACGTGGGTCGATTTTCATCGAATGCAACACCTCATTTAGTATGTGTATGTACAGGTATGTTCTGACATTGACAACACAGTCATTCTGATGCATGATTTGCGACTATGGAAGCAGTTTCGGGGAACTACTGTAATGGTCCCCGTCACAATTTCTGCAAACTATAATTATGAGAAAAAACACACCAAAATATACAAAATTGTTGTACGGCAGACGACGGCGATATCTTGACCCCTAAATAACCACTCAATATTGACCAAAGTGTCGGCCCAGTAATTAAGCGATTTAAGGTAATTTAAGTCGAAGAATCTTAGCATGGGTCCTAAGCATCGGGAACTTGATAAATAACTTATTGAAATAAACTAAAGCTAGGTTAAACTGTTCTATTTTACATTTTAGTCTTAAAACACATTAAATTTGATGTAATATTTTGCTTTGACCTCGGTTGCTCTTGTGTCTGGCACTAAGTCATGAGGAGAAACTATTAGGAATCCATGTCTCTCGCTAATATTATTTATGGCACAATTAAAGAAACTGACGCAAGTAACAGTCGTTATGTTTTTAGTTTAATACAGATATTTAGTGGACATCCAACCTGTTCTGCAGATGCTTTTTATTCATTGGGACGAGTTATTTTTCTCTAGAATACGTTACGATCCTCAGCTTTTAGGTTATACTCGAAAATTGATTATAAAGAATAAATGTTTGTTTGTGGCTAAATGGCTACAGGTACATCGACTCACTATAAAGAATAAAGTCATTCACGACCATCGTGGCGAGTTGAGCTCGGTGATAAAAGCTGGGGTAGATGAGAAATGATTAATACAAATTTAGGATCCCTTTAAGTCACGCAGTGGTTTTATTAAACTACATATATAAATTATTTCGATCATCTCGAGTTTGCATATTTTTTTCCACAATAGAGATGGCATGACGTCACGACACCTGGGGTCATTTCACACCGAAATTATTCAAAATACAAGAGGCCCAGAGGGCCTGTATCGCTCACCTGGATATGTTTAAAATAATTGGTATGAAGTAAAGGTATAGCACTCCATGGTAGGTGCTGTAAGTACATATGAAATTTCAGAAAGATCCATCCAGTACTTGAGATATAGGAGAACAAACTTCAAACAGAGCCCCACCCCTATGCCCCTAGGGGGGTCATACCCACCAATTATAAAAAAAAATGAGACCCCTTGGCCCAAAGATGCTCCAGACTAAATAAGGATAAAATCCCTTAATCTTGATGGTCGAAGAATGATTTTAAAGGTTTTACCTCTATTTCTCCTATTGGGCCCCGCCCTTCTGTCCCCTGGGAGACCACACCCACTGTGTATACAAAATTTGGTCTCCTTGGCCCAAGGATGCTCCAGACTAAATAAGGATAAAATCCCTTAATCCTTATGGTAGAAGAAGGATTTAAAATGTTTTACCTCTATCTCCCCTTTTGGGCCCCACCTCTCTGCTACCACTAGCCCTCCACCACTGGGTCGTGGGTTCGAGACCTATTGGGGCAGTCGCAAGTTACCGGCCGTAGGTCGGTGGTTTTTCTCCTGGAACTCCGGCTTTCCTCCACCGCCAAATGATTGATTGTTTCGCTTAACTATCTATAGTTCAGTTATCTAGCAGACGAAGAAAAGACAGGAAAATGAGTAGAAGGGATAAAATATGGAGTAAAGAGATATAAAAGGGGGACAGAGAACAGAGGGGATCGAGACACCACCAAAACCTGGCACGTCCTTAAATGACAAAAGCTGTTAATAGGACGTAAAACAAAGCTATCTACTTTGATAAGTCATTTTCAGCTTCTATCGGGCAAATAGTCAGCAAATTTCATCTTAATCATTTCTCCCATAGCCATGGGCAACTGTTGTTATATTTGGAGTTGATTTGAATACAAAATTCTTATCTTTTCTTTAGATTGGCCGAGACATGTTATACTGTTCCCAAACACAACACTCACATACAGTGTATAACAAGAAATAAAAGTAAAAGACATTGCTGTCTTCTCCCTTACTCAGTCTTATTTAATTTTCAGGTTAATAATTAACCTTAAATTACCACTATGGTCACAAGTTAGTGGAAGCATTTGAACTCCTTGTCTAGATATGATAGTAAACATTATAAGTGAACAGATTTTAGAGATTTACCTATATTTCTTAAATAGGATCCACCTAACTACCTACCCCCGGACACGTTTTGCCCATTCATTGCCTAATGGGCATACAAACTTCAGGTTATGTCTCCCACTAATAGCTAGAAATATCATTCAGCACCTGAACATGTCAAGTGTTTTAAAGAGCAATTTAACACAACATTTGCTCATGTTTTTTTGTTTTATTTCAAAATGAATTAACACACTAACAAAATTTACAAAAAGATAATACAAGTATTTATTGTATCCTTTCCAACTTTTTCATTAAGATTTCATTACAAAATAATTCAAAGTGTAACAATACATGAAAAAATTGCCAAATTGGGATGCTTCAATTCATGGCAATATATCCCAAGGTATTCAATCAATGTCATTCTGATTATTCCCTTTACTAGTGTATTGCTGCTAACATTCAAGAGCTTAAAATTTGTATACAAGGTTTTGATATGAAAAAAATACCAAGAGTGAAAAATACATGTTTTTCAACAATTGCTTGATTTGAACGTTTCTTTGCATCATTTCTACGAAAAAGAATCCATTTGTTGAGTTCCTTTCCATACATGAACATCAATTATTCAGCACAGATCTTCAACACAATCTTTAAATATAAAGGGTATACTTGTTTAAATGTTCCATCATTTTTCACAAAAAAGGAATTGAATCCATGACTTGTTAGGCTTTTGCATTTAATCCCATTGAAAAAAAAAAAAATTCAATAGTGTCAGTTGCATTAGTTTTATTGTAAAAATATACATGTAGTAACAACCTTGCTACATCACAACAATTCCCTAAATCCCAACATAATGTGTACACTACTTCTCAGTCCGAAACTCAGCATGGACACTGAGGGAAACCATACGATTTGTTTATGCCTTAAAATGTTGACAAATTACATGATAATAAGTTTTGAACATTCACAGAAAATCAAGGAAGCTAAGAACCATCACAACTAAATCATAACTTTAAACTATCATGCTATTATTGTATTACAAAGGAAAATACTGATCCAAATTGTATCTATGGTAGATTTTGGAAAACTTTTATCACATTAAAAGGATTTCAATTATGATTTAGGTCTTAAATTTTGAATAATATATAATATTGCATGGTAGGAAAATAATGTTCATTTTTTTTTGAAGATTCAAATGTTACCATCAAGTAAGAAAACTGGTATAGAAATATTACTGTTTGTTTGTTTAAATGGTTTTATATCCCCGTCACTAGCTAGCTAGTAGCAGGCAATAACAGAAATGTTACTGTTTGTTTAAATGGTTTTATATTCCCGTCACTAGCTAGCTAGAAGCAGGCAATAACAGAAATGTTACTGTTTGTTTAAATGGTTTTATATCCCCGTCACTAGCTAGCTAGTAGCAGACAATAACAGAAATGTTACTGTTTGTTTAAATGGTTTTATATCCCCGTCACTAGCTAGCTAGTAGCAGACAATAACAGAAATGTTACTGTTTGTTTAAATGGTTTTATATCCCCGTCACTAGCTAGCTAGTAGCAGACAATAACAGAAATGTTACTGTTTGTTTAAATGGTTTTATATCCCCGTCACTAGCTAGCTAGTAGCAGACAATAACAGAAATGTTACTGTTTGTTTAAATGGTTTTATATCCCCGTCACTAGCTAGCTAGTAGCAGACAATAACAGAAATGTTACTGTTTGTTTAAATGGTTTTATATCCCCGTCACTAGCTAGCTAGTAGCAGGCAATAACAGAAATGTTACAAAGACTACAGTTATTTACAGCTATCACCTTATGTTTAAAGCTATTACTGTTTATATAAACGTCCTTGGCTGGTAATACTGTCATGATAACATGGAAACACTACTGTTTTGTGGAGGACTGACTATTTACCGTTTCCATCCTCCATTTATTAAATATATTACGGTATGTATTAAATACAAAATGTGCAGTGTAAATATAATACACATACATGTACAGTGTAAATATAATACACATACATGTACAGTATAAATATAATACACATACATGTACAGTGTAAATATAATTCACATACATGTACAGTGTAAATATGATACACATACATGTACAGTGTAACTATAATACACATACATGTACAGTGTAAATATAATTCACATACATGTACAGTGTAAATATAATACACATACATGTACAGTGTAATACGTTGTTTTTTACTTTTTCTAACAATTGCAATGGAACATTTTTTTTGAACTTCATTCTTTACAATTTCCTGATAAAATAGAGATAAGAATTATAGGTTAATATCATTTCATTCTTCAGTAGAACATATTTGATTTCTTAATACATGTAAACACCACTACAAGTTGTATATATAACATTATTTGGAACACTTTATTCGAATATTCATGTGTAAATACATGGAGCACTTTATTTGAATATTCATGTATCAATTGTATTTAACTGATTGCACAGAAATACAAAGATAGTATTATGTACCATGTAATGAATTATTCTCATTATTTATCTTAAAACTAAGATACAGATTTTAATCTTAACATACAAACACAGAAAATTTTGCTAAGGAGTATCTTAATTTCATGCGCATTGCCATTCTAACCCCCCCCCCCATATCTCACTTTTAAACTTTTATCAATCTAATTATTCAAGATGTAATTATTACATGTTTATTTTAATGCATGAATTTTAATTTCATGTAAGTTTAAAATACCTCAAAAATCCAAAAATCCATTCAAACATTATAACATTGATCACAGTCAATAGTCAATCGCACACAGAAGACTATACACACAGAAAGGTAACCCAATATGATTGATAAATTAATGATAAATTTGACCAAATTTCATTTACTCACTTCAAGAGTAAAAGATCGGTTTTTCATGAAAAATAGCCTTCAGCTTTTGTTTGGCTGAAGTGAAAGGTTTTTCATTATGAATAGCCTTTGGTTTTCATCTGGCTGAAGGGATATGCATCAGTATCAGCATATAAATCTCGTACCATTTAGTAATTTATATAATTGTTTTATGCTTGTGTCTTGTTAATGGGCCTATATCATTTACCTGATATTCATCTCACATCTTTGACCTTCAAAGTAGGTCAATGGAAGTGTTTTTAAAAGTGAATTACCATAAATGTGACATTACATATCTTTACTGGACAATCGTATTACTCTTCACATCCCGAATCTTTATTAGAGATTTTATATATTTTGCTCAGGTAACATGGAAATATGGTCAAGGTTATTCATTTGACCAACTTGATAGCCTTTCATCCAAGCATGCAACTATCAAAATTTCATGACTAAGCCTTTTTGTTATTCAAAGCCATTTAAATGATTTAACAAATTTGACCCCTGTGATCATCGAAGTGGGTCAAGGTCATTCAAAGCTGTTAAGGCTCAATCCAAGCATGGTGCATGCCAGACCCTAGCATTAGTTATTCAAGAGGTGTCATTTGACCCCTAGGCATCTTTGGTACAGAAGAATTTGTTTAAAAAAGATTTTAACATATTTGCCCAAGTGACATTTAAAGTGGGTGAATGTCATCCATTTGAAAAAACTGATAGCAATTCATCCCAGCATGCAGCTGGTAAAATACCATTAAACTTGGGCCTCTTGGTTCGGATAAAAAAAAGATGATGCCGGATGATGGCCGACATCACACCATAGCATTAGCCCACTTGCCCTTTCGACAGGTAAACTAATAAAACTGTAAAAATAATTCTGATATTTTCAATAAGATCATTTATCATATAACAAATTAAACAAAAAAAAAACAAAAAAAAAACAGTATATAACAACAATTCTCTCTTATCTCAAACTTATCCTCTATTGTACTACAGTTTACTTTGTAGACAAAAAAAATGAAATATTCCTGCAACAAATAATCAATAGGATGATTATACTTATTTCGTTAGTTCATTATTGTGCTTGAGAATCCCTGTACTAATGCCAAAAACTGTGCATTTGAAACTATTTATTTGGGCATGACTAATTATTTGATTACTCTTTTCTTAAAAGAAAATTGTATCTTGCGTGAATTTCATGAAAAAAAATAATGAAGGTAAAATAAACAAAATATAATCAGCAACAGTTTTGTGAATACATAAATTCAACTAGACCAGGAGGTGGTCATACCATCATTCCATCTGATGGAGCTACGTGGTCAATAGGAGGAACGTAATTGGCCCAACTGAGCTACAGTTATACCCGGCACAAAATTAAGGGGATATGTCACTGTATATGAGAATCCACAGTGCAGTTGGACAGAGATCCTGAAATACAATACTTTTATCACTGTATTTTTGAAGGTGTTGATCATGATCATGGGATATTGGTTGGTGAACAACTTAAGATATACCTGGTTTATGTCATTATGATGATCCATGTTTTGGTTCATACTGTGGGCATAAGACCTTTATCTGAGTCTTGCTATTATCATAGGATAAGGCCTGGTTCATGCTCTGAATGTAAGATATGACCAGCTGGTTCATAAGATAGTTGGTTCAAGTCGTGAACAATACTAAAAAATCTTGTTCATATCGTAAATATCAGATTTCATTCAAGATATGAACTTGGCACAATTTTCACAAACCACCTTTAAAACTAGAGATGATGCCAGAAAGGCTGACTTATACCCCATGCCCGCACCCAGAACGCTAGCAGTAGTTCTGTGAGCCCAATCTTTAATTGAAAAAGGCAAAGTACTGCAAGGCAATCCATAGTACACCTACCTTAGGATGTAGGATATATAAGTGTACTTCTCGTACTCCGCACCCCGATATTCTAAGATGTACATGGATACCAAATCTGGTTACTCCAGGTGAAATAGCATAGAAGATGTTCCCTAGACAAATTGCTTCGAAGGGTTGAGTTCTAAGGTGAAAGCATAGGTCACAGTGACCAACTTTTTGTACCTGACTCTTTGCCATCTCAAGATGTGTTTGCATACTAAATCCAGTAGCACCTAGAGAAAGAGTACAAAGGATATGTCCCGGACAAAATTTTGGCTAACTTTCGTAAAAAGGGGCACTTCTCCCATAAAAATAGCAAAATCAAACTTTTAATAACAGGTGTAAATTTTGAGAGTGTGTTCACTGTCTCAGTGAAGTTTCATGGAATTTGGCTGAAAAATGTAGAATGTAGTATGAGTTGTCTGGAAAATATTGTGTCTACAGACAGACGGACAGGCTGCCAACACGATTCCAGTTCCCCCCCCCCATACCATACAACTTTGTTCAGGGTTTTTTAACCACTACATATACTGCCAATTAATTAACTACAAAATGTATGCAAATGAAAAGCTGTCAAAAATGTTCAGGTTTGTTAATTAATACATGTATGTACATGTTTTATATCAAAAATTTCATACAAGGTGGACATTTCTCCTTCAGCTATGAGAAGTTCTTCAGTTTCAAGGTTGTTTCTGAACTTGGGTCTGGTCTGATCTTATATCCAGGAAAAAATCCAGGTCTTATCTTGTATTCAGGAAACAAAGTAGTTTTTATCTTACATTTTAAGACTTGAGTTCAAGGCCTGTAGTACGGTACAAATCTCTCCACACGGGCTCTACACACTGGACAGAGAAGAGGTGTGGGCAGCAGGTCTGTACAGTCCAAACAAAGACATATATGGCCGCAACTGATGAGGACCACCTCCCGTGGATTTGTCAGACAAACCACGCACAATTCTCGGTCATCATCCTGCTCCTCTTGGTCATCTATGACATCACCTCCCTCTGGATTCCCCTGCTGGCGGCCGTTACGTGCCCTCTGCTCAGCAGCTTCCCTCCTTGCTCTCCTGTGTTCTTCTCGTACATCTTGTAATAACTGCCTTCGTTGTTGCTCATCCCTGAATTTTGTATACCATCGATACAACAAAAAGGTCAATAAACAAGAACCTATTACCAAGGACATTTTGTAAAAGAATTTTGCCCATTTTGACTGTGACTTGAATTTATTGATAAGTTCTTCCTTACTCAGAGCAGTGACTATGTATCGTTTACCACTGACAGGGGGACGCAGCCTGGCCTTGCCAGCCTCTAATGTGAGTTCTCCTATACCTATTACCTGGGTACCTACGAGTAACATGCGCTCCACTTCATGGAATCCTTTACTTATCTCCCCTGATATAAAATCTATTCCACGCCGCAAAACAGAGGAGTTGACTTGATCAAACTTGTCGTGAGTTGTCATCAGATTATCAGTTAAATATTCGGCACTCCGAGGTTCAGTCACGTAAACCTGATGGTCAGGCTGTGTAGCACCACGGATCAGGAATGGTATAAATTCTGATGTATCTCGTATCGTATGTTTTGTGTCAGTCCTGTAACAAATATAAACAACTAATTGTGGTATCAAGCAAAAGCACAGAGGATCTGTATCGCTCACCTTAATATTGAACAATTGTTACATTAAATATACAGTTTTGGTTCACACAATGTTACACGATGTGTGCACGGTGCGTGTATGAAGGACCATTGGAAATGTACAAATGAAATCTCAGAAAGATCCCTCCTGTGATATTTGAGAAATCGCAAACAAGAATAGTTTAAGGACACATAATGGACCATGGATGAGTTCAAGGGCAATTATTCAAGAAAAAACTCCACACAATGTAATAATTCAAATCTGATCTTATTCTCTACATAAACCTACTAAAAATTCGTCTAAGCTTGTTTTTGGTATGATGACGTATTTTAATCAGATGTAAATTCTGTAATTCCTTGGAGAACAACTCAGCATGCATAATAAAATGAACTTCGAGTTGTGAAAATCTGATAAAGATTCACAAGTTTTTTTGCCAAAAATATCTAGTTCCCAAAACAATGGTGACATTGATATAATACAGTATAACCGAGTGCTAGAATACAGTATCAACATACCAGGTATTCCCTACAACTCGTTTAGACCTATGCTCCACTAAGGAGATGGACTGGACCACGCCCTCTCTGTCGCTGTACCGACTTATCATGGGGTTGCCAACAGGGGCCACTACTCCCGCTATACACACATATGGCATCGTTTTATCTGTGCATTGCTCCAACTCCTTTTCCAGTCCTGTACCAAGTTCCAGATGTGTTGCTTTCTGAAATAAAATTTTGAATTGCATAAATTCACTTGCTTATGCCTGGTTTTCTTAAACTATATCCTACATGTAGCTAACAGATTTAAGTGTTTCTACTTTCACTACCCTAAACATAATACAATTATGTATTTTACAAACTTTCTGTATGCACACAGGGATGAACTAAAGGTCATGAGAGCTCAGAAACTTTAATGTCATCATTGTTTGGGAAGTAAAAGTAAACATTCATTAATTAACATCTTCATTCCTTATTCTTAGTTAATATTAAGTATATCCAGAGACGTACATACTACAGCTCTGGCTTTATAGGTCTCTGGTACATGTATATCCTATATGTAAAACATTTTGTTGTGATAAAAAAATGCAGCAGAAACAAAAGTCAAAATAATTTTGCAAACATTTTCTCCAGATAGACTTCAATCTTTTTGGAATGTAGCAGTATCACAGTGCATAATGTGTCCTATAAATAGATGGGAACAGAAGCTAGTCACATAATGCCATCGTTCAATGAAGAGGATATCAGGATATCGCAAGCTGTAGAGTTAAGAAAGTGATTACATAATTAAACAGTGAAGACTAAACATTGTATAAAGGAGACAGGACCCAAATTGGATCACTTTTTACAAAACTAATCAATAAATGTGTCAACAGATAATTAGTTATAACAATGATGTAGTCGAAGAATAGATAGCCATGAACCATTTGTTATCTTCACTGATGATAAGTTTTTAAGTTCAAATGGCACCAGAAAACGTAATTCAAACTAAAATGTCATTTTTTTGTTTACATTTGTAAAAAAATGGTACATGCGACGACTATGTATTCACCCTATAGATACTTATTTTCATATAAATTCTAAAGGTCATCTTAACATGTTAATATGCTAACAAAAAATATTCATTTGATTCAGTGTAAGATACTGCAAAATTCAAGCCTTGATCCGATTTGGGTCCTGACATACGCAACAACCGGAAACGCTGATTGGTGACTTTAGAGCGTTCTATAAATATCTCGAGTGAGCCCCAGGTGCTAATTTTGTTTGTAAGAACACCCATCGATATTCTTCCTTTGATACAACCATACATATATATAATCAATCCTCAGAATTTTCAATGAATGAATAAAATGATGGTTTGGTGATCCGATTTGGGTACTGTAACAGTAGCTGATTGCTGTTGAATTTTGTTTTGCTTTGTTTATTCGACAAACTAACTAGCTAAAAGACTCAGTTTAACTTCCCTCTGAACGGTGCAGCGCAAGGGGCCTGTTCGTTTATACGGAAGTACAGATTTGTCTGAAATGTAACATTTTCAGGTATAAATCCTTTCTACTTTTCCTTTATCGTGTTCCAAACGGTTTGGACAAATTAAACTAAAATAGTTTTATGAAACAGGGGGCCGGGGCTAGTAACTAGCCTGAGTTTTCTCTGGCCCTAACACTAGACTTAGACATTTTGACACATAGATGTATGGTGTACATGGGGCCGTTTGGTATCGGGGAGTGATCACTAATCAACAAAAAGACACGGTCCGGAAATCTTCTAAAAAAGAATAATATAATACATTTTCGGTCTGGATCAGTACGGATTGTTAACAAGTTGATCACCCTGTGACCTTCAAAAATGGCATTCATTCAGGTGGGAAATTTTGAATGACTAAAAAATCATGGACTCTACTGACAGAATTTAGCAGCTGTTGGTGATAAAAAGAGCTTATTTGGATCAATAAATAAACCATTCATCGATAGAGGTGAGGTATGTGTTGTGTACGTCATAGATTTTTGTTGTAAGCACCTCATAACTTTCCGATTCCAAACGGTGTCGGAGAACTCCACATTTTCATATAGCAGTGCGTTCTGGCCCCACACAAGACATCTATATGTCAAAATGTGTAAGTCTGGAGTAAGGGCCAGAGGAGAGGCTACACTAGTGATCTGATACAGTTTTGCTTTTAAGTTTATGGCAAACTTTGGCAAAGATTTTTTCATAATAAACGTAAATAATTTTGAAACAAAATTATCTTGGGTACGTTGCTATTTCAGACTTGAACACTCTGAAGTTAATCATTTAATAGATAGTTCTTGTTCTGACATTAAAACGAACTTATGGTGGAGTGCCTCAGTACTCGGTACACAACCAAATAGCCATATCCATGGACATCTTAAAGCCCCCATCATGTCTCACCAGGTACGCCCATGCTCATTCATTTCAAGTACCTTGTTGTAAAACCCAGGTCAGAAAACAGTCATTTTTCCCACGAACAATATCTGTTTGGAACCGCCTCCCTCCAGACATCTGTACAACTTAATAAAATAACTGCCTTCAAATCCGCCATAGCTAAATTACCAAAAATCCATAATTATTTATTTAATTATATATCTATTTCCTTGTTTATTTTGATCTCCTTATGCAATGACCTCCAAATAACATGATCTTCAACTTGTTGAATGCGGTTATTATAATGCAGAAGTAGAAGTAGATAACTAAATAGTTTTGACACTTTGATCATGACCTAGTTTCGAAATGGGCCCAATGGCATACCTGAATATCTTCCACATATCGACTGCCATATGTATACAGTTTATACATACAGTAGCCAAACGCGAAATCAGTGGCTATTCCTGTAATCAGCCCCCAGTCTATCGGTTGGAGTACCATCATTGTCGTTCACTTTCACATTGATTGCTGTTGTGTGCCGGTTACAAGGGACCGTTTTCCTTTATCGCGTTCAAAACGGTTGGACCGACTGAATCAACGTATTCTTATGAAACAGGGGGACGGGCTTAGTGATCTGATATTATTTTCTAGAAAACTTTGGTAAAGATTGTTTTATGTTTTGTAAAATATTGACAGATCTTTCAGCGTTATCTTCGTATTATAATATTTCAAAATTAGACTAATCGCTCTCTCCACATAAATGAGCAGGTCCTGGCCATGGTAGCGGGGTATTATATATTTCGGAATTTGGATAAAACGAAAAACAATATATATTACTGGAAATTTATTGCACCAAACGATAAATAATCTAAAGAATCCTTCGATATGAGAAAGTTCACTTTGTTTTTTAAATTAAAATTATGACACTATAACACACAAAGTAAAATATTGGGAATATGGTGCGTTGAAACTATTTCGTAAAATGTTTAAGCTAGCTTATATAATTAGCTCTACTTTCATTTTCGCCGCAGTTTCGATTTCTGTTGAGGAAGCGAAGGACCTGGCAAAGATTCAAGGGTGAGACTTTGCTACACACGTCTTTTTAGAGACGTATATATATCAACAGAATTTGTAATATATAGGTCTCTGGTCTTTCCTGTGAACTGAATATACGACTGGTTATATAATATTATTATTTATCTGTTAACATCTTAACGAGCAAGTGTAATGTGTGTCTGTGAACAAGGGGGGAAACTCCATTATACGGTACTCGGTACGGTCCACGTCATTTCTGCGTGCTCATTGGACAGTAGAACTAGGGAAGTGCCGGATAAGCACAGACCACGCACTTATCATGTGCGCAGCACGCACATGTTAAGTGTGCCGTCCGTAGAGCAAGTGACCGTGGGAAAAATTTAAAAGACTCACGGAGGCAGTGCGTTGTGTGTTCATAGGCTGTAGAAGCACTAGAAGGCAAGCACGTCACCCGTGCTGTCACCCGTGCTGGAGTGAATCCGTAGCCCAACCACATCCCGAACGCATCGAAAGTTCCTCATGCACTTAAAGTGCTACGGCGTCTCTGCGTGCTCCCAAATCCGTACTGAGGTGGTACTCACCACGTACGGATCCCCAAATTTTGCCCACGTTTTGCAAGTAGACAGCACGCACTTGCAAGTACGGCGGGTTGGGACCACGGCTTTAGGCACAGGCATACAAATCATAAGTCCGTCCATCCCTAGAGTATGCCTGTCCTGTTTGGGACCCATACACCCAGGATAACATCGATTGAAATGGTATGATGCAGGGCTGCTCGTTACGTACTTAACAAAAACGTCTACACTCTTAATTATTAGAGCATCCAGTGGCGATCCCTTGCCGACAGACGCAAAGACACAAGCCTATGTATGATGTTCAAAATTGTAAACAATCAGGTAGTTATTAGTAAACACACTAGACTAATACCAGCAACCAGGCAATCAAGGCATGCCCATCACCAATCCTTCCAAATACAACACTGCAGAACCAAGGTCAGAAAACAATCCTTCTTTCCACGATCAATATCTGTGTAGAATAAGATCCCACCAGATATCATATCCTCCTGTTCTACTTCTGAATCTTTTAAATCTGCTCTCCTGTCACTGTACCCTCAAATTTAAATCTATATATATATCATTTTGGCTTTCTCCCTCATGACATTATCGTCAACTTGTTGAAGTTGGTCATTACCATTTAGAAGTATAGAAGTTGCGATTTCGTTGTATGATTATTACATGACAATATTTCACTGTCGATTGTTATTACAGAGGTTTAGCAACGTTAGAGGTATGTGTGAGCTTCACGTACTCGTACAACTATATTTTATGATTACATACAATGACTGTCTGCATGTACGTGTAGCATGTATAGCTGTGACTTTTCAAACTTTCTATCGTAATATGAAAAGGCAAAGCCTAAAAAGAGCATTGCTTTTGTAGATATTTACTGATTCAGAATGAGATAAGTATTATACACTTGCTCAATGAGATTTTAAGGCAGAAATAACAATTAGGGGAGACCGGGGCAAGTTCAGCCCATTTCTATTAGCTCACCTGCCACGAAGGGAGGTGTTATTTAGACAGTAGCATGCTTGGGTGAAGGGCTACCAAGTTTGTTCAAATGAATGACCTTCAATTATATTCAAGGTCACAGGGGTCAATTGTCTTAAAAACACTTTAAACAACTTCTTCTGAATAACCAAAATGCCCGGGGTGATGATATTTGGCCAGTAGCATGCTGAGATGAAGGGCTACAAAGTTTGTTTAAATGAATGACCTTCACCCATATTCAAGGTCACAGGGGTCAAACATGTTAAAATCTTTAAACAACTTCTTCTCAATATCCAAAATGCCCAGGGTTCTGATATTTTGCCAGTAGCATGCTGGGGTAAAGGGCTATCAAGTTTGTTCAAATGAATTACCTTTACCTATATTCAAGGTCACAGAGGTCAAATATGTTAAAAACATTAAACAACTTCTTCTGAATAACCAAAATGCACAGGGTGATGATATTTGGCCAGTAGCATGCTGAGATGAAGGGCTACCAAGTTTGTTCAAATGAATGACCTTCACCCATATTCAAGGTCACAGGGGTCAAATATGTTAAAAACTTTAAACAACTTCTTCTGAATAACCAAAAATGCCCAAGGTGATGATATTTAGTCAGCAGCATACTAGGATCAAGGGCTACCAAGTGTGTTTAAATGTATAAACTTGAATCATATTCAAGGTCACAAGGAGCAAATATGTTCAAAATATAAAAAATAAATAAACAACTTGTTCTGAAAGCATGCTGGGATCAAGGACTACTATGTTTGTTAAAGTGAATGACTTTGACTTATATTCAAGGTCACAGGAGTCAAATTTGTTTAAAATCTTTAAACGACCTCTTCTGAATAACCATAGGTCCCAGGTCTCATGTTGATACTTTGCAAGTTGCATCCCGAGATGAAAGGCTTTAAAATTTGTTCAACATAATGACTTTGTTCGACTTTCAATCACAGGGGTGAAATGTTTAAAAAAAATAACAGGTTCTTTTGAATGAATTTTAATCATAAATACTGATATTTTATTTTGCCTGTAGCTTTATTTTAGATCACTTTTAAGGTTACAAGTGTGAGATTTATACCAGGTGAGCGATGCAGGCACGTCTGTTTTTAGGTCACCTGAGACAATTTAAGTCTCAAGTGACCTATTGCGATCGCCTTTTGTCCGTCGTTGTCCATCGTTTGTCCGTAAACAATTTACATTTTCAACCTCTTCTCCATAACCCCTGAACCAATTTCAATGAAACTTTGCAGAAACCTTCCATGGCCAAAGGTCAACCGAAATTGTTAATTATATGGTCCCCAGCCCGCAGGGGCCTGAGGGGCGGGGCCAAAAAGGGTCAAAAGATCCAGATATGGTATAATAAAATACTCTTCGTATATGGAAGGGTCTTAAGGTGCTACACTAAAATTGTGAATTTCATGACCCTGGGGTCTCACGTTTCCCCCTAGGGAGGGGGTAAACTTTACTATAGTTTATACAGGGAAATCACATTTTGGACCAATATTTGTTTAATTTCCATTGGAAGTAATTCAATTTGGGTTAGCATTATCAGTATTGGATAGCAGTTTGATGGTATGCACATATCAGTCCTGACTGGTTAACCCCCAGGGGCTGATGGGTTGGGGCCAAAAAGGGCCAAATTGACTGAAATTTCAAAAATCTTCTCCTCAAGACCCAGATATGGTAGAATCAAATACTCTTCATAGATGGAAGGTTCTTAAGGTGCTTTACCACAATTGTGAATTTCATGACCCTGGGGTATCACGTTTCCCCCTGGGGAGGGGGTAAACTTTACTATAGTTTATATAGGGAAATCACATTTTGGACCAACATTTGTTTAATTTCCATTGGAAGTAAATCAATTTGGGCTAGCAAAATATATTATTATGGCTTATAATGGCAAATGATACTTTGAATATTACATGTCGATAACTTGATTGGAAATATAACCCTGATTTGACAATTTGATACTTTGAAAATTTTGAGCAAGCCCTACCCCCAAGGGCTGTAGGGCAGGGCCCAAAGGAGTCAGTGTGCTAATATTTCTTCATTTTCCTTGTTTAGAATCAGAGGTGCTAGTTTCAAATACCTTTCAGTCTTAAATCTGTATGCTAGATATTGAATAAGGTGGTTTTATTGTTTTTTGCCATTTTGAATAATATTTCTGTTCATGTTTTAAAAACAAAAATCAACTCTCTGTATAAATACATCAGAACTCTGGTGACCATTAAGGCCATGGGCCTCTTGTTTGAAGAATAATTTCACTTTTCCTGTCGGAAATTAGGCCCCCATTGGAATATGTGTTGCATGGGCCGAACTTGCCCAGGTATCATAGGTTGAACCTGTTCAGGCTCAAATTGATATTTCAATGAATTCCTATAGTATAACAATATTATAATAAGTGCTTGGCTTGGCTTTTATGTATATCATTTGAAGCTGTCATTGTGTTACTCGTTTGACCGTCAAAAACGTAGCACTTTCGTTTACAGAAAGTTCGCATAACTAGAAAGATTTTCTTTCTAACCTCAAAAGTAGCTTTCTCCTGGTAAGTAATTTTACATTAGAGTTTTCCTCGCCATTTTTATGTGATGGCCTTTTTTCACTCATGTATATTAGATGTGAAACAGGAGAAAGAGAAATGCAATGGCCAGACTGGGGTTCGAACCCGGAACCCTCCGAACTCTAGACAGACGCTCTAACCAATTGAGCTACCTGGTCGCCGACGATCGTCCCAGTCGAGTTCCGCTCCTTTCCTTCCTCCTTCAACAATGTCTTTGACCCCAAAGACACACCAGACCTTATACCACCTTCTACAAGGAAAAAGAGGAAATGTAACTGCCAGACTGGGGTTCAAACCCAGGACCTTTCAAACTCTAGGCGGATGCTCTACCAATTGAACTACCTTGTCATCGACAATCGTTCCAGTCCAGTTCTGCTACATTCCCCTGTCCCTCCTCAAAGTCCCTGCCCCAGAAAACACAACTATTTACAACCCAAATTTGGGTATCCCTTTGCTAAGCATACTCCCAATGCTTGAAACAAGGGTTGGCAAGCTCGCCAATTTTGCAACAGGAGAACGAGAAATTTAACGGCCAGATTGGGGTTCGAACGGCATATTTACCAAAATGTGATCTAAAACCCCTAAAACGTATAAAATTACTCTGAACACCTTAGTTTAGGTCCAAATATAGCTGTAACAAATTCTCAGGTCACTGTTGGGTTGATTACTTTTTTGCCGAGATTTTTTTTTATAATATTATTCCAGCCGGGGCTGAGGAGGCTGGGTATTATTATTAGTACTAAGTTGTAGTCAGCATAATGATGCATGTATCGGATGAAAAAGGCCATCCTGTGTGGCTTCTTATGTTAAAGGAGCAGTCTACAAATTAAACGAGGGAAATTAAGATATTGTTAATGTAGTGGAACTGGACTGGGTCAATTGCTGGCATCTAGGTTACAGCTCAATTAGTTAGTTGGAGGTCCTAGCTTCAAATTCTTGTCTATCAGACATGCATTTTTCTTCCCCAGTATAAACAAATACACATCTGTGTGATCCATATGAAAAAATGATTCTGTTTGATAAAACAAGTTCTTTTTAAATGGTGCACCTTTTGCCTATGACATTTTATTTGAATACATATATATCACAATGCATTCCTTCTGTTGTGTAACACATGTAGATTGCGATACACTCCAGGCATTTTGTGACACTCTACCAATCCCCTGTCTGAAGCTCTTGACTAAGGCTCCTTTTATGCTATAGAAATTAAGAACTTATAGTGTTAGTACCAACATAATATTTTCACATTTATTAGTTCACTCATATTTGTTTTTGCAAATGTATGCAGATTAATTTTGAAGCTGAGAGTCAGTGAACCTTACCAACAGACATACATTTTTAAGCTGGGAATCATTGAACCTTACCAACAGACATACATTTTGAACCTTAATTTACCAACAGACATACATTTTGAACCTTAATTTACCAACAGACATACATTTTGAACCTTAATTTACCTCAGACATACATTTTGAACCTTACCAACAAACATACATTTTGAACCTTACCAACAGACACACATTTTGAACCTTACCAACAGACAGACATTTTGATAAAATAATCTGTTTTTGCTGCAATGACAGAAATGGTTTATATTTTTGTTTATAATTAAATTCTAAGTGAGGTTCTCAATGATTCAGATACACTTTGTATATATCTAAATATATAATTTGGGGAAAAGGTAGAAAAGTTGACATGGCAATGGTTGATCAGTCATGTAGTAACATGATGGTTACACCTCAATGATCCCTGATGTTAGAAACAGATAAAGATGGTTGTTTTGTATAGAAATATACTGGGTTTGTACAAATTTAATGGACTTTTAAAAAAAAAATAAGAAAATGTGGCATTTAAATTGACTATATTAATGTATAATTGTATGTGCATAAATGAGTAGGTGTGACATATTTTTGTATTTTTGAGTTAGTGTGTGATATGTGCATGGTTTTATCAAATAATTATTATGATTATAACCAATATATTATTATTAATATATTTTTACCAAGTACATTGATTTCAATCCTTTAGTTTGTGTATCGTTTAGATATGTTGACTTACAAAGTCAACAAGGTAAATAGAATTGCACCCCAAATATTGTCACAATGCTTGAAAACATTAGAGATTACCAACATTAAACATTAATAATATTGTCGGTTTTATATATTACATATCAAAATAAAAGTTATTCTAAGTATTTCTAACATTGAACTAATTACATTGTATACAATATACTAGAGAAAGAGAAATACAACAACCTGACCCAGGTTTGAACCCGGGGCCTTTTGAACTATAGATGGACGCTACCCAATTGAGCTACCTGGTTGCCAACAATCGACCCAGTTCCACTTCATTCCTCCCTCCTTTTATTTTAAGTCTTTGCCATTAAAGACACAACTGTGCCATCTAGGTTTAGGTATCCCTTAGCCAATTGCAAGCATACATCCAGTACTTGAAACAATGCGTTGGCAAGCTTACAAATTTTGCAATAGGTTGGAGAAATGCATGGCTAGACCGAGATTTGAACCCAGGACCCTCCTAACTCTAGACAGACGCTCTAACAATTGAGCTACTTGGTCACCAACGATCGACCCAGTCAAGTTCTGTTACAATACATGTATATACATTACTTATTTTTAGGAATTCTCCTAGTTCAGGAGTTTATTGGGGTTTTCCAGAAAACAGACACTGGGATGAAACTTAGAGCCCAATGTGGAGTTTGAAGGAGCAAATTGGGAATGAGGCCTTTAAATATACCGAAAACGATACTCAAAACTACTGATGTCATTTGCTAGAACTACTGCTTCTTTTTACATGTTTGATTTAAGTATTAACCGTGCATGTAAATAGTGTTCGTCTTTTTGAATTAACTGCACATTTTTGCATAGATTGTATACAATATTTATGGAAAGCTTACAAAGTTACATACCATATTAGCCCCCTCCTTGGTAAAAGATTTATATTGCCAAAGTCCAGAACATAGACACATGCAAGCACTTAGTTACAAAGGTCATTTATTCCACAAAATGATATTTATATACTTTTTACTGCCATACTTAGGATGCGACGTTTATTTTTAAAGATGTCGGAGAAAAAGCTACGAATGATCACCTACCTGTCCCCAGGTTTGCCTGTTGAGTTGTTTGAGACAATAATGCAATACCTGGAAGAAGTCACAGAAAAGGAAGCCTACCTGATTTACGAGTCCAGGTGGGCTGGACCACCAAGGGACCGGACTGACCCCTTCACAGCTGATGAAGTGGATATAGGTAAGTGTTTGAGTAATACAGAGATATCATGTAAAAGAAGATAGAAAATTAAGAACATGAAAAATGTAAAAGCAACTTCTGTTGACAAATAAATTCATGAAGGGGATGTTTAAATTTGGTACAAGTTTCTATGTTTTCCTTTTAAAGTTAATTATATATAATTATTTATAACCAAGCACCAATGATACAGGATGCTGACTATAGGCTGGAGTATTTTATACTCATGTAATATGGATAATCAGGTGTCATTGATAGTCAGGTGTCACTGAAAGCCAGGTGTCACTGATATCCAGGTGTCATTGAAAACCAGGTGTCACTGATATCCAGGTGTTATTGATAGTCAGATGTTAGTGATAGTCAGATGTTAGTGATAGTCCATTGTCATAGTCAGGTGTCACTGATAGTTAGGTGTAAATGATAGTCAGGTGTCACTGAAAGTCAGCTGTTAGTGATAGTCAGGTGTCACTGATACTCAGGTGTTAGTGATAGTCCATTGTCAATGATAGTGAGGTGTTATTGATAGTCAGGTGTAAGCGATAGTCAGGTGTTAGTGATATTCTGTTGTCATAGATAGTCAGATGTCACTGATAGTTAGGTGTAAATGATAATCAAGTGTTAGTGATAGTCAGGTGTTAGTGATAGTCAGTTGTTAGTTATAGTCTGTTGTCATAGATAGTCAGGTGTCACTGATAGTTAGGTGTTAGTGATAGTCAGGTGTTAGTGATAGTCAGTTGTTAGTTATAGTCTGTTGTCATAGATAGTCAGGTGTCACTGCTAATCAGGTGTTAGTGATAGTCAGGTGTTAGTGGTAGTCAGGTGTTAGTGATAGTCAGGTGTTATTGATAGTCAGATGTTGGAGATAGTCAGGTGTTAGTGATAGTCAGGTGTTAGTGATCGTCAGGTGTTAGTGATAGTCTGTTGTCATAGATAGTCAGGTGTTAGTTATAGTCAGGTGTTAGTGATAGTCAGATGTTGGTGATAGTCAGGTGTTAGTGATAGTCAGGTGGTATTGATAATCAGGTGTAAGTGATAGTCCATCGTCATAGATAGTCAGGTGTTAGTGATATTCTGTTGTCATAGATAGTCAGATGTCACTGATAGTTAGGTGTAAATGATAATCAAGTGTTAGTGATAGTCAGGTGTTAGTGATAGTCAGGTGTTATTGATAGTCAGATGTTGGAGATAGTCAGGTGTTAGTGATAGTCAGGTGTTAGTGATAGTCAGATGTTAGTGATAGTCAGATGTTAGTGATAGTCAGGTGTTATTGATAATCAGGTGTTAGTGATAGTCAGGTATTATTGATGGTCAGGTGTTAGTGATAGTCAGGTGTTATTAATGGTCAGGTGTTAGTGATAGTCCATTGTCATAGATAGTCAGGTGTTATTGATAGTCAGGTGTTAGTGATAGTCAGGTGTTAGTGATAGTCAGGTGTTAGTGATAGTCAGATGTTAGTGATAGTCAGATGTTAGTGATAGTCAGGTGTTATTGATAATCAGGTGTTAGTGATAGTCAGGTATTATTGATGGTCAGGTGTTAGTGATAGTCAGGTGTTATTAATGGTCAGGTGTTAGTGATAGTCCATTGTCATAGATAGTCAGGTGTTAGTGATAGTCAGGTGTTAGTGATAGTCAGGTGTTAGTGATAGTCAGGTAGGTGACATTATTATACCTCTACTTTATCTACTCTATATAAAAGTAATTGGTTAAATCGAATATATATTCCCACTTTTGCCTGACTGTGTTTTAGTCCCGTTTGTTAGTCTGGGAACTAAAACACACCTACACTTAGGTGTTTCCGCCGAGCCAATCAGGCGAGAGTAGGGCGGAGCTTGTTACCGAACTCGGAACCAACACGCGAGGTGGGCGGAGCTTGCTACCGAACTCGGAAGCGATGCGCGAGGTGGGCGGAGCTTGCTACCGAACTCAGAAGCATTTTTGGCTCTATGGTGATCAAGGGTAGTTGGAACGTGAAGCTATACAGCTTATGGTTTACAAATAATTTCTAGTTAAAACTATCTCTCCAGCGTGTATCGGTATAATAAAACGGTTAAAGTATGGGGTTGAGGGATATAGCTAGTTTCTGGTGACCCTTGACGATGCCTATTTCACTCGGCTTCGCCTCGGGAAATAGACCTGGTCTCAGGACACCAGAAACTATATCCCTCAACCCCATACTTTAACTGTATACTAATAGCTAGATATCATTGATAATCAGTTCTTATTGATAGCCAAGTGTAATTGATAGTTAGTTGTCACTGATAGCCAGGTGTCATAGATAGTCAGATGTTATTTATATCCAGGTCTAATTGATAGTCAGGTGTCATTGATTTCCAGGTGTTATCATCAGCCAGGTGTCATTGAAATCCAGTTGTGATTAATTGATAATCAGGTGTCAATAGTCAGGTGTTATTGATAGCAAGGTGTTATTGAAATCTATGTGTAACTGATAGCCAGGTGTCACTGATAGTCGTCAGGTATTACTAATATCCAGCTGACATTGATATCCAGTTGTCATTCATAGTCAGGTGTCACTGATAGCCAGTTGGTGATAGTCCATTTAGTCTGTTGTCATTGATAATATGTGTCCCTTTATACCTAGGTGCCTTGATAGTTCTTTATAGACATGCATTACTTATAGATAAGTGTCCTTAGGGACCAATTGTTGTTAAAAAGTGTACTACTAGTGTATGTCATTTAAAAGAACAAACCAAAGTTGTTATCAACCAATATCAGCCAGTTTTTCTAACTTGAAACTGCTCAGGTCTTCATGTCATACAGAGCAATCTTGGCGTGATGTCAAATTCAAATTATTATGTTTATACAGGGTAATTCTGCTAAACTTATAACACATTTCCTTTTTACAACAAAAATGGCCATATCTTCATTTATTAAAACAGTTTGTTTAAAACATATCATGAACTGAAAGAAAACATCAAGAGTGACTAAGAGTAAATTTTACGATTGAAACACATCTTTTATTATGGGTTATATACAGTGCAGTGCCATTCCATGATGTGCCCTTAAATGTTTTCTCTTGACAGGTATTGTATATCATCTATCCTGCTAATGCTGTTTGTTTTGTTGATTAAGGCTTTATGAGAAGTGAAACATTTCTACCGCTGCAGCAGAGGAAGAACTCGCATGTGGAGTTGTGTGGGGCGGCCCCATTACATGTACACCCCAGTAGTCAGTCTAACCCAGTCTACTTCTCCGACCTCATCATCAACACCTCAGACATGTACGTATCAGATAGATTTCGCGCTGTTAACTTGGACTTCTTTTCCCCATTTACAATAGTAAACTTTCATATGAAAGAAATTATAACTCTAATTTCCTCCTGCACAAATACATCTCTTCCACAAGGATTTGATCAGACCTCCTGACTTTAAAGAAGCTTATCAGCTGTGTGCTGGGTCATGAAATTGGATATGTTTATAATTTTCTGTGATATTATTGTAAATAATTTCAAATGTTCCATCTCCCTGAAATGGCCTGCAACCTATAGTTGTCTTTAAATAAAATACACAGGAAATGACATATGACCCTTTGAGTGCTAGTCACAACTAAAGTTGCACATTCTATAAAATGGTATTTTATATGGTCAACAGCTAATCAAACATATAAAATAACCAATTTCCATTGGTATTAATGTTTTAATATTAACACAAGTATTATTTTTGCAATATTTTTACTGAAATTGTGACTTATTAAGTTATATCTAAATTTGAACTGCAGTGAAAATTAAATTTTCCTAATTAATTCAGCACTGATTGGTTACCGTATGTTATTTTAATGTAGCACTCTAAGGGTAAACTATTATTTATTTTTCAATGCCTGTATACATTAGAATAGAAAGGCGACAAAACTGTCTTCCTTAACCCGTTGTAACAAAATATTACTACGTATACTAATATCGTAAAAGTGTCTTGCATTACGTAATTGATTAAATTATATGTTGTTGTCATGCAATTAAATGGTCCGAAAATCTTTCAAAGTTTTGAATCATTCATTACAAGCTCATTTGTCCTCAGATTGAATGAGAATTAAGTATCAAAATTTGTGTATGTAGTAGTGCACAGAAGCATTCTGCTGCAGAAAAGCAAAGATGGCTGTAATGAACAAATACAACCAATTTCTTTTCATTTTACTTCACCCGGTTTGAAGGACTAGTTAGTTAGTGTCATAGTGAACATTAGTGCAACAGCCTTTGTCTGTCCGTCAATTCCTTTGAAACCATATTCTTACTGAACGACTGATTTCAACCAGGTTTTCTACCCTAAAGTCACGATAATACACCACAGCCTGTTTTCAATTTACCTGGTAGTCAGGAACCCCAGGCTTATTTTCAAGGCAATTTTATTTGGGAAGTCATTTGGACAGTATTTTCCCCCTGTACATAAGCCATGAAATTTAACCCTAACAGAACTGAATGCTTTTACAGTATGCTGGGCTAAATCAAACATTAATTAACTCACATTCATCCCTGAATACACATTTGAACTCTTCCAATTCAGAGGTTGGAAAAGTTCATTATAAAATATCAGGGTCCCCGCCATGAATGAGTTAATATCTAGTTTGAAAAAAAGGAAATTTTCAATCCTATAATACCTTTGACTTGTAAAAATGTGATTGAATTGTAGAGTGTTAAATTGGTTTCTACCTGGTTGGATGGTTGGTGACGGGATTTGTGCCTACATGAATCTGCCCTTACGGGTTTCATCTCACTGACGCTACGGTTTCTACCTTTCAGTGCGGAGTTTAAAGAGGTCCATAATTTACAGGGACGCAGCTTTGCCTACGAAGAGGAAGACTCCCTAAGTGGTTGCTTGGTGGTGCTACAAGGACTTAAAAAGATGGGATACAATTCCACATTCTTCGGAAATGTCCTTAAATCAGGTAGTGTTTGTCGTTTGTTTTAAAATGGATTCCAGTACATGACAGTATATGACATTTCATGACATTTCAGAAGGAAAGTGCATTAAGATACATGACGTTTCATATTGGAATTTGGTGTTAAGAATGTACATGAAACTATACTACAGTTCAAATTTCATAAGTTCCTAAATACCAAATAAAATATTTTGCAAACTGTTGCAACAATTTTTATATTACCTGAATATTGCTCTAGGTCACACCCACACATTTTATTATTTTTGCTTCAATTCACAGTTCAGTAAAATTGAACTTAATTCAGCAATGGTTGACTATGGTAAGTTGTTGAAGAACTGAAAGTCACAATTCATTTAAGTCCTGCGGATGGGAATGTGAGGGTCAATACAATTTACCAATAATATTGAAACATTATGATTGAGTCACTAAAGACAAATAGTATGCGAGGTGACCTTTACCTGTGTTTGCATGTTCTTTGTCTATTTTTGGTCGTTAACAACACCTGGATGCTTTAGACAGGTTGTCTGGTGAATGGTTGTTTTGGTGTTTTTGCTTGCTTAATGGATACATGTGAATTGTACTTGTATTTTGGTATTTATGTGTTCAGGCCCTCTCCTAGTCACTCTAACGTCACGCTACCACAATTTTGACAGTTTTTCAGAGTTCAAACTTCAAAAATTCAGATCTTGTATCTGGAATGTTTCTTGATTCTTGACAAAGACTACCTATGGTGGTTCATTTTCAGAAAAAATTTTAATTCTACGTTATTAGTTTTTGAAAATAGAATGCTAAACTCGCAGTGAGATTTCACCCGTTTTTCAGCCGTGATTAGTACCCAAAATTGGTACACCATATCACAGGCTGTGAAACTTGTTTTTATTTCTACAAGTTGATGTGCCAATTGCAACAAAATATATTGCTTTTGTAAATGCCATACTGAACTACAATTGTATATATACACTTTTATATTATCCGGTTATAAGGACCAGGAATCAGTATTTAAACATGCTTATATTTAACCCCTTCAAAATCCTCCAAAATTTCGTCGACTTACTTCGTTTTTACTGGTTTTCTGATATATTTACTTTGAAGACATTGTGTACTCTTGTTCCTGTTCGCTGGAAATACTGATAAATATATCTTTGTTACACTATCAAAGGAAAATGCTCAAATTTAATTTTAAAGTACTATTCGAACCATTTTCTGACCAAGTACCAATTTGGGTAGTGTACCAATTGTGGTAGCGTGACGTTAGACAGGTTGTCTATAAGACAGGTGAGCTGTATTTGTATTGTGTGTTCCTGGTTCTTGCCTGGTCCCTATAGACAGGTTTTCAGTAAGACAGGTGAGCTGTAATTGTATTGTGTGTTCCTGGTTCTTGCCTGGTCTCTATATACAGGTTGTCATTAAGACAGGTGAGCTGTATTTGTATTGTGTGTTCCTGGTTCTTGCCTGGTCTCTATAGACAGGTTGTCAGTAAGACAGGTGAGCTGTAATTGTATTGTGTGTTCCTGGTTCTTGCCTGGTCTCTATAGACAGGTTGTCTATATATAAGAAAGGTGAACTGTATATGTATTGTGTGTTCCTGGTTCTTGCATGGTCACTCTAGACAGGTAAGTGAGAGAGGTGTACTATAATTGTGTTATAATTAAATTATGTGTGTTATTGATTCTTGCCTGCTCACTATTTACAGGTTGTACAGGTACAGGTGTATTGTATTCTGTATTAAAAGTCACATCTGGTCCTTAACGTAGACAGGTTGTTCGTAACACAGGTTAACAGTTTATATTTTGTAAGGTCCATGTTATAAACTGGTTGTTTAAGTCAGGTTGTCACTGAGACAGGTACCGTAAGCTGTATTCTATATTGTGTTATTTGTGTAAGATGTTTTCTATATTGTGTTATTTATGTAAGCTGTGTTTTATAGTGTGTTATTTGTGTAAGCTGTGTTTTATAGTGTGTTGTTTGTGTAAGCTGTGTTATATATTGTGTTATTTATGTAAGCTGTGTTTTATAGTGTATTATTTGTGTAAGCTGTATTTTATAGTGTGTTATTTGTGTAAGCTGTATTTTAGTGTGTTATCTGTTTAAAATTTATTCTATATTGTGTTATTTGTGTAAGCTGTATTTTATAGTGTGTTATTTGTGTAAGCTGTATTTTATAGTGTGTTATTTGTGTAAGCTGTATTTTATATTGTGTTATTTGTGTAAGCTATATTTTATAGTGTGTTATTTGTGTAAGCTATATTTTATATTGTGTTATTTGTGTAAGCTGTATTTTATAGTGTGTTATTTGTGTAAGCTGTATTTTATATTGTGTTATTTGTTTAAGCTGTATTTTATAGTGTGTTGTTATTAGTGTAAGCTGTATTTTATAGTGTGTTATTTGTGTAAGCTGTATTTTATATTGTGTTATTTGTTTAAGCTGTATTTTATAGTGTGTTATTAGTGTAAGCTGTATTTTATAGTGTGTTATTTGTGTAAGCTGTATTTTATATTGTGTTATTTGTTTTAGCTGTATATGTTATATTGTGTTATTTGTGTATTTCAGGTTATCACATGATTACTATGAACAGCATGGGACAATTGTATCCTATTCTAGGTGTTACTAACAGGGTTACACTTGGTTACTATAGATAGATTGTTGCTTTGACAGGTTTAATAGTGTTATATTTGTATTCCAGGCTCTCACCTGAAGTCTATACAGATGGTGTTGAACAAGACAGCTGCGTCAGCCGCCGTAGACTCAACCGTCCTATACAACTACCTCCAACAGAACCCCAAGTATAAGGAAAACATCACCATACTCAAGTCATTTGGGCCCCTCCCAATCTACCCAGTTGTCTTCAATTCCCGTCTTCCAGGTTGGTTGTCCCTCAAGGCCCATTAGGGTCTCAGTGGTTTCTTTATGTGAGGCACTAAACAACTTCTTTAACTCTAGTTTAACAGTCCTGGGGCTTGTTCATTTATGTGGAACAAACAGTTTGTCTGTTTTTAAATGTAACATTTCAGGTATTAATACTAGCAGACCTTTTAAATGTTTATGCAGGCCTTGTAAGGCTTTGTCAAGGCTTGCCTGCAGGCAGCACCAGATTACTAGGTCCGACCTTAGTTCATAAACAAAAACAACTCTGGTCCCTAGTTACACATATAAAATTTTGGGACTGAAGGGAAAACAAAAATGGCTGACAGACAGCAATCTTGAATTTGAGAATTAAAGTTTATTAGCGCTATTTCTCAGAAAGTACTGGAGGGATCTTTCTCAAATTTCTCATGAAGGTTCCCCATGATCCCTAGTTATTATTCCTCACGAAATGCGTTTGTAAAGGATATTAAATTGGGCTCCGTCTGTCCGTCCGTGCATGGGCAATTTCCGGACGAGAGCTCTGAAACTGTTTAAGAGAACTACTCAAAACTTTGTACACCTAAGTTTGCAGAAGTGCGCGTTTCTCTATAAGGGCTTCTATACCAAATGTGTATGCTTCAACAAGATCATCAACCTCGCCTTCAGTAGATTGAAGGGCGGAACAAGACTGAATGTCATTGTTGAAATCTGGTATTGAAATTTCGCGGAATTTCCGGAAGCTCACTTCTTTCCTTGCACAAGCTGGCTTACTACAATTCAGTGTTGTGTGGACAGCAAGATGATCACCAGATTGGTTCCCCTTTACATCACTTAGACATGGATCAATCACTGAAATAGCTCCATGAATGACTGAGTTATCTTCCCTCATTATGACCACATCCAGTGTGTGGCCATGGGTGTGTGCATGAAGCTTCTGTCACATGCTGAATCAGACCCCTGGAATCTAGTAGACCAGAGAACTGGCGAGCATAAACATTAGATAGATCGTCTAAGTGGAAATTTAGATCACCCGTGATAATAATCTCTTGTGGTACAACAACTTGGTGGTCTAAAAAGGTAGACCATTCATCAAAAAACACTGTATTTCGGAAAGCATTCTGTTAAGAATGTGGAGGCCTGTAAATGATACACAATCTAAATTGTTTATCACCAGCAATGACAGAACAGGTCATGTGCTCAAAGTGTGTGTATACAGCATCATGGCTGGAAGAGAGATGTCTCACACTTAGGCCTTTCTTAAACAGAACAGCCACCCCACCACCACGTTTGCCGAGTCTTAAGCATTGTGGTGGAGTTCATAGCCTGTTGGTATTAACTCAGCTAGGACCTGGTCATCGATATCTGAACCTAACCAGGTTTCTGTCAATGCAAGAATGTCAATGTCCTGAGATGTTACAAAATCCCCGATGTACAATGACTTATTCTTCACTGAGCGACAGTTTAAGGACACTAAATTAAGGTTTGTTAGTGCTATTTCTCAGGAAGTACTGGAGGGTTCTTTCCCAAATTTTATTTGTAGGCCTACGGTCCTCTATTGTTCATGTTTACTTTTAAGACTGATCAGATAAACAAAATGGCCTAGTTGCAGCCACCTTCAAATTTTGACATTGAAGGTTTGTTAGTACTATTTCTCAGGAATAACTTGAGGGATCTTTCTCAAATTTGATATAAAGGTTTCCCTTGATCCCTAGTTGTGCATGTTATATTTTGAGACTGATCATAAAAACAAAATGGCCGAAGGAAGAACTAAACAGATCTTTCTCATATTGCTGTGATCGGTTCTTTTTCTTTCGCATTAAGTACTGTACTTAGTCTAGTAAATATGTGAAATGACAAACTCACTTTGAAGGTAGTCTTTTATACACAGCAGTATTAAGTTTTGGTCAAATGTTACCTCAAGGTGCATTTACTGTTAACATGACTCGATCAAATAGATAAGAGAAAAGAAGAAAAAAGATCAAACTGACAAAGAACTAATGAAGATGGTACAATGGTGGGCGCCAAGATCCCTCTGGGATATATTGTTTAAATTTTATGACTTTGTTTGATGACTAATTTTGATAAAAGTTTACATCCTGTTTAAGCTAATTTTGCATTGTTCCTGTAGGTCATATCTATATGATTATCTGTGGCTGTGGTATTTAGATATCAAAATCTGATGATGGTGGGCTATTTAAATCACCCATAATTTGTCTGTGGTCCATCGTCCCCTGTCCTTAGCGCTAATTCTTAGAAAATGCTGGAGGGATCATTTTGGAATTTCAAGTGAATGTTCTCCATGATCTTTAGATGTGCACATGAAATTTTGGGACTGATTTGAAAACCAAGATGCCTGAAAAAGTTTGTTGGCGCTATTTTTTTCAGAAAGTACTGGAGGGGTCTTTTTTAAATTTGACATGAAGGTTCCCCACGGTCCCTGGTTACGCATGAAACCAATATGGACGACAGGGCAATCTTGCAATTTCAGAGTTTAAGTTTGTTAGCACTATTTCTCAGAAAGTACTGGAGGGATATTTCTCAATTTTTACTTTAAATTTCCCATGGTCCCTAGCTATGCATATTGAATTTTATGACTGATCAGAAAACCAAGATATATGACAGGTGACCATCTTGAATTTGTGAAAAATCTTTCTCAAATTTTACATGAATTAAGGTTCCATATAGTCCCTAGCCAGTTATATTGAATTTTGAGACTAAATTTATCCTACTTTAAGCATTTAGCATGTAGACAAACTTCATGATTTGAAAATATCAAGGCGGACAATATTAAAAGTGCTCTTTTGTTGTTTTTTCTCTTAGATGATCTCAAAGGAAAAATAAGCCAAGCTCTGCTGGACATGACCAATAAAAAGGATTGGCTTACCAGGCTGGAGGCTTTTGGAGTGGAGGGGTTCAAACAAGTGGACATGTCCTCCTATCTCAAAGAGAAGGAGCTCCTTGATGCCGTCAAAAAGCTCAGTGTAACTGCAGCATACTACTAGAATATCAACATCAACAGCCTATCGCTAGGGAATTACTGGGTACATAGGATAATGTTTTAAACCTGTTAAATGTCTTGTGCTCTTGGATATCTGGGAAAATTGGAATTAATTACCGAGGACTTTTCAAAATTCTTTATAAAAATACTCATAATTGACTTTTTCCCCTATGTAATACAGTAAATTAATGTATTTGAGTTAAAGTAAACTGATGCTCTGCTCATGTTTAAGTAATTGTGTCAATAATAATACTGTAGATATGAAAAAAACCCATTTCAGGTCCATCATTGCCAAGTGGTATATGTATCACCAAAGTCAGGTTTGGGGCCTCCACTTCGCCATATTGCTTAATTGAAATCGTGAATGTTAATTAATCCTGGGATTGAGGTGAAAAAGACTTATGAGAGTCAAATATGTAATATATCTATTACATCTAAATTAGATACATAGATTTGATAGAAGCCATAAATGTTAGTGTTTTAGAAAATAAAATTAAAAGGGCAATGTCTTACGGCAAATGGTGCATTATTAAGATCAAAATTAATATATTTTTTGGAGAAGAAAAAAAGAATACAAATATATGTTTTGTAAACTCTATTTAACTATGATAACTTCTTGTTGTTTCGATTATATCTTCTATGTAGCATGGTTTACAGTTAATTTTTCAATACTTTATTGTTGTTGTTTACGTTGTATTTTGCAGAGCGAAAAGTTGAAAATATTAAATATGATTTTTTCGAGCAAATATCCCCAAAAACTTGCCAATGTAAAATAGCAGTTAGTTTTACTTCATGAAACTACACGATTTCAGAGTCTTTTTGATGAATGTAATATTATTGGATCATGTGTTGTCAAACAGTCGATGGGACTAACATGTATTACCTGGTAACATTATAAAATTGAATGTTGTTAGCCAGTCTGTGGTACTAACATGTAACACTATTTGATATTTAGTGTTGTAGTTGAACATATAATCAGAAGTTGTCAGCCAATCATGGCACCGATGTTTAACATTACTTGAGATTTGATATTTATGGGTTAAATATTTAAGATAAAATCAGATAGTGTCGGTCATTCTATGAGACCGTTATGTTACACTATTTGAGATTCAATAACATTTATGGGGTTCAAGATTAAGATAAAATCAGATGTTGTTTGCCAGGCTATGGGACCATTATGTAACATTATTTGAGATTTATTTAATGTTTATGGGTTTAATGTTTAATATAAAATCAGATGTTGTCGGCCAGGCTATGGGAACATTATGTAACATTATTTGAGATTTATTTAATGGTTATGGGGTTAATGTTTAATATAAAATTTGATGTTGTCAGCCAGGCTATGGGACCATTATGTAACATTATTTGAGATTAATGTAATGTTTATGGGTTTAATGTTTAATATAAAATCAGATGTTGTCGGCCAGGCTATGGGACCATTATGTAACATTATTTGAGATTCATTAATGGTTATGGGGTTCAAGATTAAGATAAAATCAGATGTTGTCAGCCAGGGTATGGGACCATTATGTAACATTATTTGAGATTTAATTAACGTTTATGGGGTAAGTGTTTAATATAAAATCTGATGTTGTCAGCCAGGCTATGGGACCAATGTTTAACATTGTTATTTATCTGTCATTAAAACTTACGCCTGTTAATTCAATAAGCCCACCCATATACTTTACAGTTCAATAGGTATTTCACAAAATGCTATTCCATTGTCGTGTAATAAACCCATCCCCCTTCTTTTAAATTCAGTCACAGATTATGTGTTGACACTTGTGGGCTTATTGTAGAATAAATATGCCGGTATGTAATTGTATGTTATCACCTAAACATATATCAATCTATATTTAACATATTAATGGGTGTTGCCAGTTGGTCTATTGGAATGAGTGACATCAGGCTAGGTGTGTGAGGCATCATCAGGATAAATAATGGACGAGGTTCATTATTTCCACAAACAGCAGGAGAGGTTGTTATCCAAGTGGTTGAAATTGTGTAGATAGTAGACATTCTTCTTAGTGCTTTAAGACAAAAATCAAATCAGGGTCAGCTCGGTTATAGTTTTAGAGTTTATATGGAACAATTAATCAGTTAAGTAGTTAGTCAGTATCCAAGAATCTCGATATGTTTTAAAGACCACACACACACACATATATTTATATGTTAATTATAGTTAAGCAGATCTATATTATGTACATGTATATTATATAATAAACAAGAATTTTATATCTATTCTATTTGTGTTGACATGACAACTGTTGTATACTTGTAGTGATTCAGGGTCAAGGGATGTCGTTGTTGACATGACAACTGTTGTATACTTGTAGTGGTTCAGGGTCAAGGGGTGTCATTGTTGACATGACAACTGTTGTATACTTGTAGTGGTTCAGGGTCCAGGGGTGTCATTGTTGACATGACAACTGTTGTATACTTGTAGTGATTCAGGGTCAAGGGATGTCGTTGTTGACATGACAACTGTTGTATACTTGTAGTGGTTCAGGGTCAAGGGATGTCATTGTTGACATGACAACTGTTGTATACTTGTAGTGATTCAGTGTCAAGGGATGTGTTGTTGACTTAACACTGAACAGTTGTATAGTTGTCATTTAATTTTCAGGGATATCTTTGTTAACATGACAACTGTTGTTGGTTACCTATATATATATATGTTTGTAGTCATTTAAGAAAGAGTTACCACTGTTGTCATGATATTAGTTGTACATACAGTTGAAGTTGTTCAAGCTCAAGGAATGTCATTGTTGACATGACAACAGTGGTATAGTTGTCACTTAATTTCAATGGATATTTTTGTTAACATGACGACAGGTGTTCAGTATATAGTTGTATTCATGTCAACAAAGTAATATCTTTGTAGACATGACAACACTTGCAGTAAAGCTGTTAAAATCTCTCTTATTAAAACTCTCGTCTTTCAGAATGGAATCCATTATTTTTGTAACTGTGTTTTTGTATCTTTCTCCATTCCAGCCTTTCAATCAGTATATTTGATGACAAACTGAATTCCCTATATTTGGAATTGTATGGTTATATAAGGTTCTCTATTAAAAATTATATGTTTTTTCTCATGTTTTTTGTTGTTGTTTGTATCATCATATAATGAAATCTTTGATATGGATGAGGTCACTTTTAGCTTCAGGAGCTGTTGCTCATCATACAGTGAGCTACGGTATTCCTCGATATGAAGAACAGATAACTCTTCAAATAGAGTTGCTTTACTTTTTATTTCTTAGTAAATAAAATGATCATTTGTAATTCAACTGTGGAATATGACTATCATTATATTATAGAACAACTTTGACATTTCAAATAATGTATTTTTTAAATACGGAAATTGACTCAATATCATAAAACATAAAAAATAGAAAACTATTGATGTTACAAAGTAAACAATGCAATAAATAAAAATGGTAACAAATCTAAACTTTAAATATACATAAAAAAACAGCCATGGACGGAAATAATGGAAACACAGAGGCATATATAGTTCAATACTACAGTTTGCAACTATTACAAGACAGCCTTAATATAACTCATTTCTATAAATGTATGAACTATCGCATGACATCCGTACTAGCGCAATCTAATAATTGTGGTAAAATAATAATAATAATAATAATTTGAGGTTCTTATATACTGCTTTATCACAACCTAGTTCGTAGGTCATCTCAACGCGGTTCACAAATTAATATCAGTGGTTATAGGGCCTTTGCAACTCGCCAATATCTTTCTCAACTCCCTGGGGAGCATACAGCCGGAGCTGCCATTTTGGCGCTCACAGCAAACATTCTACAATTCTAGCACTGCCCAACCACACACTCTTTTACAGCCGAGTAGACTGGAACAAGCAGAGTAAAGTATCTTGCTCAAAGATACAACACAGTGATGTGACTCGAACCCGCAACCCTTCGGTCACCAGCCCAGCGTCCTACCACTAGACGACCGTGTCTTTTTTCAGTGTCGCATCAAAAATACTTATATAATCTGTAAAAATAAAAGTAAAATGGAAAAGAAACATGAAAGATGCAGTAGCGGCACACATGGACAAAATAAGAAGTAAAAAAAGAAACATCAGAAACTGACCCGACACAAATACCAGAGACAGAAATGAGTAATTCAGAAGGCTAATTGTTTCCTGTACCACATGACACTGATGTCTCCATACATATTTCAGTTTAGATTTTTAATAATGGAATGATTTCAGCATTCATGATCATCCATTCTATCTTACACATTACATATTGATATAGCACCATTGTCATAAATACTTTCTTATCCATTCTGGTAAAGAGTTCAATGGGAGGCACATTAACGATCATCATTCCAAGTCATGTTGCTAGAATGCAGGATCTTCTGGGACATTAAATGCCTTTAATGTCCACTGTAAGAACTGGATACCAGGGATATGGTCTTAAAAGGTGGGAATTATATTCCAACTCGATGAAAATTAAGCCAAAAATGAAACTATCTTAAATCACTCCAGAATGGTATTCATGGACTGAGGTACAAGGGTTCGTCGGTACATATTTGGGTCGTTCAAGGTCATGGATGCTACAGAGCTTGGACGTAACTCCTCCAGGTCCGGTAATTCAATCTTCTCCATCACTTCTTTGGCAATTGGACTAGCCTCATGTACATCATTAGCAATGCTATCCTGGAGGAGGCGCAACATGTGTTTTATCTCCTCCAATCTGAAGAGTGTCTGTAAAAGGGAAATGATCATTGAGTTTGTATGAAAATTTAACAAGCAGCTACACACATGTTGCTCTTAGCTTGTCATCTCATTCCTCTGAAAATGTTTTCATGTAACTATTACTAATTATTGGATTATTTAATAAAATACTGTATAAACTTGGGTAAGTTGTGCCGAAATATCACCGGACTTTCTGGTCATTTTGTATTTTCAAAGTAATTTTATTTAACCTGCAACAAGACCATGTATTACACTTAATTTTCAAAATAAAATAAAATTTAATGCAAACCTGGTCCTCATATGCCAGATAGAAGTTGTCTATATATGGGTCTTCCTCAAGGGCCGTCTTCAGCTTGGCATCCAGAAAGTTGGCTAATTCTGAGCCAGCCATACTTATCCGTGCCTTGCATACATCAACAAGCTTCTGTTGGAAAATCATTGTCATCCGTCCCAGCTGCGCCTCATTGATAGGGCCCTGTCACCGTAGCAACAAAGTAAGAACAGTTACAAATGTAATACAATATCAGCAAATATATTCAATTTATCTACTGGTATGATATATACATCCAGAGAAGTTAGGTGACAAGTTTTGTTGTAACTCCTCTGCTACAATACTGCAATATTACTGTAGGAAATACAATGGAAGTGTTTTAATTTCCTTAAAATCCTGCAACCTGTAATTTATTATGTAGGTACATGCTGCGGTGAAAATGTCTTTTTTTTTTTTCAAGGTCTTTATACTGAAGAAAAAGGTTGTTCCTAAATGTTAGACACTTAACTCATTCACCCCTGACATTTCATATATTCCAACGTTTGAATTAGAAGAGTTCAAATGTGTCTTTCGTGAACACATTATTTCAGTAGAAAATCTTTATTTTAGAAACTGCATTAATGGATCATATTTGCTAAAGATATGAGTTGGTGCACTTATGTATGAGTATGCTATAGGTTGGAAATACCAGTGTATAATTAGGTGTACTTATGTGAGAATATTTTCATAAGGGGTCTTTTTATTTTTAGCCCACCATCATCTGATAGTGGGCTATTCAAATCACCCTGCATCCGTGGTCCGTGGTCTGTCCGTTGTCCGTCGTCCGCCGTCCGTCCGTAAACAATTCTTGTTATCGCTATTTCTCAAGAAGTACCAGAGGGATCTTTCTCAAATTTTATATGTAGGTTCCCCTTGGTCCTTAGCTGTGCAGGCAACTTTTGAGACTGATCGGATAAACAACATGGCCGACAGGCAGCCATCTTGGATTTTGATAGTGTTGGTTTGTTACCGCTATAGCTTAAGAAGTACCAGAGGGATCTTTCTCAAATTTTATATTTAGGTTCCCCTTGGTCCTTAGCTGTGCAGGGCAACTTTTGAGACTGATCAGATAAACAACATGGCCGACAGGCAGCCATCTTGGATTTTGATAGTGAAAGTTTGTTATCGCTATTTCTCAAGAAGTACCAGAGGGATCTTTCTCAAATTTTATATGTAGGTTCCCCTTGGTCCTTAGCTGTGCAGGGCAACTTTTGAGACTGATCGGATAAACAACATAGCCGACAGGCAGCCATCTTGGATTTTGATAGTGAAAGTTTGTTACCGCTATTTCGCGGGAAGTACGGGAGGGATCTTTCCCAGATTTTAAATGTAGGTTCCCCTTGATCCCTCGTTGTGTATGTTATGTTTTGAGACTGATCATAAAAACAAAATGGATTAAAAGAAGAACTAAACAGATCTTTCTCATATTGCAATGATCGATTCTATTTCTTTCACATTAAGTACTGTACTAGTAAATATGTGAAATGACAAACTCACTTTGAAGGTTGGCTTTCATACACATCAGTATTAAGTTTAGATCAAAAGTTACCTCAAGGTGCATTTACTGTTTTACTCGATCAAACAGATTAGAGGAAAGAAGAGAAAAGATCGAACTGACAAAGAACTAATGAAGATGGTACAAAGGTGGGCGCCAAGATCCCTCTGGGATCTCTTGTTTACATTTGACAGGAAATTTTGAATTTACATACATTTTAGATTTTATAAACCAGTGTTGTGATTAAAGGTTTCATTATGGCAAAAACAAATGTATGTTAAAAAATGAATACTTTTAATAGAAATCATTTGACACCAGAATGTTTGAAACAACATAAAATGAGAAATCAAAGGTCCACATAATATTTATTGAATCAATTTTAGCAGGTGAGCTAAAAACAATTAGAGTTTTAGGTCACCTGAGCTTTGCTCAAGTGACCTATACTAATTGCTTTCCGTCTGGCGTCCGTCGTGCGAAAACTTTTAACATTTTCAACTTCTTCTCAAGAACCAGTGGATGGATTTTTTTCAAACTTGGATTCCTACCCCAATCCCTTGGAACCGGGGCGGGGCCCCAAAGGGAAAATTAACCAATATATTTCAAAAATCTTCTTCTCCAGACTCAGAGGTACTACAGTCATTTTCTCTGAATGGAAAGAAAGATCATCAAGGGCTTTACTTAAATTGTAAATTCCAGGACCCCCCAGCTATCCGTTCTCCCTTGGGGAGGGGGTAAAGTTTACTTATAGTTTATATAGGGAAATAACACTTTTGGGTATATTTTGACAACTTTCTATAGGGAATTGTTTTTACTTGGCGAGAATTATCCTTGGAGGAAGATGGTTTCAAATTGAAAAATTAAGATTCCTACCCCAACCCCTGGGGCCAGGGCGGGGCCCCAAAGGGAAAATTAACCAATATTTCAAAAATCTTCTTCTCCAGACTCGGAGGTACTACAGTTATTTTCTCTGCATGGAAAGAAAGATCATCAGGGTCTTTATTTAAATCGTAAATTTCAGGAGCCCCGAGCTATCCGTTCTCCCTTGGGGAGGGGGTAAAGCTAAGTTTACTGTGGTTTATACAAATGTATAGGGAAATAACACTTTTGGGTATATTTTATCCATTTTCAGCAGAAAATTACTCAAACTTTGTCAGAATCATCTGTGGTGAATGAGTGTATTACTTTGTAAAATTGGGATTCCTGCCCCATCTCCAGGGGCTAGGGCCGGGCCCAAATAGGAACATTTACCAATATTTTCAAATTCTTATCCTTTGATGACACGACAAGTATTGTAATTCACTTAGTTTAAATGCTGATTTCCACATCACATCTAAACAATAAAATAAAGCTACCAGTACCTATAATATAACTCAGGTGACCGCTAAGGCCCTTGGGCCTCTTGTTAAAATTTTGACCAAAAACCTAAAATCAGATGCTGTTTTAGATTTTTGATGATAAAATATTCTGGCTAAAAGTAAAAAAATCTGAATATCAAAACCTACTTTTTTCTATTTCAATTATTTGCATTTAGCTAAATAACCACATTATATCTAAGGGAAACAGTTTGTGTGCGTTCAGGGCAGTCATTGTAGTTGTGATGTCTTTCCATTCTGTGATCCAGGCAGAATTTCAGTGTTACAAGGACTAGGCGTTTTTACTGTTATGTGTGAAATTCTGTATTTCAGGACATTTTTATACATCTTATTGTAGACCAGATTGTTTGGACATATACCTCTATTTCTGCTGTAGAGCTGAGGGAGGCAGCCGTTGCTGGGGTCACCTGGCTACGCTTTGACCTCTTGGTGCCCTTTGACGCGCGGCTAGGCTGCTGCGAAGGTGGGGGAGGTCGACGGTTCCTGAATCGTTCCTGGTTATGACCTATGAACTCCATCATGAGTTGGATGAGATCTTGTAGAGTCTCTACCATAAAGATGACATACTCTATCTGGGCGGCCATACTGTGTAACATGCGCCACGCCTCAGCTATGTGATACTGGTCCTGTATGTAACAGACAATATGATTGGTTCTGACATTTAACAGCAATTAATTAACAGGTCCTGTATGTAACGGACAATACGATCGGTTCAGTCATGTAACAGCAATTACTTAACATCAGTTTATATCAAAAGCAAATATTTTTATTTATACCTAAGACATACCAGATGGGGTTTTCAAGATGAAATGATGACATTAAATTGAAGTTTTGTAAAATTTAAACTTTGACCTTTACATACACTACCATCAGATGCTCTATGGTTGGTTAGAGTTAACCTGTGGTTTGGGATTTTTTTTAATTAGAATACAACAAAATCAGGAGCATCTGATATCATTTCCACTGCTATAGGTTGTTTGAGACAAATAAGATTGATGTGTTGTGAGGATTTCATTTGCTTTGAACATTTTATGTCAACAATTTGAATTTTTCACTTACCACTGGTTTAAGTTAACCAACCTTTGAGAAACTCTGACCTGATAGATTGTAAACAATATTTAGGTTGAAAACAATACAATTTTGTATGTGAACTTTGACCTCTACTGATGAACCTTTAGAACTGTATTCCAGTGTAAAGTGTGTTTATATCAAAATAGAGTCAAATCCACCAGTATTTAAAAAAAACAAAACTTTTGAGTGCCAATGATGGAGGCTACATAAGATGGACTCTCTGCCTTATATTTACCTGGTTGAGGAGACTTCTGAGAAGGAGGCCCCGATGGACTGTCAGCCAATCACAGTGTAGCTTGGCATCACCAAGCATTCTGTTGAGAAACTGATGTGCAGTCCGTGTATTAGCTCCATTCATGGGGCTTCCTCCATTTTTAGGGCCACCATTTTGATAATGAAAAGCTGCCTATAGGAACAAAACGAAAGAAATCAACATTAACACAGAACAAAAGTATCTTTAACCAGATAAGTCAAATATGCCTTCTTAGTCAAACAGGTATCTGGGTCCCCCTTGTCATTTCCAGAAATAATGTCTTCTGGACTGAACAAAGGTAACTTGGATAAATATGATTTTTTTATGGCTTACCAGTATATCAATTAACCCCCTCTGAATCAGGAAAACAACGTATGCCCAGGGAAATGAAGCCACTAATTACCTTGTCTGGAAACAAGAATATGGGCAGGTTAAACAATATAAGACTCTTTCAAAGCCTTGGGTTTTTCCAAATTTGAAAATCCCGAGGGTGGAATTTCCCTATCCTAAATCCCTGGGCATATGAAAGAGTATTTTTTTGTTATCTCAACTACCAGAATAAGCTCAGAAACCATGAAAATGCGTTTGGACTGACCACCATTTTAAAGCTATCAACTTTTCCCCTGAGCTTTTTTGATGAAAACCAATCTGTCGGCGAGATTTATCATACCCTATATTAGCCAACAAAGTTTGTACAGAAAAATTGATCTCCTCTTTCTAACATGTACAGTAAATTTATCGTAAAAGGTTTTAATTTCATAACATCGCCTTTTCCACATTGCGGCAGCGGAGTTTTCCAAATTTGTAACGTCACATAATTGTTGAGCCATTGTGACGTCACGTCACGTGAAATGGGATGTAAGATAGAAATTTCTTATGCCCCTTTCTTACCCTGGACAGCTCTATCTTACACACATGGAAATGAGAGAAAGCAACTTACCCTAGACAGCTCTATCTTACACACAGGGAAATGAGAGAAAGCAACTTACCCTGTCCTGGGAGAGGAATATTGACTGGTAAAATGCCACCGGATTGTCAGGGTAAAAGACTTCAGCTCTAAATATAAACAGAAATTCATGTTATTCTTTCACTTGAACATTTTGTATTGAGTGTTATCTAAACAGATATTTGGATTATTGCACTACATCTTAACACTTCCAGTGGAGAAACCAAGTAGGCTCAATAGCTGGATCTTACATTTTCAGAAAATCTAAACATCTGATGTATGCTAGCCACAGTCGTACTTGTATCACAATTATTGGAATTACAAATTATTATGACATTAAATTGACAGGTTGAAAGGTTTAAATAAAATGTCAAACTTACTCAACGTCGTCATCAGTGAGGAAATGAAACAGGAAGTATTTTCTCACAGGCACATAGCGCCAGAGGTCCAGGAAAACATAGGCCTACCAAGTATAAACACATCACTGGTTACACATGATCTGACAGAGATGTCATATAACAGGTCAAGGAAAACATAGGCCTACCAAGTATAAACACAACACTGGTTACACATGATCTGACAGAGATGTCATATAACAGAAAACCATAGAACTAAAACGTTGATACTACACACAACACATGTTCCATAAGATTTCTTATTGTCCAGGAAAACACAGACCTACAATTTCCTAAAAAACGGCATACATAAGATTCTCACAGGGATCTTGTCTCACCAGTCGAAGACAACGAAGATCTTAAGTTCATACAACACACCCCACTGGTAACAAAAGGTACAGGTACAATGTACCATTGGTGCAAAAAGTCATAAGCCTAGAGTTTACAGATCCACATATCAAGTTGTAATCATAGATATATGAATGACACAACTAATAGATTTAGAAATGGTGTCTTGCTCAGCTAAGATTGCAACTGACAAATTCAATAAAGAACCATACATGTACAGTATAACCTGTCTATTCCAGGCCCTCTGTATTCTGAACTCTCATCTATACTGCCTTTGATATTAGGTCACAGCAATTTCCTCTCTAAAACCTTGTCTACTCTGGAAACCTGATGTTTTACCAATATTGTTATATAATTCATTGTTAATACACTCGGTTCATTCTGGCTTTTCCTTTTCCCTTGGTTGGACACCCCCCAAAACACTGTTTTTCTATGAGAAAAATATAGCATCTGTTAAAATGTTGATACCCAACATCACTGACTGTATATAAGCCAGACCCTGTATAAAGCAGACCCTGTAAAAACAAGCCTAATATTTCTGTCCCAGTCATATCCAGTTTAGATAGGTTCCCCTGTTTAAAGTGTTACATTTTGTCTTCAGAAAATGAAACATCTATGACATACCTTCATAAATACGGTCTCCTTGCTAGAACAGATGGCAACACACTCGCTGATGAAGCCGTTTTTCTTTGTCATGATTTCAGCCCAGGTCCAGCGGGTCTGACCATCCCCAAAGTATGCTCCCATCACCGGAATTTCCTCTTTTTTAATAAGGTCACTCAAATGGTTATACACTATGGAGAGAAAAGATAAACATGTGCAGGCTAAAAATGATCATTTTTTAGAACATCATGCACTTATCAACGAGATGTTATTAACATCCTTACTGTACATGTAACAGCAAACAAAAGGCCCATGGGGCCTCTATCACTCACTTGTTTCTTTGATTACCTGAACCTAAGCTACATGTACAAGGGAAGTACAATGTTTACTTACTTACCAAAGGACCAAGGAGGTTCCATGATTAAAATCTGTATTTTACGTGTTTATGGTTAAAGGGTGGGGATAGAAATAATTTCCATGTCATGATCTGGGACTAAGTTCCCTGGGGTAAGGCCAGACTCCTGAACTGCTCCTGGTTTCATGAGAAGGTTAATTTCCTCATGCCCTGCAATTGAACATATGGTTTGGTCCTTAACCATAACCATGTTATAAACCCAAGGATAGGACACTGTTAGTAGCATGAGTATAATTGTCACTTCATACCTAGCATTTGTGTGTTGGGTTATACGGTGGATATCTCGACTGTTTCCATGTTATGCCATGTTATGTTATGGACAAATCCCCAGGGGGAGGACTAAACCATTGAGTAAATCATGAAGGTTTATATAATTCCATACATACTTCAAACAAACAGTTCATTGAAATTACGATGACTTTGAATATGTCACAACAAGCATGCATGCCTTACCTATTAGTGCAAATAGCTGGATTGCCTCCCCTTGACAACCTGGAGGTCCCTGGATGTAAATATGCTCATGTAGCTCAATCTCATTGAGGTACGGCTGCATCTTCCCGTATAGTATACCAGGTCCGCACATAGCCATGCAGATAGCCACCTACAGGGTACAATATAAAGTACAGTCAAATATTTCTAAAAATTTCAGAAAATACACAATCCTGACACTCTTTCTTCAGAACATTTAAACACACTAGATTATATTTGAATTAACAACATTTATTGATACAAAAGCGTTTTACTTGTCGATGTGATGCATCATTTTTTACATTTAACAACTAAGTGTAACATTGAATTCTATTTTAATTCTTTTTTTACGTAACCTTCCTGTAATACATACTAACCAACCTGAAGAAAATGTTTACGAACAATTTCCAATATCCTATCACATTAAATCGTGAAAATGATTCAACTCAAACTTTTTTTTATCAAGAATCGAAAAATTACCCTCTATTTGTTAATACTACCATGCATATCAAAGGACATTTTTTTTTCGATTTTCAATATATTTTCTCCCTCATTAGTAAGACCCTTACCTCAGTGACTAGTTTAGCTGAAACAGTTTGGAGACTTATACTTACTCTGTAGGCCCCCTTCCTCTGTATATAGCTCTGCTGCTCAAACACCTGAAGATAACATACAAGCTTTAAAATTTTTGCACTGTTATCCCTTTCTATAGCACTTCAATCATGAAATGCGATGAAAAAGTACCACAATGCAAAGGCATAAGAATATGACCACAGATAATGCACCTGGTTTCTTGTACACAAATGTATATTGCATTTCTGAATTTTAAGACTGTATTAAAACAAATCAGGATTTTGTTTCCAGATTGCTGATAAAGAAAACATCATTTAATCAAATTCCAAAGGCAATAAAAAAGAAAACCAAAATCAAATTTGTCCCTTTTGTAACTTGTCCCTCCTTTAGGGTTTCTGTGAGAATATTTGTGTGGGCTTACCCTGAAGGTTTCTGTGAGAATATTTGTGTGAGGGACTTACCTTTAGGGTTTCTGTGAGAAGATTTGTGTGAGGGGCTTACCCCTAGGATTTCTGTGAGAATGCTATTGTGAGAGTCTTACCTTTAGGGTTTCTGTGAGAATGTTTTTGTGAGGGGATTACCTTTAGGGTTTCCATGAGAATATTTGTGTGAGGGGCTTACCTTTAGGGTTTCTGTGAGAATGCTTTTGTGATGGACTTCCCTCTAGGGTTTCTGTGGGAAGATTTGTGTGAGGGACTTACCTTTAGGGTTTCTGTGAGAAAATGTGTGTGATGGGCTTAATTTTAAGGTTTCTGTGAGAAGATTTGTGTGAGGGGCTTACCTTTTGGGTTTCTGTGAGAAGATTTGTGTGAGGGGCTTAACATTAAGGTTTCTGTGAGAAGATTTGTGTGAGGGGCTTACCTTTAGGGTTTCTGTGAGAATGTTGTTGTGAGGGGCTTACCTTTAGGGTTTCTGTGAGAATGTTTTTGTGAGGGGCTTACCTTTAGGGTTTCCGTGAGAGGCACATAGGCTCCAGTATCTAACACAGCTAATGCACTTGGTGTACCTAGCATTAGAGCACATGGCAAATATGAAAAAAATCTGCTCTTAATCACTGTTGTGTTTTCATGAATATTTTAAATTTAAACAATCATACTTTAAATGACAAACATATATATATTCATGCAAAATTTAACTTGTGAAAGGAATTGTAATTTTTCTTTTTGAATTTATCACAAAAATATACATCTTGAGAAAGAAGCTTGATAGAACTGTAGTCAAACTGACTTTATGACCAGCTAATAATTAATTTACAGTAGTATATTGTAATGAGTTATCTCCCTTAGTAATAACACTCGTCTGTCTGAAAATTTCTGAAGATCATTAAAGAATGTGATATATTCATAACAGCTGCACATTGACATAGTCATGGATGTAAAGATTTTTTAAATATTTCCTCAGATGATAGTTTGAAATAAAGTCCTGATCAGTCATAATTTTGCATTAGTAGTGAGTAAGGTAATTCTGTGATGGCCATGGTTGTTGGATCTTGCGACACTGCAAGATCTACACAATGTCAAATCCATTCATAATATTACAGGATATAATAAAACCTTGTATTACCACTAGTTCTATTTGTGCAGCCAAAACCAGGCATTGTAAAAATTGCTTGTCAGCATATTGAAAAACACATAAAGCTAAAATGGAACTTAAAAAAAACAGGCAGTAAGATGGCAATGAAGCAAGGGGCATTATATTGAAATTGTACTGTATAATGTTACCCTACCATACATTGTCTGTTACACCTATTTAGTTAACCCCCACCCTGGGGATATACTGACCTAGCCAGTGTAACCCTCAATTCGTGTAGAATTTGGTTACCCCCCACCCTGGGGATATACTGACATAGCCAGTGTAACCCTTGATTCATGTAAAATTTGGTTAACCCCAACCCTGGGGATATACTGACCTTGCAAGTGTAACCCTTGATTCATGTGAAAATTTGGTTAACTCCCACCCTTGGGGATATACTGACTTAGCCAGTGTAACCCTCGATTCGTGTAAAATTGCGTTAACCCCACCCTGGGGATATACTGTTTAACTGGAAACTTTTACACATCACAGGTAAAATCTATATTTGCCCATTGTTAAAATCTCTCTTCCCATGTTACGCCTATAAATGGTAAGTTGAGTACTAATATTAATATAAATATAATTATATTCGCTGTCATGATAAATTTGCCCTCATAATGTAGGGTGAAAATGACAAAAGTTAAACTGTGGCAAAACAATGTCCTGGTATACTGACCCCACCCTTCATATATATAACATAAGACTACCTTTGGGGATATACTAGTACATACTGCAGGTTGGTTGGGCCATTGATAACATATTATGTGGTTGGTTTACGCACATCCCGGGGGTTATCCTTCCTGTGCCTATCAATCCAGAATATACTACTGTGCCAATCCAACCCCTGGGATATACTTAACGTGCCCATACAACCCCTGGGCTATACTTAACGTGCCCATCCAACCCCTGGGATATACTAACTGTACCCATCCACCCCGGGGATAAACTAACCGTACCCATCCACCCCGGGGATATACTAACCATACCCATCTACCCCTGAGGATATACTTACTGACCAATCCAACCCCAGGATATACTAACCGAAACCCATCCACCCCAGGGATATACTAACCGTGCCCATCCACCCCCGGGGATATACTAACCGAACCCATCCACCCCGGGGATATACTAACCGAACTCATCCACCCCGGGGATATACTAACCAAACTCATCCACCCCCAGGATATACTAACCGTACCCATCCACCCCTGAGGATATACTAACCGTACCCATCCACCCCCAGGATATACTAACCGTACCCATCCACCCCAGGGATATACTAACCGAACCCATCCACACCCAGGATTTACTAATTGTACCCATCCACCCCCAGGATATACTAACATTGCCCATCCACCCCCATGGATATACTAACCGTGCCCATCCACCACCGGGGAAATACTTACCGTGCCCATCCACCCCCAGGGATATACTAATTGTACCCATCCAACCCCGGGGATATACTAACCGTGCCCATCCCCCCCCGGGGATATACTAATTGTACCCATCCACCCCCAGGATATACTAACCATACCCATCCACCCCCCGGATATACTAACCATACCCATCCACCCCCCGGATATACTAACCATACCCATCCACCCCCAGGATATACTAACCATACCCATCCACCCCCAGGATATACTAACCGTACCCATCCACCCCAGGGATATACTAACAGAACCCATCCACACCCAGGATTTACTAATTGTACCCATCCACCCCCGGGGATATACTAACTGTGCCCATCCGCCCCCGGGGATATACTTACCGTGCCATCCACCCCCGGGGATATACTAATTGTACCCATCCACCCCCAATATACTAACTGTGCCAATCCGCCCCCGGGGATATACTTACCGTGCCCATCCACCCCCATGAATATACTAACCATGCCCATCCACCCCCAGGATATACTAATTGTACCCATCCACCCCCAGGATAAAATAATTGTACCCATCCACCCCTGAGGATATACTAATTGTACCCATCCACCCCCAGGATATACTAACCGTACCCATCCACCCCCAGGATATACTAACCATACCCATCCACCCCCAGGATATACTAACCATACCCATCCACCCCCAGGATATACCAACCGTACCCATCCACCCCCAGGATATACTAATTGTACCCATCCACCCCTGAGGATATACTAATTGTACCCATCCACACCGGGGATATACTAATTGTACCCATCCACCCCCAGGATATACTAATTGTACCCATCCACCCCCGGGATATACTAATTGTACCCATCCACCCCCGGGGATATACTAACCGTGCCCATCCGCCCAGGGGATATATTAACCGTGCCCATCCGCCCCGGGGATATACTAACCGTGCCCATCCGCCACCGGGGATATACTTACCGTGCCCATCCACCCCTGGGATATGATACACATGATTGTCTGGATCCTCAAGCTGCATGTTCTCAGCACTCCACATTCGCTGAGTGATGGTGTCTGACCGCTCAAAACATAAGTCCATTCTGACAGCAAGAAGTGATCAGTTTATTTAGAGTTATTTGTCACGGAACATATTCAGGGGGATTTACAGGGCTTCGGAAATCTTATTTTTCAGCTGTAAAGGGATAGCAACACACTGATGTACTGGGTAATCTATAAGGAAAAAGATTTCAAGAATAGAACCTTTTCTTGGTTATATAATGTTATAGTTATAATTTCGTGTCTGGTCATAACTTTTAGAATTTCACCTAGATTCAAAGGGACAGCTCTGGGATAGGGGCAATGAAAGATTGCCAAGCAGCCGAAGAGTCATCCTAGATATACAGGGGTTACGCTCACTTTCGCTCTCTTCAGAGCGTAGGTGATCGTAACCCCTGGAAATCGAGGATGCCGAAGAGTAGGTATAATGAAGGCTGTTAAGGATCGGCTACAGGGTCACAGTCACAGTGAACCTTTCCAATTCAAATGTTGGAATAGTTCATTATGAAATTTCAGGGGTGATTGAGTGATGGGCTAAAGCTAAGGGAATAGAGAGTTTACTGAGGGTTTGATAAAAATTTATTGAGAGATAGAGCTGAAAGACCTAGAAGTACAGTTTTAGGGAGTGTACATGTATAGGGGAAAAGTCATCCTTGATACTTCAGGGTTGATGCTCACTTACACCGCGGCACCCTTGGAACATGTCATGACAACAAAATATGAAGGCTCAGTGCGCACCACCTTGTTGAAGATACAAATAAGAACACTAGTTTGATCCTTTGATGTACATCAAAAGAATTGCACAGCAGCTTAATGGTAAAATTGACTGGCTGTTAAGTTGTGTGCCACTCCTCTGTAATCTTCAAAGAACAGTCATCTGTTAGGCGATTGGTCCAGATTTTTACCCAAGACCAATCAAAAAGCTAGCTGAGTACCTTCAATTTTGCCATAACATATTACAGGACGGCAGAGAGTGTAAGTAAAAAGAACCATTAGAGTACACAGGATGGGGAGAGTTTAGAAGAATTAATGTCAATTCAGGAGATCAAGTTCAATACACATTTTACCTCACACCATATAGGTACAGGAAGTAGAGAGCTGTGTCCTAGAATGAGTAGGTTGGGTTTAAAAGTTTCAGAGTATGGTTTACCTTACAACCGTTGATTGATTGACAGGGGGCCAAGAGATTGACAGGGGGCCAAGTGATTGATAGGGGGCCAAGTGATTGATAGGGGGCCAAGTGATTGACAGGGGGCCAAGTGAATGACAGGGAGCAAAGTGATTGACAGGAGGCCAAGTGTTTGACAGGGGGTCAGGTGATTGGCAGGGGGACAAGTGATTGACAGGGGGACAAGTGATTGACAGGGGGCCAAGTGATTGACAGGGGGCCAAATGATATAATTATGAAGCTAGTGTGTTGAGGGTTGAAAGTCTCAGCGTAGAGTTTATCTAACAGCCGTTGATTGAGTATTAGGGAGCCGAGTTATAGAATAAAGGGGCTAGTATGGTGAATGTTAAAAGTTGCAGTAAAAGACTTACCTCATTGCACACTGGCACAGAATGCTGACGAGCAGAGGGTATGGGTTCGGGGGGAAATGTTCGCCGGTGGCGATGTCTAGCAGGAAGTCATGCCATACCAGATCTACATGAGTATCCACTAGGTACTGTGGATCAGAAAACGCAGGGTCAACATTTTTTTCATTTGAAAAATATTAGAGATCTCTTGGTACATTTTCTTTGGTACTCCTTAAAAGTGCACTCTTTTGCCTTACATAGCTATGAAGGTAATGGTGATTCTGTTTTGTTGAGAAAGCCTTGATGATTCCTTTTCACACTTGACTTGTCGTAAAACAATAACGCCGTTCAAGAGGTGTCACTATTCACCTAGCATATGATTTTATATCCACATTCTGGAAATAATTTCTTATAGTTGTATACACTAAACTTTACAATCAGTGGTAAAAAAAATTGCATTATATTTTTCTCAGAATAACAGTTCCCAATAATGTCACACTTTGCTTTATATCACATTTTTTTCCAAATCAAAAGTGATATTAAGAGGATTGCAACACCAAGTCAGAAGTATGATTTTCATACTGACCCTCAGTAAGACTGCCTCCCTCGCAATCTGTTTGGACGTTGATGTGTCCTTGTTCATACATGATTGTACATCTATCACTTTAAAGGGAAGAAAATAATGAAATCAAGTTTGGTTTTTCAAAAAAATTGTTTCTGAATTAACAAATTAACTTGTACAGTTTCTCCCAATGCCTCAGGATCCATGTTTTCGACACTCATGGAATATTCAACCGAATTTTGTTGAACTAATTACGCAGTAGTGGGGTATAATTACATTATAGGCAGTTTAATAAGCTACAAATCTAAACTTACATAAGGAATGAAATAAGAAATATCTTCTAGAAAGATAAACAAACAGAGTTTTCATGTATGTGGTTACAAGTCTTTAAAAGCATTGCTTCCACATAAGCTGAAGTATTACAATAGAGCTCACAGTTGGAAGGGAAGTAACTCTATGTAACATCGTGTTATAAGATATGGATATAGAGGCATCCAGTGCCTGGGTCCATTACCTGTCCTATTAAATCCTATTAAATGTGTGTATACTTTATAGCAGTTTTGCCCATTTCAAATATAGTGTGAAATGCTGTGTCAAAAGTAAAACGGTTGATACTCCTTTGATACAATGCATAAGATATGGATGTAGCATTACACATGCTGCTTTGATGTAAAATGAGGGCGTAAACCTTTGCAGTGATTAGGCCTGTCACCTTAACAGTTCAATATAGAGGCTTCCATCTTGCATTTGTATCTAAAACCAAGTTCATATTTTGTAGAAACTGTATTGCTGTCCAATCCAAAAAACAGCCCAGCATTCAGTCAGCAATTTCTGGGTCAAATGATACAACCAATTCCCAAAACAATCATAAATGGCTGACGAAAAATGAAGAGATGAACATTTAATCCAGAAATGTCAAGTTGTATCATGTTTTTCACACCACACTCAACATTCGTATAAGTGATATTTCTAGTATCTATATTGTCTGTATACTGACCTCCGATAAAAAAAAATTGCAGTATGATCAAACTATGCACTGACCTCAATAAAAGGCTATAATTGTATAATGTAACTAACCAAATACTCTGCATCAGGTTGATAGACAATAAAGAGTAAAATTCAATTTTTGACGCCCTTGTTTTATTTTTTATCTTTTTTGTCTTCAACAAGAAGGAAAATTCAACAGGGCAGTGCAAAAAACAGAAGTACATTTAGAAGTACAGAGAGTGTATCTTAACTTAAACTCATTTTGTTGACATTAGCAGAAGGATTGGGTACATTATGGTTACATGATAACTATGAAAGCCAGGATAGTATGCACGGAATAACACTAGGTGAATTTATTTTCTTTTTGATAGCAGGCACATACCGAGATTTAGTGGGGTGAAAATATCAGATTTAGTCGGGTGAAAATATCAGATTTAGTGGGGTGAAAATATTAGTCACTGAAATAAAAACTATAATAAATGACCTAAATTATACATACCATAACGTTCATGGTTTTTGATGTGGTCATTCTCCATGCCATGGTCTACCTGTGTCTCCATGTCACTTCCCTATTGAAAAGCAAAACTAGGATGAGACATTATATTATATAAATCATGAATTCTACTGAAGGTGATAAATATCTTGATCATCTGCTGCAAGTCATGCTGATGTGAGATGACAAATATCTCCTGACTACTGAGTGAACTATCAGAAATTCATGTTTTTTTTAAGAAATCGGACTATGTAAAACTGAACTGACATACCACAGGATCACTTCTCTGACGATGTCTTGTGATGGGGCGTGGCGCACGCTCTGGAAATGTCACTTGCATCTTCAAAACAAACTCCTACAACATGTACAGTAAATGATTTGTTGGAGCTAGAGTAGGGTAAACCAGAACGTATTATTATAAAAATTATATCATGTAACAGCTACAAATAAAGGAATAGTGTACAGATATGAAATCAAAATAGGCTTATGGGCAAAAAGGCTGAAATTTTATTTTTCAATCCTTTCTATTGGCAAATTTAACGTTTGCATTGCACTAAAATTCTTAAAAACAACTGAATTAGCCAAAAGGTTGACAGTTTCTTCTCTGATTCAAAGCTTTAGCCTTTAATTTGCTATCTTACACATTTTACATGTCATTTTTATTAGAGTATAATTAAGGCTAGATTAGACAGTGTATGACTAACTTGCGTAAATGTTAGACGCTACCTTATACTGATTGTGCTAAACAAACATTGATATGTCTACTTTTGACAGTACCTTGAATATTGGTGCCCTTGGAAGCGAATCCTCCACGACTTGGATCAGTAGTGTCAGACAGTACCAGTTCAGGTTCTTCAACGTCTTCATGGACTGATATGGAACAACAGTATAAACTTAATCAGGGCCTCAGTTTGACAAGAAAAAAACTTGAGAAAAGTTAGAAATACATAAACAGGGCCTTTGAAAGAAAATGGCGATCATGATCAAGGTGTAGGGAGATGACTGACGGGGAAGGACAAATCAGAAATGCATGTTTGGGGCCATGAAAGAGCAGAAAATGAAATCAATATAAGACTATCTCTTTTATAGGATTTAGTAAAGAAACTTGGAAATTGCATGTAAAAAGGTGACTAACACAAAAATAACTATAGTATGAAATCTGGACAACTTTTAAAACCCAGGGATGACTGATCATAAATACATGTTCAGGGCCTAGCGTTGGGAACAAAAGCATTGTTAACTTATGGCAGCAAAGCCTATGGAAACTTGATAGGGAAAATTATTCTAATCCAGAAAAATCCTTTTAGTTACTTTATCTTCTATATAGAGTACGATTAAAACTGATGCAGGGGTACCCATTCACCCCTAAAGTTACATTTGAACCTTGCCTAATCAAAGACTGGGCAAGTCCAGTTTAAAGCTGTAGGGGTGAAAGAGTTAACAGAATCAATTTTGTACTTACCGTCTGTATGTGATGTCCTGATCCAAATGGTATGACTGATCCAGGCATTAAGTCATCAATCTGAGACAAAATAATCTTACCAACAGTGATTTGGTCTGCACTTCTTACATTCCTGTAACAGTGTAATGCAACTTACTACAGTAGTGTTTATATCAGATACTATTAGGTATAATTTACCTCTTAATTCTTTAAAAAAACCCACCAAAGGGGCCAATACATAATCTCTGACTAGATTGTGTATGTGACAGGTTAACATTATATTTGGCTTATTTTATACTGGGTTGTACATGCATCAACTTACATTTATTTGAATTCACTTATCATTATATCTACCGATACCAAGAAATTACTTATTTCCGTAAAAGTGTTTTTTCACATGTCTTAAAGTGAATATTATCATGAAGACATACATAAAAGAAGTTGTGTATTATTATGTAGATATATGCTAATTATAGATAAATTAACTCTTTCACCCCTGAACACACTTTTAAACTCTTCAAATTCAAAGGTTGGAATAGTTCATTATGAAATTTCAGGGGTGAATGAGTTAAAACCAATATGAGATAGACCACTGTCTGTGTCTTACTTACAAGTCGCTATCCAGAAGGTGGACCACTGCCTCCCTGTATTTAGCCATTTGTTCTTTCAATACACTTGTTTCTTTTGTCTGTAAAAGTTATAATTAAGATAAAGAGTTCCATTTGTTTTATTTTGTATACAGCCCTTGAAAAGATATTTTCCTGTAAAATTTTCCTCTTCATTTAAACAGAAATTATTATAAGTAGTTAAACATTTTTAGAGATAATTGTATTCCAATCATTAACTTTACAAATAGGACTGATAGTGCAGTGGATAAGCCGACTGTTTATGATCAAGAGGCACCTGCATCAAAACTCTATGGTGGAGATTTTTCTGATGGTTACCAGAGTATTATAATAAAATATTTCTTTTTTAGGTTTTTAGCAATTTTCCTATAGATCATTAGTACATGTGTAAGCAACTGAAAGTCAGAAAAAATACTTAACAACAAAATATGTCCAACAAAGGCATATAATTTGATTCCCACAATGACAGCATCCAACAAATCCAGTCTATACAATTCTGGGCCCTTATTCATGAAACCTTTCTTACAATGCACAAGTATGGATTCTGTGGTCATATCAACTTTCTTGTTACTCGCTTAAATAATATAACATAGTCAAAAAAATAAAGTGTTAACATTTGAAACATTATTTGGCTTAAAACATTCCAAAATTCAACAAAATCATCAGTGACAAAGTGTGATCTTTCATTAATGTATAACAGGTAAAAGCAGTTGGGCTTGGTCACAGAATCTAACTTCGAGCATACCGGTAATAACAGTTTCATGTATATGGCTCCAGATCTCTATGCAAACAGGCCAAATTGATTGGACCCATAGATGTCCAGTGTGATCGGAGTACACTGTGATGTTCTTTATTTGTAAATCTGGTTGCTTATTCTTACACAGTCTTCCCATATTTGTTCTCTAGAAAATGAAATTCATTTCATTATTTTGTATTAAATTACAACTTACACTGCCAAATCCTTTAAGGAAAAAGCGCAGACTCTTGTTTTGTTCCATTAGATAATATATCCTTCCGGCAGTTCCATGCAAAAGGCGGAAAATCTCTACCTCCAGTCCCCTCTCAAAGGAATCTCTATGGAAACAAAACAACCATACAAATTCTTTACATAATATATCCATCATCTTTCATGAAGTTTTCTGTTAAATAATTCTAGATGTAGGGTTTAAAATTTCTTCTCAGACGATAATAACATCAATATAGGCCTCATAATTATGAAGATTTTGTTTGAACTTTTAGAACAATTTGAACTTATGTGACATGTATTTGACATAAAAAAAATGATAGCCATCTTCCCTAGCAAGCCACATGATAATTGCATGAACCATGAATCTGGGCCTGATATTTTTGTAGAATAAGTTATTTGACGTTTTAACATATTTAACCCCCTGACACTGAATGTTATTAAAGGTCATTTATTTAAACAAACTTGACATGCAGCTCTTCACAACACAACAAGCTACAGGCCAAAAATCATGATGACTTTTGGTCTTATAGTTCTGCAGAAAAAGCTGTTTCAATTACGTAAATATTTATTAAGGTCAGCTGTACGTTTTAATTACATACCTTTCCAGGAGTAAAAGGATGATGACACAGTAACAGGAATCAAACAGCTCTGCATGCATATGGTGGCCCGCCAGTTTTTGTTGTAAGTATGACCTTCAGAAAAGTTAACGAACAAGTACAGATAAAATTAACGTGGTTCTTAAGTGGAATAACTTAATCTCTTTTTAAAATATTCCAATTAATACATTTCATACTAATGGAAGCTTACTTTAAGGACCCCTGTCCCAATGCACTGTTTTTTTTGCATTTACAGTTACCTCCCCTTAACTTTTGTTCAGATATAACTAGCACAGTTGGGCTTGTACACTTCCGTTGACTAGGTTATAAGCTCAGACAATTAGAGGGATAGTATAACAGTCTGAAGTCCAGGGCCTGAATCTCGGTCTAGCAAAGCTAAAGTTTTACTCGGAGCACTATTTATGATTATATTTTGTGTATTTCATCTTGAATATTTTTCATGAAAACCCTGCAAAGTATGGTTTTCTTTTCAGAAATGATTTATCAAAGTTATAGTCATGCTGGAAAAAACAGTTTCCAATACTTTGTTACAGTTTTGGCAGTGGTACGAGGATTCTTAATTAACATTGATATGAGGTCTAGAAAGATTAAAAGTAGCTGAATATGATAATCTCCAAGTATTTTCCTACTTTAATTATAAAGAATTTTCAATAGACTTGAAGTCCATCCATAGCCTCACAATGAGGTTGGTACATAGTTTTATTTACCTATTAGAAGAAATATCAAGGAAATAAATAAAGGTAAAACAACATCATGATTTTTATGAGGAATCAGTTGCCATGAAACTAAAGAAATCTGCATTTTCTTTTGCTCGAATTATATGTAAAGACTAGAAAATAGTTACACTCACTTAAGAGGGGCAGTGATTTGCCAGGCAAAAGGCCCATAGGTTGTCTCATCTCCTAGCTTGAAGCCGTCGATCCTTATCTTCTGTGGATTAAGTTGACTGAGGCGGTCATGTATGTGTCGGCGCACGGTGCGTACATCTTGTTCCTGATTGCCTGTAAAGGGGCGGTTTGTCTGGCTTTGAGCAGTAGCGCGTCCACTTCTGATGCTATGGCCCCCTGGTGTAGTCCGACGCTTGCCAGCAGTGGCGTGGGGAACTAGAGCCATATATTTATTAATTTTTTTTTTAATTAACAAATTAGAAAGTATAGATATAATGGGCATCTTCTGCTAATCTGTTATCTAACAGACACAGTAGAAAAAGTGCTCTCTCTCTTACTCTATAGATGGGGGGGGGGATTGCCTTCATTTGAAACAACATGGAAAATACTTGTAACAAGGATATTTCTTACTGAAATAGCTAAAAATTCCTTCCCCTACACGGAAGTACATAGAAGTTAGATTAGATAAGTTGGGATTTAGTGAGTCAGGTGTTGGTAGAAGTCAGGTGTCCATCAAATTTGGATGTCAGTAAATCAGGTATCATTGATTAAGTCTAGTGTCGGTTAAGTATGTCATCAGATGCCTTTAAGTCAAGTGTTGGTTCAGTCTGGTGATGGCTAACTGTGGTGTCAGTTAAAATAGAATTTCAGTAAGTTAGCCGTGGGTTAAGTCAAGGTGTCCGTTAAATAAGGTGCTTGTAAAGCAAGGTTTTACTGTATTCAGAGCTTAATATTCTACCTCATTAAAGCTTTGTTTTTTTTTATGATGGAAATCTCATTTCATACCAACATCAAAACTTTTGTTTTGGAAATCATTTCATGAAACTTGAATATTTTATTTGTTTTTATTGTATTACATGTGTATTGTGGATGTATTAGGTTACCTGGGGCACGAGTCTCTGCCTGCTTGAAGTGGTCGACCTGGGGCGAGAAGATGGACAGATAGGCCTCGGCATGGCTCCGGTTCAGGAAGACTCCCTCATGCAATGACGACATTGGATACTCGCAGAAACTTGACAAACTGCAAAAACATAGGAAGGTAACAGATAAAAATTCAACATAAAGTCAGAAGTATTCATTGTTAAAGTCCATCAGCAAATAAAGCAATATGTGGTCAAGCAAAGGGCTAGATGTATTAAAAGGCAATTGTTTATAGCTGGTGGTATATTAAAACCACATTATGAGTAAAAGAAGTAATATTAACGGTGGTAGCTTCCTGAATAACACCGGATCCTTGCACACGTATGTTTGTAGGATACGAATTATTTAAAATTTTATATGTACCAAAACAACATTATTTATATATATCTGACAAAATAAACATCCTCATTTAGTTCTCTTTAAAAAGTAGATAACAGATTTCTAAGTCAGTAAGTGGAGAACAACTATCTCCTGAACATCTGTAGTTGCTATTATGTTTGGATTTATATATTTTTTTTTATTTATTGACATTTATACATAGGAATGTATGCTCCACTGAAGCAATGTTAACACACATTGTGCTTGAAAATAGCTTTTCTCAAAATATTATTTAAATTTTTATTGATAATCTAAAATGTTAACACCTAGACATTCCTACATGTTGGAAACTATCAGCTACAGTGAAATAGTTATGTACTGAGTCTAACATCTACCACAAACATTAAAATACTTACCTGGTATTTTTTGTGAACCAAACATTTATACAAAATTCTGAAATTATCTTTGGTAGAAATATTTTAATTTATTTACAGAAATTATTTAAATATACCTCTGGTATATTAGCGCTGAATGACTAGAACTATTGCAAGTTTAATGCTTGTTAGAATTTGGTGAACTACATGAAAATACAGGGTAGTACATGTAAGTATAGTACATATAGTACATATGTACTGGTAAACATTTAACAAAGTATAGGTTTAACACAATTAATGGGATCTAAATTAACACATTAAATGGGGTTAAAATTAAATTAAATTTAATGGGGTTAAAATAAAATACAATTTAATGGGGTTTAGATAAAACAATTAATTACAAGATGATATAAATATAACAATTATTAGTCTAGCAATATAACACATTTTACAAGGTATGAGCTATGTAACACTTAAAACGTATTTTGATAAACACATTTAAATGTTCATAATAAAAACAACATGTTTTACACATTTAATGGGATATACCTATAACACTTTAAAATTGATATGTATTAGATACATATTTACAGTAAAACTTCGTTATACCGCCACCTTCTGTCCTCTGTGAGTTTGGCGGAATCACACGCCAACTAAACTTATACTTTGAAAAAATAATAATTTACTTCAGAATATGTTTTTTTTTAAAGTTGTAATTTATTGAATCAAATTGTTGAGCGTGCAAAACATACAGCTGATTACCTGGTCAGTCGACAGTCACGTGTAACAATACAATGTACATACGTACAAAACATACAGCTGATTACCTAGCCAGTCGGCAGTCACGTGTAACAATACAATGTACATACGTACAAAACATACGGCTGATTACCTGGTCAGTCGGCAGTCACGTGTAACGATACAATGTACATACGTACAAAACATACAGCTGATTACCTGGTCAATCGGCAGTCATGTGTAACAATACAATGTACACAGGTACAAAACATACAGCTGATTACCTGGTCAGTCGGCAGTCATGTGTAACAATACAATGTACACACGTACGTAATATTTCTGTCATCGGGATATACCTGTACTCGACTCAAATTGGCAGTATTTAATGAGGTCAAAATAGTGTGATTTTAACCATTTGTTTTGGGAATATGATGGCAGGTTTGGCGGTATAACGGTTGGCATTACAAAGGGGGTTTACTGTATATAAATGAATGTATATCTAAATATCACAGTTAAAATAGACATCACACAGGTTAACATAACGTAAAATTCTAAAAATCAATGTTATTGCTACGTGTGTTTGTAAATCTAAAATCATACCTGGTCGACTACAACCTGCCTATAGCACTACCTTTCAGTGCCTACATTAAGTGTCTATGGCTACATGTACATTTTAACGCTCAGTTACTGTAAACATACACATTTTAGTGGTAATCTTATTTTAGCACTTTTCAAACTATAAATATTGCGATTAATTATGCTTGCTCATTTAAGTCTCTGTACATTTGTTTATTCAATCATTCAAGCATATTTTATTGACATCAAAAAGTCAAAGGGATTGGGCACAAGTTCTTACAACTTACTAGGCCCTCTCCTGTTTGTTTTTTATTGCATATATTGTGGGTTCACCAATTCATCAATGTGCTTATAAATTTTAAATCTGATTTTGCAATTCAACTTGAGTGTACTAAAATAAGTATGTTTACAGGATCTGGTAACAAGTGCACCACATCAATAAAAAAATCAATTAGAATTTAAATACACAGAGCTTAGCCTACATTCACACATAATGGATCAAAACTTATTCTGTTATTCATATTGTTTGAACTTCTTCATATTCTTTTATGATAATAAGTACTCAAAGTTTCAGAAAATTCAAACAATTTAAAGATTCAATTTACTGTGACAGCTGGTAAACAGCATACCATATATAGAAATAATGATATGCGAAGAGCAAAATTAATGTTCGGTAAAAATGGATTTAAAAAAAAGGAAATGTGTCTACAATTTTACTTTTTAGTTGAATTTATGGGCTGATATGTTTTAGCAAGCATACAACCAAGTGTGATTTTATAAACAATGTTATGGAATAAACATGAACAATATGGCTACCCGGACTCATTGTTTGTACTGCTCACGATGTCGTTGTCATATCCATTCCTGTCAGAAATACAAGTGCAGTTTATATTAATGTGAACATCACTTCCCAGCTGTATGAACAACATGAAAACCCAGGAATAATATTACTTCACAGAATCTGAAAGTGTGAGATAATACAAATTAGAATGTTGTTCAATCCGTTTTTTAATGTTTCAGGTAAAAAGAAGAAATATATTCATACCTTCCATTCACAATCGGCTCTCATGCTGTGAATAACACAAATAGATATCCTTACCATAAACAAATATACAAATTGCACAATACATCGTCTATGCTGATCATAGAAAATCCACCCCACAAGTTATCTCCCTTTGTTTGAACCTACCCTTCATTTGCACCAGCTGTCAGTGAGAGTGAGATGAAGTTGAGGCCAAACTGGACCTGCCCTCTGGTGTAGGTCGCCACGTCAGGATCAACACGAAAGATACCCTGCAGAAATATAATAATAATAATAAACTTTATTTGATGAGGATTAAAAACCGGATTTAGCCAAAGGCTAATCTCCCTCAGGGTCCTCTATATTAGTAAAATGTGTCAGTTTTACATAGTATTTTTTAAAACATAGTAATATAAATTAAATATAAATGACACCTATAATATAAGTTATGAAATTGCTGAAAATATTACATGCAATTATATAGTACAATACATCAAATATCACAGAAAGCATAAATCTCATGTTTAGGGTCTGATAATAGTTAAATTGCCTGGAGCCTTACATACATATATGCTAATATAGTAAAGTATAAAATTTGCCAGGATATATGCTAATATAGCATAAATTAAAAACTATTTTCTTGATCTAAAAGGATGAAGCACAGTAGTGCCTTATTGCTCTATGCTTAAAAGTGTTAAAAATAGAGAAATACAGAGAAATAAAAATAGAGGGTTAGAAAATATAGGAGACTAAAATTACACGTCCATTTTTTTGGCACCATACTTAGGTAGGATTATCTAAAAAAGTATTTTTCGGGAGTGCGGCATGAATTACTCATCCATTATGTTTTGTTCCAAACACCAGGTGTTTTCAAAGGTTTTCACATATAATGAATAATTTTATGAGGGACTATTTTATCATGGATAAGTGCAAAGGAGAGGTGGCTATAAAGACTACATTTTGCACATTTAATTTTCGTTATTTTTCTTATTGTCTAAATTGATTAAATATTCTCATACTCAGGAAAAAGATTAATTAAAATCTGCATTTAGACATTTTTAAGTTATAATGCCATAGCTTTGGTCAGAAAACTTTCACAATTAAGAACATAACTTTCTTCTAATTTATTTACATTTATCTGTTCACAAATTTTTCATTTCAACTCAGAAGAGGTTCACTGAAATGAAATATTCTTCAACTGTTTTGTAAATTTCATATGCAATGGACACTCATGTATGATCCTATGTGTATATTCAATTGTACCTGTATGTACAATTTATATACCATATATGCAAAGAGAGCCTCTTGGCAGATTAGCCTTCATTGTTTGTTTAATAAGTTGCACTGTGACATATTTTAGATTTGAGCAAAATTATAATTCCAAAAGATTATTTCGTAAAAATAAAATCGCAAGAAATTCAAAGGGTAATTTTTCAAAAATAAAAATAAATAAAAATCTGAATGTCCCTATAGCTTTTGGTCTGGTAATTTCTCTTAACTTGTTGTACCCTCTAAAATTTTATTTTATTATATTAATTTATTACTCAAGATAGTAAAGGTATAGGAAACAACCAGCTGGCCACTACTTACATCCATGTAGATATACTTGTTGGACAGGACAGTGTCACTCATAGCTTGTAAAAATGTCTCCTGCAATCAAATCAAATGTCAAGTAAAATAAATGTTCATGTATTCACACATCAACAGCTGTTTAAACTGATATTCTATTTATTTATTTATCCTCAGATCAAAGGTTACAAAGCCCTTAACAAACAACTGTTATTCCATACTCTTATCAGTACTAAATGACCTACCTGTACTTACTGACCTCCCTAAACTAACTGACCTCCCTGTACTGAATGACCTACCTGTACTTACTGACCTCCCTAAACTAACTGACCTCCCTGTACTAGCTGACCTCCCTGTACTGAATGACCTACCTGTACTAACTGACCTCCCTGTATTAGCTGACCTCCCAGTACTGAACGACCTACCTGTACTAACTGACCTCCCTGTACTAACTGACCTCCCTGTACTAGCTGACCTCCCAGTACTGAATGACCTACCTGTACTAACTGATCTCCCTGTACTAACTGACCTCCCAGTACTGAATGACCTACCTGTACTGAATGAATGATACCTGCAGTGAATGACCAATCTGTATTGACTGACACTTGCACTGAATGACCACTCTGCACTGACTGACACCTGCATTGAATGACCACCCTGTACTGTCTGACACCTTCACTGACTGTCAACTACACTGAATGACAACTCTGTACTGACTGACACCTGCACTGAATGACCACTCTGTACTGACTGACACCTGCACTAAATGACCTCCCTGTACTGACTGACACCTTCACTGACTGTCACCTGTACTAAATGAACACCATGTACTGACTGACACCTTCACTGAATGACCACCCTGTGCTGACTGATACCTGCACTGAATGATCTCCCTGTATAGTGTACTGACTGACACCTGCACTGAATGACCAACCTGTACTGACCGACACCTGCACTGAATTATCTTCCTGTACTGACTGTCACCTGCAGTAAATTATCTCCCTGTACAGTGTATGACTGACACCTGCACTGAATGACCAACCTGTACTGACTGACACCTACACTGAATGACCACTCTGCACTAACTGACCTCCTTGTTTAATTGACCCATTTTTATGACAGACTTATATATTTTATCTTTTGTTTGTACTGACTGACTGTACCCACAAATCCGATTTCTGATTGAACTTTGTCACTGTTATAAAGGACATCAAATATAACAAATCATCTATTCACATGATCTGTGTGACCTCTACCCCATGACTAACCTTTTCTTGCTGTATGCGGTCAGGGTCCCAGAAATCCATGAGGGTGACTGTCGGAGAGTCGTTGTCTCCGTATGGAAGGTTGACTCCGAGGATCAGGTGACGAGGATTTGTGTACATACCGTCTATCTCAGCCATCACAGAGTTTACAAAGATGGACACTCCCTGTTGTATAATATCAAACACAAATCAAACTGGTAAAATCTGAGTTTTTATTTCTGTGCTAAATAACTGAAGACAAAAAAAAAGAAATATAGAAACAAAACGATAAATCAAGAAAGTAGAAAAACAATAAAAAGGAAGAGGAAAAGAAAAACAGAAATTGAAAAACTTAAATGAATTATGTATATATCATTGATGCTACCTATCCGAATGATAGACAATCCTGTGTGTTATTGGAAAGAGATACTTCAAATTCTGAAATGATTCTGCTCGTTTGAGGATAAATAGTGCCAGTTCGTCTAGGAGGCCCTAGGCTTTGAGAATCAGAAGCTGCTTGGAAACAGTTGATAAAATAATTGGGAGTCTCACATGTACATGTCTGAAATAAGTTTTTTCTTAAAAAATAATACAAAACTATTCATTCATATGACCTAACATTATATGTCTTTCTAGCAATGACTGGAGGGTCATTACTTTGGAGGCATACACATTTATGACAGAGAGTTTGACCTTGAAATCCAAAGTAATAATTAAATGCTAATTATTATCATGTCATATCGACAAACTGTCATTTGTGTATATTATATAAATAGATATGTTAAAAATATTCATGCAACCTAAAATAATTTTAGACAAATACAGAGGAAATAACACAAAATTACCAGGAAAAAGATCCAAGGCCTGTATTACAGATCGTGGTGGAACTCTCAACCTTAACCCTTTCAACACTGTATACCATAATGGACTCATCCAAGTCAATATATGGTAGTCTACTAAAGTTACATAGGGGTTACATAGGGGTGAAAGGGTTAAACAACCATTCAGCAACACTATTCGTTTATACTGACCATTTTCACATCCTCGCCGGTGATAAGGAACTCCTTTCGCAACTGAAGGTTGGAGACTTGTTGGTAAAATGTGCCTTCGAAAACACATGGGCCTACCATTGCAACCGTCACCTGGTTCTGTAACCACGACAACCAGATTTTGTTTAAGTATCACATTTAAATGCTATATAGTCAAGCTTAAAAATTATTCTAAAATATCAATAATCTGGAGTAACACAATATAGCTGTTTACTACATATAATTGCACCCAAACCAACAAATAACAATATGCAAATGAGCTTATCATATGGCCATTCACATTTAGAATGAGTCTAAATGCTCAAAACATCTGCTTATGGGCAAAAATTAAGAATTTTATGAAATTTAACAAAAGATCAAAACAAGTGTTTTAGCCAGCTATGAAGAGGTTAGATTTGGATAGGGTTGCCCATAAAAGTATTGTATAACTGAAAAATGTTTGTAAATTATACTTGTACCCTCACTCCTGCTTTGATGGAATTTAACACAAAGTCTAACAAAACCAGTGCAGCAGAAAATCTAGGTCACTGTGACCTACAATCAATATATTGCTATAATACTCCATGCAGCTATCAGTAGATGAGTGCTGAACGTCTGGAGTTCATGGATTTTGTTTGACCCAACACTTTTCTCTTTAGCCTTGCTCAGAGAAGAGGTGGGTCTTTGACAAAATTACCACTTATTATTGTTATTTGATCCAATACTAATTTTTTTAATGAACTTTGACCCAAAACTTACAGTGTAGCCTGGCTCAGAGAAGAGGTTCTCCGGCTCCGGTGTCATGTTGTCCACAAGCCATTTATAACGGGAGATTTGTTGAGGGCTGATCACTCGGAGAATACTGGACAGTCCCCAAATATTGTCATACCCTCGCACAAAGAACAGATCCTGCATAATCGACTCTTGAAGGTTGTTGTCTGTAAAGTATTCATATGTAGTTATTGTTTTTTGAGGATATGTTATTGTGGAACAGTAAATTTAACTACATTTGGCATTAGGTAAACATAACACTACCTCAATCAAATTTCACAAATATTCCTTAGATTGAAGAAATTTCTGAATTTTAAAAGTACATGTTATCCATAGGAAAGCATTATTTCAATTTATTGGAGTTTTCCTTTCTCGGAAATGTTCCTTAATTTAATTTCAGTAATATTTTTCTATGTAAAACCTTAGGTTTAAGATTTCCTTACCTTAAAGTAAGTTTACTGTTATATATATATAAACTTTATTTATTTAACAACAATTATGAAACAAGTTTTTACATCTTATACCAATCACTATTGTTGGCCCAGATGTTAGCTAGCGCACAGGGGGACTTACTGTGGGAGGAAACCGGAGTACCCGGAGAAAGTTTACTGTTAGGTGTTGGTCATACAATGTTAATAACTGGTAATTACTGACATTCACAGAACCTTTTTCACATACTAATGACAAACCATGAAACGTTCCTGAAATCATTTCATATTTAATTACAAATTAAAGATTAAAAAAATATTTTTATTTAATTCTTAATAAAAACAGAAAAAAATATTTGTCTTATATTTCTTATACATTTTTTGTTTCTTTGTACTTTTGTATCATTTTTAATTGAGACATAATTTCCCCAATACATGTATTTACAATATCACAAAATATTCCTGATGGAAAGTTTTTAAAAACTTCAGGTAGGGTCTTCTGAAAATTTGACTTGTTCTTGAAAGATCATTGTAGTTTCATCTTGTGGCAGTAAATGTCATGTTGACATAGATCTTTACAATTCTACTGCTTTTGAAAAGATTTGAATATCAAATACGCTTTTGGTAAGTGACAGTGTGAAGGGAAGTCACTGTCCAGAAAATACATGATCATGATCTAAGTATTATTTCATCATTTGTATAGCTATTCAAACAAACATGGCAGCCGTTCATTTCGTCCTTGGAGAAACATCCCATGTTGTCAAATCTGTTCGGGAGACTTCCTATAATAACAGGTCACCTCAATTAAAGGACAAGAGTTATCTCTTTTTCATGTTAACCAAACCTGTAATGACAGCGCACGACTACCTGTATTAAAAGACTACTTTTATCAATACTAATATACTAACAAGCTACATTTATATTGCGCCCCATATAATTTGTAAAATTACTCTAAAGTGCTTTACAACATATGGATATTAGTATTAGTTATACAAATGAATAAATAAAGGGTGGTATGTACATGACGTCTGCGCAAAGAGCCTTAAATGCAGAAGTGAAGAGGTGGGTCTTTATTTCCTTCTTGAATTTGGCCAGAGTATTTTACTTTTAAATAGCAGATGGTAACAAATCAAGCTATTCCACAACGTGGCCAAAACCCCCGTAAAAATGACTACCAAGGGTGGTCTATGAACACAAGCTTACTGTATTTTTTCAAACAGGAAGAGGAAATTGTATTTGTGTCTACTAATCATCCTTCCAAAGCTAATATTACAGTGCTTACATGAAAGAAAGTTACTACGAGAAAAGGTGAATGGATAATGATATACCGGGTAGGTGATCATTTTAAATACATACGTAATATTTGGTGAATTTTTCCTTCTGGAATTTGGTCTAGGTGAAACCTGACGTAAAAAGAAATATTGAAAAAAACTATTTATTGATAATGCTCTACTGGAAAAGAGACAATTTGTTTGATATATTCTTTGGATTTTCTTAAAACTTTATTTGAATAATTAGGTCAGTTCTCTTGACCAATATTAATAAATATAAATGCTTAATTTGTTACAAACATTATTATAAATTTTTGATGTGATCTTTATATTTGTGAATGTTATAACAAATGCTCGCCATACTTAACAGTTTACCATTTCACAAAAAAGTTAGATACAAATCTTGTTACAAAAAAATCTGTACTACATATTATCAACATTAGAATGCAACATACATTAAAGCAATTCATAATTTGGACATACACACAATTATGATGGGCTTACTTTATTTTTGGATAAACGGTATTAGACAAAAAAGGCAACTATACACCAACAAAAGCATCAAGTGTTCAACATTGTTATACAAAACATAAGATTATATATAGCTGGTTATATTGTTCTGACAAGTAAAAGCATTTCATTGCAATATTGTGCTTAGTTATTTTATCCTATAGCATCAAACAGAAGACACAAAGAAACCATACCAGAAATAGATAGATATAAAACTAGTCGAAACCCTTTCAAAGGGGAGACAACTCAACATCCAGGATCCTGAAAAGAACAGTGTAATTACTTGTGTAAAGAAAGATCAAATGTTGCAATAATGAATAGTTACATAAAACATGTATATACAAAAGGTGGGAGTATTAAATTAAAATTCTGTAGAATTATTATTAATACTCAATAAAAACAAAAGGTCCATTGGGCTGAATCGTTCACCTGCCATTCATATAATATAAAAATGTTGACCTTCCATGATGTACGGTCTAGTTCATATCTGTTAAACAAGCATACTGTAATTACTCCACACATAATGGATCTTTATTGGAAGATTTTATCTAGCTACATCTTAGGAATCTTTGTTGAACGAACCTGATAGTTATTCATCCTAGCATGATAACAGCCAAATTTCATCACCTAGGGTATTTTGGTTATTTAGAAAAAGCTGTTTAAACATTTTAACAAGTTAAACCCTGTGATTTTAACAGTGGGTCATAAGTTCATTTGAACAAACATTATAGCCTGTTATCCAAGTATGCTCAGCCTACGGTTTGACCCGCACCTAATTCCAACAAAGACCATTCTTGTTGGATTGCACTCAGAATATATGTAATTAAAACATACGAAAAGTCTAGAAAAATCTAAATAGGGGAACATATTGGATTTTCCGATTAAAGTGTGCAAAAATATGTTGATAATATATTGCGCGTATGTGTAGCCGTAGGTGCAAAGGGAGATAAATCCTACCAGCAAGCACGTTTGTTTATATTCTGTGAGCAGACTTATTTATGACGACTTGACAGAAAGCTGTTGTAAATATGGTGAGTGGTGACAGACATTGAAATATAATGATCACTTACACTGTATATATACATGTAACATGATATAAAAATGGTATTGTGTATGCTGAGTGTACGTGTTTGACTTGGTTGGAGAGTGTTGTCTGCTCGAGTCCCGAATCGTAAAACCGTGCCGTACAACAGGTTCATAAACACTGAAATTTTACCAAACTAAGTGATGTCAGGGTTCAAAACAATTATTATACCAGAGTTCGATTTAATTTTAACCGTGTAGAAACGGTTATTTGATTAAAATTATTTTTTGAATGACTGGACCAGTGTATATTCCGTACGAAAAATAAAACTATGGAACCCTATAGTTGCCGTACACACTGGTTTGATCCGGTCTACGACATACATAATGTAGATGGTAATTAAATGTACTTAACAGTTTGTTGTGCAGGTATACACGTCATTGCAATTATAAGTGACATTTAAACACATACAAATGACATTGCTTATTCGCTTATTGACTTAGTCTTTTTATGGGAGCGTGGGGGGGGGCTGCAAGTTCGACACCACGAATTATATATATATAAGGGTCCTGACGGTATTTAATTGGACAGACGCTTGAGATACCGTCAAAAGCAATATAATACGATACGGAATGGTTTGTTTTTTGTTTTTGTTTACTATTTATGGAAGACAGGACATTTTCCCAAAAAATAGTGCGAATACGTTACTTAAAAAACCCATTATAGACCGAACTTACCCAGCTCTAAAGATCTCCCTGTCCACTTAAGTTTGCAAGCACCATCATTCCAAAAAAATAGATAAGGGGATAGGGGGGTGGGGGGTTGGGGGTCTACATACGATCAAATGGCCCATCCCCAATCCGATATTGTCAAACTGCTTTTACCTGCAATCTGTATAATAGAACATATTATCAATATTGTGTTTTATTATTTGTTTCATAATCATACAACTTCTGTTTTATTTAGTTTTATTTATATTATCTTGTTTTTTATATCTTTTGTATTATAATTTTTATTATGTTCTTTTTGATATGATTTTGTGGAAAATGTAAACAAGTAACCGTCGTGTAAACCAGACGTCTATGGTCTTCGGACTTCCAGAATTATCAGTGTTGCCAACAAAGGTGTGGTAGGTGTGTATTTTTATATTTTATTTTTACACCTTTCTTTTTGCTTTTTGTTTCTTATAATTACATTTTACTTCCAATGTAACCGTTTTCTCTTTACCTCTATTAGTTTCATTTGCTATATATGTGATATACATTCCACATTACCACCACGCAGACACTAATGGTGGTGATGTTTTTATTGCAGGAAATATGAGCCGCTGTGCAATTTGCAAAGTGCCTGTCAGAGACGGGGAATCTACAGTTACCCTTCGAGAAAAAGGCAGCAATGGTATCAACAAAGCCAGCAAGGCACGTGACAATTCCAACGTCAATACATCTGCTGGCGATGTGGTGCACACAGAGTGTAGGCGTATATACTGCAATGCGAACATTATAAAGCGGGATGCTGGGCTATTGGAAGCTAGGGATACAGACGACCCTTCTTGCCATCGCTCTTTACGCTCCACCAATACAGACCACCAAACACGATTCTGCGACATATGCATTTTATGTGGAAAGCCTGCAAAGACCTCTGATAAGAAGAGAGGGATCGATGTCTATGCCGTGCGGACAATGAGGTTCCAGGAGACTTTGGTACAAGCCTTTGATGACCGGAAAAATGACCAATGGGCACAGGAAGTAAAGGCACGTTTGGAGTTCGTTCGTGATCTCCCCGCTGCCGATGCGGTTTACCACCAGCTATGCAATGTGAACTTCCGTACCAACTACCAGATCCCGTTGCTTTTCACAAACGAAAAACCTAAACGACGCAAGTCATCTGAAAGACCAACAAGCGACCTTCACGAGTCCGGATTCCAACGGGTACTACAGTTCCTAAGCGAGCATGCCGAAGACCAGATCACCATTGCAGTCCTTGTTGATCACATGAAAGGCTGTTGCGGAGAAGAGGCATACAGTCCAACACATATGAAGAGGAAACTTGTAAAACATTTCGGCTCTGACATTATCATCACGGAAATAAACGGAAAACCCAACATTATAACGTTTAAAGCTACCGCATCTCACATACTTAGTGACTTTTATCAGCGACCTCAGAATCAAGACCCAGAGGCTGAAAAAAGAAGTATTATCGAAACAGCAGCGAAGTTGATAAAACGGGATATTAAGTCTATGGATACTTCGAAAGTTGTGTACCCATCATCGTCAGAGATATCGTCTGGTGAAAAGAACATTGAATACCTTCCTGCTAGTGTACAGATGTTGTTGCGGTTGCTGTTCTGTGACCTGGACGCACAGGTTAAGATCGCATCAATTGGACAGGCCATAGTCCAAGCAACACGTCCAAGAGTCCTTATCGCCCCGCTCCAATTAGGTCTTGGCATTCAAATGCATCATCAATTCGCCTCGAAATTCCTAGTGGATACATTGCATCGACTTGGCTTTTGTGTATCCTATACTGAGGTACAAAAGTTTGAAACCAGTGCGGCTGCATCACAGGGAACTGATATCCACGGAATCACACCGGAGCACACCATCCAGTACGTTGCGGACAATGTTGACCATAACCTGAGGACATTGGATGGCCACAACACTTTCCACGGAATGGGGATCATTGCTGGTGTCACACCAGCTGTATCACGCCAACGACCTGTTCCGAGGATATCCGTAACAATGGATGAAGTAACTGCGTTGGCGAAGATTAACATAGACTTCTTCAAACTTCACACTAATCCACTCGAAGCGTTGGTGTTTGAGAAGATTCATGCGGTTCCGAGGCAGGACGCTACCTGGAAACTTGACTTGCTTTCCAAAATCTCATGGACTCTACGGTCCCATAATGGGTGGTCGGCGATGATGCATGCGGTACAGGATGGCGATTTACCGGGAAAATCGTCAGTTGTCTTTCTGCCAATGATCGACATGGACCCCAGCGATATGTCATGCATATACTCGACTCTACAATTCGTAAGCAAGGAAGCCAGACGGCACGGTGCTCATCCCATCCTGACATTTGAAGGTAAATGTAGACAAGGCTCGGGACGTCGGTCACAAAATCTTGAAATCTATGGAAGGTCGGAATGTTGTGGAACATGTCTTTAAAAGAAGTGAGCAGGCAGTTACCCTTAGTACCAAATCAACAATTAAAGTAGACGGTGAAACAATCCACATTGACCCTCAGCTACTTTTTCAAAGACTTATTGCCGCAGCAAACCGACTTGATGAGGACGCCTCCCATATCTTTGGCTATGAACTGAGCAGTTACCCGTCGTCTTTGTTCGATTCATCTGGACTTCCACGACCTGCACAGAAACCAGCACTCGCTGATGCCATATGGGGATTGGATGAGTGAGTGTCATTCCACGCCACCACGTGCACAAGTACATTTCGTACTTGACGGCGGGTCGCTGCTCCATCGCATTCCTTGGACAAGAGGGTCGATATTCTCCGATATTTGTCAGAAGTACGTGGAGTACGTGATTCGAAACTACAATCATCCCACAGTAGTGTTCGATGGATACTCGGCTGGTCCGTCTACAAAGGACATAACCCACGTACGACGAACAGGAGGAGCCATTGGTGCAAAGGTCGCCTTTACAGAGAACATGCCTTTCAGGTCAAAGAAAGAACTCTTCCTTGCCAATGCCGAAAACAAACAAAACTTCCTAAACATGTTGAGCGAAAAACTAGAACTTAGTGGATGCCGGACAGTTCACGCGATAGGCGATGCCGATGTATTAATCGTGCAAACAGCTGTGGAGAGCGCCCGTGACATCGCTACAGTGTTGATAGGTGAGGACACGGATCTTCTTGTGTTGTTGCTGTTCCATTCTGATCTAGACGCCAATGACATTTTCTTCCAATCTGTACAATCAGGAACTAAGAAAATGAAGATATGGGACATCAACAAAACGAAGAAAATCCTTGGACCCAGCACGTGTGCCCTCATGCCATTTGTACATGCCATTACAGGATGTGACACCACGTCTCGAATCTTTGGCATCGGAAAAGGAGCCCCATTGAAAAAGGTGCAAGGTGACTCTTACTTCCAAGAACTGGCTGGTGTGTTTTGTAGGAAGGCGTCGCACGAGGACGTTGTAGCAGCAGGGGAAAAAGTAATTGTAGCACTATACAACGGCGAGCACACCGACGGACTGGACACACTTCGGTACAAGAAATTCTCCAACAAAGTCATGTTGAGCACAACTTGTGTACAGGTGCATACATTGCCACCGACAACTGCTGCTGCTGCTAATCACAGCAAACGAGTCTATCTGCAGGTACAGCAGTGGATACGACCAGCCGAGCATTTGTCACCGTGTGAATGGGGATGGTATATCGCCAATGATAGACTGCTTCCTATGAGGACCCACCTACCACCAGCACCGGAACTGCTTTTAAAAGTTATCCGGTGCAATTGTAAAACAAACTGCGACTCAAAGCGATGCAGCTGTAGAAAGCATGGATTGGAATGTACCCCATGTTGTGGTGAATGCAAGGGTGTCAGTTGTTCGAACGGCCAAATCCTTATTGTGGAAAGTGACTTGAAAGACGAATCGTGATAACAAACTCGTCTGAGCTAGTAGATAATGTGTCGTGTCATAAACTTTGTGAACTACGAACAGACTAATACATGTATGCTGGATGACGTTTTCTAATAATACCGTAACAACATAACGTTTTAGTTGTCCCACTCGTCAAAGCGATGCAGATGTATATGTTTAGGAATGAGCAACATGTTGTGGCAAATGGTCGTCAGGTTTTCTATAAGTCGATCATACCATGAAGACACTTGCAATAATAAAACACATAAAACACATATAAGACGTTGATAGATGGATAGCTTTTCCAAAAATGATATATAACACTACATTATGTTAACAGATATCAGACAACCGGGGCGATCTCTATGGAAATTCAAAATTTACCCTGTCTGAAAATATTTGCATTGAAAATAACCAAACCTAATTTGTAAGACATCGATTGTCCATGTCTTTTATTAGATTAGTACATATGATTAACCCGTTGTTGTTGCAACAAAAAACATGTGTGCAATGTACATATTTGAAATTATTGAGAAAATATCGAAATATTTTTCATTTTTTGGGGTAAATTTTAGGGGGTATGGGTGTTTTGTGTCATTTTAACAAGATTTATAATTGGTAAAACATCTTAAACTTACATTCAAAATAACAATATAGGTCTAAGCTTTCCATAAATACTACTATAACAACTCATCATGTCTTAAACGTAACTCTGTCGTATACAAAATGTTTATGAACATGGACAATTAAATGGCACAAACAGTGGGGCATAGTGTTAAGTAAGACGTAATTTTCAAGACTTTGCCCTATTTAGATTTTTCTAGACTTTTGATACGTTATCTTCTGTATAAATAAGTGCAAGAAAAACACAAAATAAACTTTGTTGGAATTATGTATGGGTTGAGCCCTTTTTTGTCGTAGGCTGACTGGTCTATCATGGCAAAATATCATCACCCTAGGCCTCTTAGTTATTGTTTGAAGGTCTTGACATATTTCACCCCTGTGACCGTGAAAGTAAGTCATAGTCATTCATGTGAATAAACAATCCCTACATCAGCATGCTAATGTCAAAATATCGTCACCCTAGGCCTCTTGGTTATTGTTTGAAGGTCATGACATATTTCACCCCCGTGACCTTGAAAGTAAGTCATAGTCATTCTTGTGAATAAACAACTCCTACATCAGCATGCTACTGGCGATATGTCGTCACCCTAAGCCTCTTAGTTATTCAGAAGATGCTGTTTAAATTAAACAGTTGACACCAGGTGAACGTTTGATGGATGACGGACATCGCACCACGCCATGAGCTCACTGGGCCCAGTTAGCTTAAAACTTAATAAGGACATCTAAATTCATAGAAAGGGTACAGATATAAGGCAATATATTAATTCTTGCATACCAATCTGAAATATTCCTACTTTACAGCGCTAAAAAATTCAACTTGTCTTTACTGAATGCTAAAATACACTCCGCAGGTTGGTACAGAACTCTTTTTTTCCATTAACTCGTTAACCCCTGATATTTCGTAATGAACTATTCCAACCTTTGAATTAGAGCAGTTCAAATGTGTCTGCAGGGGAGAATGAGTTATTTGAAATGACTCATGTTTTGTTCACATCTCTAGAATACAGTCCTTGTAGACGGAGATGCTGTGTATGAGCTCAAGTGTCAAAAACAGAAAGATTGTTGAAAAAAAATGTTGCTCCCGTTAATGTCACTATTTTGCTCCCGTTAATGCCACTATTTTGCTCCCGTTAATGCCACTATTTTGCTCCCATTAATGCCACTATTTTTTCATATGAATTTGTATGCACTACATTTTATAAATTGACAACTGTAAATCAGCTGATTTCAAAATTCTAAGTGGCATGCAAGAAACAGAATCCATCCTTAATTTTTGGTATAGATAAAGTATGAACGAATATCGTGGAGAGATCCTTTACAAATGACATGCAGGTTTCTGCACAATATTCTCCTGCTAATGAAAGGACATTTATCATGTTCGGTCCATACCTGTCTATGATTAAACAAACTAAATATTAATACTCTCCATGCAAAAGAAATAAAAATATAATACAATAAGGCTAAAGCAAGAAGGAAATAGAAGGATTGCGAAAAAAATAGGGAATCGAGGAAATGTACATTTTATTTTATTATACTGCCACAATTTGTCTAGTAATTTTTTGGCATTATAAAAGGTTTTGGTAATAGCTGTTGAGGGAGACATATACAAGAATGGAAATAAAAAATACAATAGTAAAGGTTCACAAGCCTTGGGATATGTTTAGTGTAAGCGAGGTGGCAAATGAAACAAGTGGTATCATGTATCCAGGTCCTACTAGTATACAAGTAAGATCTGTACTGTGCTGATTAAGGATGCCTGACCAGTCTAGTGTCCCAAGACTTTTTCTCATAACATCTGAAAGCACACTTTTCCTTCAGCTGTTAATGACATTACAGTGATTTTGAAAGCTGACTACCAGAGTGAGCATGCATTTTGACAAATTATCAACCAAACATCATAATCGCAAGTTACTGTAAAATTGTAGTTACTGCTCATTGCAGAATTGAGACAGTTACAAAACTGATGGCATATTTCTATTTATGATGGAAAACATTCACAAGTAAAGAATTTAATTGTATTTTTTTCATATATAATGGCAACCTTTCAACTGTGAGCAGGGATAGTAGCAAATATTTTATTTTAGAAAAATGATGCATATTAAAAAAATAATGGCAGCATTTAAGCTCTTTCAAGTATCTGGATCTGGCACGCTTATTCAGCACTTGATGGGATTGAAGGGGAACTAGGAAGTAAGGTTGTAAGGGTATATATACACTTACGCCTCTGCATTCTGTCTGAAGCGTTGGACCAAGCCTGGATAGGGATTATAAGGGAGCTCAGGCCGGTCCAGTAACAGGGTCATTAGTCTACGAAAGGATTCAACAAGCTCTGTCTCCTCCAGGTAGTCACGGAAACGCTGCATTGTCAATGTGTCATAACCAATGGGTGGGTTGTACAGTTCTCGCATAACTGTTGAGCCCTAGGGATATAAAAGAATTTCTGTTATATAGATTCTCACCTGTCCAGTTATCACAGGAGTTTTAACTAACTATCCCCTGACATTTAGTTATGTAGATTGAAAAAGTGTCCTCCCAGATCATGCCCTGGTTGATTATACCCGTTATATCACTTGAGTTATCTCCCTTGACTTACAGTTATGTAGATCGAGATAGTGTCCCTCTCAGATTCCGTCAAGTATGATAAAAAAAAAAAGATTATACCCGGTATATCATTCAAGTTATTTCCCTTGACTTACAGTTATATCGAGATAGTGTCCCTCACAGATTCCGTCTGGTATGATAAAAAACATATTATACCCGTTATATTATTCAAGTTATCTCCCTTGACTTACAGTTATGTAGATCGAAATAGTGTCCCTCTCAGATTCTGTGCGGTATGATAAAAAACAGATTATACCCAGTATATCATTCAAGTTATCTCCCTTGACTACAGTTGTGTAAATCGAGATAGTGTCCCTCACAGATTCCGCCCTGTATGATAAAAAACATATTATACCCAATATATCACTCAAGTTATCTCCCTTGACTTACAGTTGTGTAGATCGAGACATTGTCCCTCACAGACCCTGCACGATCTGGCGGAGGTCTTTGTCGCATCCCGTCGACAGCTGCTAATTTGTACTTTGCTTTCTGTTGGAATAAAAAAGATTCAAATATAAATGTCAATCCTCACATGGCAATATCAAATTTGAGTCCTTTATCATTCTAGTTGTCACTCATCTCAATTTCTTTTTTCAAAAGATATTGAATCGCATGCAACTTTTCCTTAACAAATATTCTATATATATGATATACAAATATCACAAATATTTTACTATTAAATGATGGCTACCTACCTTCTAAAGAAAAAAATCTCTTTAGTCTAATTAACTTATATCACAGGATAAAAAAAAATGAAGATAACTATAAGGTGTCTTAAACCAGATACAATTTACCCTTATCATTACAAGTACAAGTTGTAATATTAATAAATTTGTTTAAAACTGTTGATACTTCCTCAATTACTGCTGTTATCTACATGTATGCACGGTGCATGCTTTACAAAAAGAAAATAATAATACAACTGTAACATACACCACCAACCTGAACAATTCTAAATTTTGGAAATAAACTCATGATTTAATTCAAGCTCCACTTGGACACTAATTAACCACTGTTATATATATTCAACCATAATACATGCAGAGTGCACTACAGATCTTGATAATTTTCCTAAAAAGAGACCTGCCATGTCTTAAAAACACCTTCAACTGAAGTTTTACAATTGCTTTTGTCCTTTCAGCAGTGCTACAATTGAATAATTTTCTATGGTAGCTGTGACCACATGACAATGATGATATACAAATTAGTGGTTAACCAGTGTCTCACAGAGTAGTTTTATTAATGTTCAACAGATCACTACTATAGCCAACCCCTGGTGAATTAGATGTCTGTTTGTGAAAGAAGAAAAAAAGAGAATATTTTTTAGTACATGTATAATGAAATAACAGTATTTCATGTGATGATAAAGGAAATATTTTCATATTTTTCACCTGTCTTCAAATTCTTTACACTTTTCAAATGAATACAAAATTTGTAAAATTATGATAAAGAAAAGAATCTATTTAGATTCTGCTTAAAAATAACAAATTAATTGATGGAGAATGTATCAAGTATTGTCTAATATAATGACATACCCATAAAGTGTCAATTCTGTTTGGGGAAATGAAAGGTACTTTATGTTTTCATGACTTACATCTATTACAATTATTCAAAGATTTAATACACATTTTTGGAGGCCTGATTTTGCCACCATTCCCCAAGGGTAATAAGTTTTTTCATTATTTTTTTCTTAATGGTGATAAAAAAACAGAAAATAATTAGTTAAGATTTCTTTTTACATAAATTTTAATGCAAATATCCTTTTGTAAACAAATTATTTCAAGTCTTACTCGAATTTGGATACCTGTTTAGCAACGTATTTTCTTTTCAAAGTAAAAGGCCCCTTTAAACCAAAGCAGAAAAAAAGGAAATAAACAGAACACTGAAAAAAATGTATAATGATGCATAGCTAAAATGTGATTAAGCCGCAAAACTTGATAAAAATATGGTCTTGTGATGACCATCCGATATCCTACAAAAAGCATAAAAGCATTTGATCACTGAAGAAACTAGAGCAAAATATTTTTTCTTAAGGATTCTTTGACAAAATCAATACTGCATCTCATAAACCTGTTCTAATGCCCAACCAGACTACATTGTATGTGCTAATACGTAAGTAACTGTATAATTATGTTGAAATACATTTCTAAGATGTCGTCATTGGTGAATGAAGCGCATAAAATCATAGCGGAACTGGACAGCTAGGTCGAGTGCTGGTGACCAGATGGTTCAATTGGTTAAACATCCCTCAATAGTTCGAAAGTTCCCAGGTTCAAAATCTGGTCTGGCCATGCATTTTTCCTATACTGTTACAGTACTAGTGGTGCCTGTGACCAGCCTTGTTTGAATTAGTGGATGTATACTTTGCAACTGGATACCTGAACCTAGATGTAAATGGTGTTGTTCTCCAGGGGAACAGACTTAGAAAAGGAGGAATACACATAGTGGAACTGGACTGGGTTGATTGTCAATGAAAACTGGTAGCTCAATTACTTACAGCTTCTGTCTAAAGTTTGGAGGTTTACCAGGTTTGAATCCTGGTCTTTTACAAAAGGCTAAGTTATATCAAATATGGAGGTCACACAAGAGACTTAAAAGTCTCCACAATGAGTAATTGGGCTTTTAGCAGTTAGTTCCACAGTCTGTGATTGGTCCTGGGGACAGGAAGAAAGACTCTTTTGGAGTGTTTGATTTCATACTTGTAGATTAACCTTAATTGTCATATGTTCATACTGATGGCTGTCACATGACTTTGGATGGTCATGTGACAGTGAGAGTTGAAGACTAAACAAAGCTCAATCCTCTCATACCGGTTTGGGGATGGCTGTTGCAGATTGGCTTCAATTGCTATTTTTAACTTCTCTGGGTGTAGTACTCCTCTAAAGTAATCAATCCGACTTTGTCAGTGCACCTTCTAAGACCAAACACATTACAGCCAGAAGGGACCATCACCTAACTGATATGCTACCTGTATAAGCCCTTTAGATTTGGTTGAATATCCTAGAACAAAAATGTTTTGCTTTAGTTTGAGAAAGAAAAGTCAATCATGTCATCAAAGCAAGGTACATGTACAAAACTTAATTAGTTGCATATAAAAGCACCTGTCTGTCACAGAAATAAGTTTCCAAATTTCACCTTATAAGTTTTATAAAAGCACTAAGCAGACATTTGGCAATTTACATGTGCATTGAATTTTTCAATGTGAAAGTTTGTTGTCATTCGGTGTTATAAAGATTTTCTTTTTTTTAAACAAAATTGTTGGTTCCAATTTTATGATTAAGGTGATATTTTAAATAGGATAAACAAAATTTCAAACTTCCATGATCAAATTTAGTCTTGTTGAATGAAATTTGAAAATGTTTTTTAAAGTTTCCAAGCGTTTTGTTTAAAAGACAATGATAAATTACTTGACTGTTTTATTTTTTCATCAGAGCAAGGTAAATTAGTTAGATAGTTGTAAAGGTATTCAATTACAATTTAGTGTTAAAATATCACGTTTTTTGTAATGATTATAACAAATAAAAGTTGAAAATTTATTTCATGTGACTCAAATCAAGAAAATTCCAAAGAGTAGAAACAACAAACATTGGCTATAAATTTTTGAGTACAAATACCTGCAACTTCCTGTCGGCACGTGTAGCCTGAAAAATGTCAATTCATCATAGAAATTGTCTTTTTTCTCCTAAGCTTTGTGTATTTTAGATTGATTACTACAACAATAACCTGTTAGAAAATTACTCCTTCCATAAAAGTATCATAAGGGCTTCCTTGTCATCGATAAAAGTCAATAAGTGGATCAAAGTGGGGTGTGAGGTTTACCACTTCCTCCCCCCTCTAAACATTTGAAGAAAAGTAACCATTTTTATTTGGTCAGTCTTCAAACAGATCATTGGTATATGACAATCTCGAAAAAAAGGAGGAAAAAGACTCCACATCATTCTGCTTGGCAATTTTCAGGTACGTGTACAATTTATGAAAACATCCCAGTAGTGATAGATGTTTAAAACGATTTCTTTATACAATTTGAATGTTAAGTAAGTAACTTTAGCTAGATAAACATGATAACCAAACACTCCTCTATTTCTACACGTTATTTTTTTATATACTGTGTCTAAATGAGTCGGTATCATTGTTTTCTTTGATACGGGATATATTACCTTCCATTTCGAAGCACCTGTCCGTGAAGACTGACGAGACATTCTTCTTTTTAGATATCAAACAGCTGTTACTCTTATAGATTTGAATTGAAAAACAAGTAATGATCAATGCACATCACTTGGGACAATGATATCGGCAATAGCCTGGCATTTCTGAAAGTTTCTCATAAAATGTCGACAAACTCGGCTAGCAATACTGTGTTTTCATTCATTCAATTTGTAGGTTGCTGTTTATCAATGTTAAATCAAGCATTGTAGGGTCCTATTTTAGACGACAGATCTTGACCGTATCAAGCATGTGCCCGTATCAAATGTAAACAACAATGGCGGGATGGCAACTCAATCGCTGTGTGGCCGTATCGGCAGCCCAACCCTAACTTGGCCTAAGGCGAAGAATTGCTTCAAAGTAAAATAAAATGAATTAACATAATTAAATTCACCTTATGTTATCTAAAATGAAAGAGTAAAATTCACTTGCATATGTTGAATGCTTGCTATCGTCAATGTATTTAATTTGATCCCCTGATTTATATTATAAATTTAGACTTATATTACGTGAGCATTTCCGTTCATGTAAGGCTGAGGTAACGATTTGGGGCAAATTCAATTTTAAGCGTCCCGGCGTACGTGATCTTCAAGCGCTTCGAGGAACTTTCACTTTCACAAGTTTGGATTTAGTTGAAGTTTGAAGTTTACTTGAGGTGATGTATGCCTAGTCTTGAAGATATTTATGAAGGCAATTCTAATATTGACAAACTTGGCTTCAACCTATTGTTTTAAACGCGTCGCCTCGTTCCACTTTTGAATCTGATAAGAATTATTGCTTGACTCATTTGCCTTATTTGAAGTGGAATCGAATTAGATTATTTTCTGTCTAAATCCGTGATCGCATTCAAAGGCTATCCTACGGCGTTTTCGATGGAGAGGAACATTCAGGTAGTCACTTTTACAGATCATGTCAAGTTCTCATTTACAGTGAAGTTCTGGATAAATATACACTCAATATGCACAGTGCCCCCCCCCCCCCATACTTACTAACTCTCCCTATTTAGTTTATAGGGGAGATTACCGATTTTTGACCCTTAAATTTAGCAGTTTTAAACAAATGAATTTGTTTAACTATTCCTATATTTGAAGATCTAATGAGTTCACCAGAAAAAAATATGTCCTTTAAGTTTTAAAGTGTTATTGTTTCCTGGCACATACTTAGATAATCTAATTCCATGTTCCTAGAGAGTAATAAACAAATTTGATTAATGTTTAGATTTTGAGCATGCATAATCTCCCCCATGGAAATTTCAAAACGTTGGCAGGTATATGCTCCTACAGACGTATATAATATAAGACTCCGCTTGTCGGCTATTTTCTATCGGATATGATTATGCTGTTACAACTTCTCATCTGCAATAATGCACCAGAGGTGCTATGCAGATTATTGGTAGAAGAAGACCTTGAAATGTACATGGCGCCTGTCAAATATTTTAAGAATGCCTCGTGCTTGTTTGTTCATTGCTATATATGAAAGTCATCAGGATATCTGTAAACTTTATTTGGGCCTGCACTATTATGCTGACAGCAGCCAATATCGACTCATCATAGGATCTGTGTGTAATATATTTCCACTGTGCCGTTATTTCATCAAGATATATCTCATGTCTACGTGACATTTTTGACTCTACATAAGAACATTTTATAATTTGAACTGCTCATCGTCTGTAAACTTAGCAAAAATTTACATTAAGTTCGCCTGAAAGATTGAAGAATTGATAGCTCATTAAGAATCACACATAAATGGGCAGTTTTGCTTTATACATTTTTCATCATGCTCCAAATGAATCTCGATTAAAGTGTGTTCGAGTTGTCTTTCTTTGAACACTGAATCAAATTTGCAGCATGGAAACATATGACAGCTATATACTTCTGGCAGGTGAAATTCATTGACAAATATTTATTAGTATTTAAAAAAAAACGTTTTTCAGTTGTTTTTTGTTTCGGTTAGTTGATTGTACACATGTTATACACAATCCTAGATGTAATTTAAAGTTTTCTGTTGATATAAGTACAAGATTGTGATTACTTCTTAAGGGCACGGAAACAGATGAGTGACAATACAAGGATAGTATGCATCAGCAAGTCCAGCATCCATTACTGTGACCTCCATATCAACATTTCTGATGACCAATGAAAAGTGATTTTTTTTATCGAAACAAAAGTAACACAAGTTTATCATAACTAACCAGGTTTGTATCATGAAATTAATGTCTATAATTTCTCTTCTAAATTACAGGTCTTCACTGCCATGGATTGTTCATTGTGCACTGATGTACCACCTGTATAAGCCCAACCATGTCTCAGTCTAAACCAAGCCTTAAAAACCAGAAATGGAAGGTAGTTTATCAATTGTCAGATATATTTGAATGCTGCTAGTGAGAATTTAAAATTCATATAGACATCTACATTATTTTTTTGCCAAAATTAACATATTTAATTTGTATGATTGCGTTGTAAATGCTATTTCAGAAATCTAAAACCAATGCATTTTTTTTTAGAAAAGAACAGCTGTGGCACCTTCTTTTAAACAATTTGGAAAGGAAAAATGTTTCTTACCTCTAAACCACTAACTTGATAGTGGGACAATCTGGGTAGTGTCGGGTCTGGTGACTGGATTATCTCGACTTGATAGTAGGACAGTTGGACAAGTGGTGACTGGATTATCAGGACTTGATAGTAGGACAATAGGACTAGTGGTGACTGGATTATCAGGACTTGATAGTAGGACAATAGGACTAGTGGTGACTGGATTATCAGGACTTGATAGTAGGACAGTTGGACAAGTGGTGACTGGATTATCAGAACTTGATAGTAGGACAATAGGACTAGTGGTGACTGGATTATCTTGACTTGATAGTGGGACAGTTGGACAAGTGGTGACTGGATTATCAGGACTTGATAGTAGGACGATTGGACAAGTGGTGACTGGATCATGGGGGCTTTGATAGTGGGACAATAGGACTAGTGGTGACTGGATTATCAGAACTTGATAGTGGGACAATTGGACTAGTGGTGACTGGATTATCAGGACTTGATAGTAGGACAATAGGACTAGTGGTGACTGGATTATCAGAACTTGATAGTAGGACAATAGGACTAGGGGTGACTGGATTATCTTGACTTGATAGTGGGACAGTTGGACAAGTGGTGACTGGATTATCAGGACTTGATAGTAGGACAATTGGACTAGTGGTGACTGGATTATGGGGACTTGATAGTGGGACAATAGGACTAGTGATGACTGGATTGATAATGGGACGATTGTATAATAAGTGACTGGATTATGGGGCTTTGATAGTTGGGCAATTGTATAATAAATGACTGCTAGTGGTGACTGGATTATCAGAACTTGATAGTGGGACAATTGGACTAGTGGTGCCTGGATTATCAGAACTTGATAGTAGGACAATTGCACTAGTGGTGACTGGATTATGGGGACTTGATAGTAGGACAATTGGACAAGTGGTGACTGGATTATCAGGGCTTGATAGTAGGACAGTTGGCCAAGTGGTGACTGGATTATCAGGGCTTGATAGTAGGACAATTGGACAAGTGGTGACTGGATTATGGGGGCTTTGATAGTGGGACAATTGCACTAGTGGTGACTGGATTATGGGGACTTGATAGTAGGACAATTGGACAAGTGGTGACTGGATCATGGGGGCTTTGATAGTGGGACAATTGGACTAGTGGGGCCTGGATTATCAGAACTTGATAGAAGGACAATTGGACAAGTGGTGACTGGATTATGGGGGCTTTGATAGTGGGACAATTGGACTAGTGGAGGCTAGATTATGGAGGCTTTGATAGTAGGACAATTGGACAAGTAGTGACTGGATCATGGGGGCTTTGATAGTAGGACAGTTGGACTAGTGGTGACTGGATTATCAGAACTTGATAGTGGGACAATTGGACTAGTGGTGCCTGGATTATCAGAACTTGATAGTAGGACAATTGCACTAGTGGTGACTGGATTATGGGGACTTGATAGTGGGACAATAGGACTAGTGATGACTGGATTGATAATGGGACGATTGTATAATAAGTGACTGGATTATGGGGCTTTGATAGTTGGGCAATTGTATAATAAATGACTGGATTATGGAGATTGATAGTTGGGCAATTGTATAATAAATGACTGCTAGTGGTGACTGGATTATCAGAACTTGATAGTAGGACAATAGGACTAGGGGTGACTGGATTATCTTGACTTGATAGTGGGACAGTTGGACAAGTGGTGACTGGATTATCAGGACTTGATAGTAGGACAGTTGGACAAGTGGTGACTGGATTATCAGAACTTGATAGTAGGACAATAGGACTAGGGGTGACTGGATTATCTTGACTTGATAGTGGGACAGTTGGACAAGTGGTGACTGGATTATCAGGGCTTGATAGTAGGACAATTGGACAAGTGGTGACTGGATTATCAGGGCTTGATAGTAGGACAGTTGGCCAAGTGGTGACTGGATTATCAGGGCTTGATAGTAGGACAGTTGGCCAAGTGGTGACTGGATTATCAGGGCTTGATAGTAGGACAGTTGGCCAAGTGGTGACTGGATTATCAGGGCTTGATAGTAGGACAGTTGGACAAGTGGTGACTGGAGGATCAGGACTTGATAGTAGGACGATTGGACAAGTGGGGACTGGATCATGGGGGCTTTGATAGTGGGACAATAGGACTAGTGGTGACTGGATTATCAGGGCTTTGATAGTAGGACAGTTGGACAAGTGGTGACTGGATTATCAGGGCTTGATAGTAGGACAGTTGGCCAAGTGGTGACTGGATTATCAGGGCTTGATAGTAGGACAGTTGGCCAAGTGGTGACTGGATTATCAGGGCTTGATAGTAGGACAATTGGACAAGTGGTGACTGGATTATCAGGGCTTGATAGTAGGACAATTGGACAAGTGGTGACTGGATTATCAGGGCTTGATAGTAGGACAGTTGGACAAGTGGTGACTGGAGGATCAGGACTTGATAGTAGGACGATTGGACAAGTGGGGACTGGATCATGGGGGCTTTGATAGTGGGACAATAGGACTAGTGGTGACTGGATTATCAGGGCTTTGATAGTAGGACAGTTGGACAAGTGGTGACTGGATTATCAGGGCTTGATAGTAGGACAGTTGGCCAAGTGGTGACTGGATTATCAGGGCTTGATAGTAGGACAGTTGGACAAGTGGTGACTGGATTATCAGAACTTGATAGTGGGACAATTGGACTAGTGGTGCCTGGATTATCAGAACTTGATAGTAGGACAATTGCACTAGTGGTGACTAGATTATGGGGGCTTTGATAGTTGGACAATTGGACTAGTGGTGACTGGATTATCAGGACTTGATAGTAGGACAGTAGGACTAGTGGTGACTGGATTATCAGGACTTGATAGTAGGACAGTTGGACAAGTGGTGACTGGAGGATCAGGACTTGATAGTAGGACGATTGGACAAGTGGGGACTGGATCATGGGGGCTTTGATAGTGGGACAATAGGACTAGTGGTGACTGGATTATCAGGGCTTTGATAGTAGGACAATTGTACTAGTGGTGGCTAGATTATAGGGGCTTTGATAGTGGGACAATTCGACTAGTGGTGACTAGATTATGGGGGCTTTGATAGTGGGACGATTGGACTAGTTGTGACTGGATTATCAGAACTTGATAGTAGGACAATTGGACTAGTGGTGGCTAGATTATGGGGGATTTGATAGTAGGACAATTGGACTAGTGGTGCCTGGATTATCAGAACTTGATAGTAGGACAATTGCACTAGTGGTGACTGGATTATGGGGACTTGATAGTGGGACAATTGGACTAGTGGTGACTAGATTATGGGGGCTTTGATAGTTGGACAATTGGACTAGTGGTGACTAGATTATGGGGTCTTTGATAGTGGGACAATTGGACTAGTGGTGGCTAGATCATGGGGGCTTTGATAGTAGGACAATTGGACAAGTAGTGACTGGATTATCAGAACTTGATAGTAGGACAATTGGACTAGTGGTGACTGGATTATCAGAACTTGATAGTGGGACAATTGGACTAGTGGTGGCTAGATTTTGGGGGCTTTGATAGTTGGACAATTGGAATAGTGGGGACTAGATTATGGGGTCTTTGATAGTGGGACAATTGGACTAGTGGTGGCTAGGTTATGGGGGCTTTGATAGTGGGACAATTGCGATAGTAGGACAATTGGACAAGTAGTGACTGGATTATCAGAACTTGATAGTGGGACAATTGGACTAGTGGTGGCTAGATTTTGGGGGCTTTGATAGTTGGACAATTGGACTGGTGGTGGCTAGATTATGGGGGCTATGATAGTAGGACAATTGGACTAGTGGTGTCTAGATTATGGGGGCTTTGATAGTGGGGCAATTGGACTAATGGTGACTAGATTATGGGGGCTTTGATAGTTGGACAATTGGACTGGTGGTGGCTAGATTATGGGGGCTATGATAGTAGGACAATTGGACTAGTGGTGGCTAGATTTTGGGGGCTTTGATAGTTGGACAATTGGACTGGTGGTGGCTAGATTATGGGGGCTATGATAGTAGGACAATTGGACTAGTGGTGACTGGATTATCAGAACTTGATAGTAGGACAATTGCACTAGTGGTGTCTAGATTATGGGGGCTTTGATAGTGGGACAATTGGACTAATGGTGACTAGATTATGGGGGCTTTGATAGTAGGACAATTGGACTATTGTATAATAAGTGACTGGATTATGGGGATTGATAGTGGGACAATTGTATAATAAGTGACTGGATTATTGGGATCGATAGTGGGACGATTGTATAATAAGTGACTGGATTATGTAGATTGATAGTTGGGCAATTGTATAATAAATGATTGTATAATAAGTGACTGGATTATGGGGCTTTGATAGTTGGGCAATTGTATAATAAATGACTGGGTTATGGGGATTGATAGTGGGACGATTGTATAATAAGACACTGGATTATGGGGATTGATAGTGGGACGATTGTATAATAAGTGACTGGATTATGGAGATTGATAGTTGGGCAATTGTATAATAAATGACTGGATTATGGGGATTGATAGTGGGACGATTGTATAATAAGTCACTGGATTATGGGGATTGATAGTGGGACAATTGTATAATAAGTGACTGGATTATGGAGATTGATAGTTGGGCAATTGTATAATAAGTGACTGGATTATGGAGATTGATAGTAGGACGATTGTATAAAATTATTTTTCGTCATATTCTATCAAAGCTATGTGTAGAATTTTGCTGATTTGGTGTGCAGTGAATGATAACCCATGAATGCATGACTTAGAATTAATGTAATTATAAATAGCCTTTTTCTTTTGCAGAAAGCGCAATTCAAACTAGCAGCAGTAACTGGGGTGCACCGGCGAAAACCTCCCACGCGATTGTCTGGGACAGCAAAATCGAGTCTTGGAACAGCCGGCCTTCATGGACCTGGGTCACAGATGTTTCGAGATACTGCATCCATTCATACCTCGGTAAGACAATAAGGTCCTATATAACTATCTTGAAATGAATTTTTGTGCTCGTACATGTAGATGCAAACTTACACAAACTAGTGTGTTAAGTACACTTGTGGATTCCATGTATTTGTCTTTACAATAAACCTTTATAATCTCCCATTATATACAATTGATTTCCTGCTCCCACTTCTTATGGACCCTTGAAATAATATGTTTGTAATAATGTTTTGCTTTGTTATTTTATTAAAAGAAATTAATACTAATATATGCACCAAATATATATATATATCCTGTTGTATTCAAACCTCTTGAAACTGCCAAACTTATCTATCTCGTTTCTTCTATATGGTGAATCTCACAAAAGTTCTGTTCATTGACATAACATGAGCTACATTTTCATGCTTACTAGCAAGTAAAAATGTTGTTACTTATTGTTAAGTTTGATGTTCTTATACATTTTGTTAGCGGAATCAGGGACGTATATACTGTCCCTGGCGGAATACATCAGAACGAGTTGAAGTATGTCACTATGTTAAACAATGAGATTAAGTGCATGCCTAATGACTTATGATGGGTGTATAGTTTTCTGCACCTTTTGTACTCTTCATGAGCGCGAATTTATCATAATAGCAAATACAAGTTAAGACCTTAATGTACATAGTAATTAAACCTAAAGGGCAAAATTGAGACTGGGCAAATATGTATTCGATCTATTGGTGAAGGGCTAACATATGACAGGGCAATAGTTTCCAAGTATACGTCAGTATTTCACTTTAAAATTTAATCAATATTTTTCTTTTAAAACTTGTTTCTGTAATACACTTATATACATTGTTTTCAGGGTTCTAATATTGTGCGGGAGATGTACCAACCTAAGTTTGGATACAATACAAAGACCATGCAGAGGTTTATGGAGTACCTAAAAAAGACAGACCTTGAGTCCGTGTTCCAAGTCCTCCTAACAATACTACTCAACCGGAACGAACTCCCTTATAACCCTTACCCAGGATTTGCAGAGAAGATCTATCCCTATGTTGAGAAGTAGGCACAGTACAGTTTTAAAATCTGAAAGGTTGACAAGTTTTGTTTGGATCAAATGTATTGTAAATTATCTTGTTCCTGTTCCTTTTCGGCATGTTATCACAAAAATATTCAATTGTTTGGGTGTTAGATAATAACTCAAAATATATTTAAATTACTGTCTATCTCCAAAAACAAGTTTGGATATTGTTCAGATAGCTTGCCAGGGTAAAGCAAATTTTCAGAATTAGATTTTTCAAAATATCTGAAAATTTACCTATGCAAAGAGGTTCCCCAACAAATGATGGTTAATTATCATGAATATCTAACTACATGTAGAGTAAGTTAGATTACAAATTGTACAAAAAGTTAAGGTTTAAATGTCTTTGTACAATGTGAAAATTAACTAACTCGAGTTAGATAAACAGGATAACTAACCATCACTTGTTGGGGACCTGTTTCTGTAATATCGTTTGTATTTCATCTGGAAAACCACATGTTTCTCTTTGAAAATACATTATGTCTGTTACTGAAAGAGGAAACAATCGCCATGGATCATGACATCACAATGGAGGATGACGTCGTAAAGCATTGTTACGTTACGTCATAATCAAAGATTGACCAATGACATCGTTAACCACTAGTGTGTAATCAAAAAGGTTAACCTACTCCTAGCAGCTTTATCCAATGAGTTGTGAGTGAGGAAAACTACAGTGGTTGTGGGAGAAATGTATTTCTGCATGTATGTTCCTTGTCGGTATGTTTTGCATTAACTCATTCACCTCTGAAGATGCATTTGAACTCTTCCAATTCAAAGGTTGGTATAGTATATTATGAAATTTCAGGGGTGAATGAGTTTAGTTGTTGATAATCTAAATAGACCTTAAACAACAAGGCTGTCGGATATTTATATAAAAAAAAAAAGTTATATAGCAAAAGTTGAAAGTATACAAATTCAAAATCATTATCTGAAGGTAAAAACACAAAAATATTCACGAATTTAAAGATAATTCCTAACTGTGATTTTTTTTATTAGTTTTACTGCCAAATACAATGCTATATTTTCCCAATTTATAAAGGAACAGGCTGATGTAAAAAATTAGTTAACAAAAACACTGCCTATAATGACATCAAGTAAAAGTTAAAGATACACCAGGTAATGACTTGGCCATTTAGGAAATAAGACTTTGAATGAAGAACTCAAAAGTAGAACCTTGTTGTTGTTTATTATTTTACAGAAAACTTACTGTTGAGGAAGAAATATAATAAATGTACTTCATCACCATACTATATAGCGTACCCCCAATTTTAGAATTCATTTCGAGGAGAATTAAATCAAGAAAAGAACTATTCAGTCAATGATACATAAAAAGTTATGGACATAATAAATATTTTCCTGCCAAAAGTGGCTCCATAGACTATCCCAATCAGCTTTTATTGATATTTAAGTATCATATTCTAAAATTGTTTGTTTTGATGACACTAAATTATAATCGTAATAAATCTTAAATGTCAGATAAAGCTCAATATAAATGATCAAGGGAGATAATTACAATACATTGGAGAGGCAGGATGTGATAAAAGTAACAATACTTAACAGGTATTATGTGTTTATCATGTTCTACTTTTATTGACAGGTTTCATCTGTATCAGATTTCTGAAGAGAAAATACAACACATGTTACGTAAGTGTTCACTTTTCAATATGAATCATTTGACATTACAATAAAATGTTGGAAAAAGCAAGAGTTGCAGCAATTTATTTCTGAAGGTGTTTCAAAAATGTACATTTTCATATTTTAAGTAATAAGTCTGAATGCTCCGCAGATTATTTGCGTGTAATTCTGTGGATTTATTCCGTGGATATCCATGGATTCTGTGGAAAATATACACCTGGGTTAAGTCTCTGGTGGAACACAGAGCCTATGAAAAGAGGATCACATAAACTTCTATCTGCTGGATATTTGATATATACATTCAGTCATTTAAATGTTTCAATTTTAATAGTAATTTACATTAGAATACATATTTTCTTTTTTCATTTTTGAATAGAGTTGATGACAGTAAATGATTTTCATTGGAATAGAATTGTGTCATATTATGTTTTTCATGATGTTAAAGTAGTTATCAATATTTGACCTTTGACCTACAGGTAACAGCCTGAAGGAGACCAGAGTAGCCCACCTGTTTACTGTGCGTAACATTGAGATGGTGTGGGGACTGTCTAGTGTCCTTAGAGTGGTCAGTGCACAGAGACTAATCCGTTATAAATGGCTGGTGGATGACTTAATCATTGACCCTAAGAAGCTGACTTTAGAGGAAGGGTACACTGTAAGTAGATTGAGCTTGACACACTGTCATTTTCATGATTCATCTCTACCGTTTCTTTACCAGCTTGGGTGATGATCATATATATCTTTCGTATCATATGAATATAGAATATGACCTTTTGCTGTAGTGATTATCATGTATGTGACCTTGTAGGCTGTGGTAATGGTCCTGTGACCTTATAACTGTGGTAAAGGTCATGTGACCTTGTAGGCTGTGGTAATGGTTCTGCGACCTTATAACTGTGGTATAGGTCATGTGACCTTGTAGACTGTGGTAATGGTTCTGTGACCTTATAACTGTGGTAAAGGTCATGGGCCTTGTAGGCTGTGGTAATGGTCCTGTGACCTTATAACTGTGGTAAAGGTCATGTGACCTTGTAGGCTGTGGTAATGGTTATGTGACTTTATAACTGTGGTAAAGATCATGTGACCTTGTAGGCTGTGGTAATGGTCCTGTGACCTTATAACTGTGGTAAAGGTCATGTGACCTTGTAGGCTGTGGTAATGGTTCAATTTCTGTGACCTTATAACTGTGGTAAAGGTCATGTGACCTTGTAGGCTGTGGTAATGGTCCTGTGACCTTATAACTGTGGTAAAGGTCATGTGACCTTATAGCCATGGTGATAATCACATAGCCCATCATTTGTGATAATGATCTTGTGGCCTTATTTTTTTGTGACATTGAATCTTGGTAATCACTGAAGATTGTCTGGCTTTTAACAGGCAGATGTAATCATCTCTCTGGTTGGGCCCTGCGTGTTTGAAGGAACTTTTTTCAGCACTGCTCATCATCTACAAATCCGTAAAGAATATGTTTTGTATGGTGAAGATAGTACCAAGGTAAGCATCCATCTTGGAGCAGAATACTTATTCTTATCCCTCATTTTTGACTTCCTATCTTGCTTTTTGCTCAGATTCAATTAATTCATTCCATTAAATAACTTAAAGTATTTTAGGTTATTATTTTGTTAAACCTTTTAGAAAATTTGAGATATTGCTATGCAGCATCTCCCCAATTAGAAATTTAAATAGAAGGTTAGCAACTATCTATATGCACCAAACATTACAATAGGATATTGGAAAAAGAGGCAAAATAGTATACTTGAAGCTTTAATACTATAAAAAAAACATGTTACCATTTTGTGCAGGGTGTGGCTGAATTTGTACAAATTGTCGAAGTTGAAATCAATGAGATGTACACATCAAAACAACACCAAATCCTGGGCGTGAACATGCTTGTCAGTGATGTGGAGGGAACAGGAGAGCATCAAGAGTTTTGGGAGCCAGACAGGATAACACAAGAACAGGTAGGATAAATTATCATAATTGATGTGTATCTAAAGAGATGTCCCAATAATTATATCCCTAACAACAAAAATCTCCAAAACTTTTGGACTGATTACAATATAGTGATACATCTTTTAGGGAATATCGGTATACCTGATAGTGAATGGGCAACTTTTAAATTGAGTTTTAAGAGGGCCACCATGGTGCCATGGGGTAAACTTTGTTTAATCTTGGTTGGAGGATACATATAGAGATTATACTTCATGTTGCAAATACAAATTTTAATACTTTTCAATTCAAGATGGCCACAACGGTCTCTGATTGACAAAGAAAATGTTGGCTTTACTTTATAATTCATGTACAGTAGAAAGGCCAACTTTTAATTTTCAGGATTCAAGATGGCCACCATAGCTTTGGATTATTTGGGACAATTATGGTCATAATATGAGTTGTATAGAGCCAACTTCGCTAATAACTTGTGGGAATAATATGTAAGGGACATCCTTGGTATTGAACTGATGAATTTAAAGTTTCAAAATTTAAGATGGCTACCGTAGCCTCTGATTTGATAACACATTAATGCTCAATAAGTTGAGTTCTGTTTGGCTGATTTCAATATCAACTTTTGAAATGCTTTATTAACGACTGATTGGATAGTGAAGAGAACATTGCATTTGGTAATAGTCCCATTTTAGAACTTATAGAGCTGATACTAATTTTATCAAAGTGTGTACCCATTGTCATATATTGTAATATATTTTTCATTTGAACATTTTCATGTTGGAGCTGGAGGGTATAAGTTAGCTTTTGGCTTACATTTCTATTTTTTGCCTTATTTTAATGTTTCAAAGAGATACATATTGAGCAGTTGCCATTTTCATGACCTTTGACTATTCACTTGGTATTGTTGGGTATGTATCTCATAATAACAATATTATTTGGAGTTATAGCCCTTTGTTCATTTTTATAAAAAAAAATGGTCCCGAGGTGGGGGACTACAGAATTCCTGCACTACTTTGCCCTGATGCTTCAAATACAGTCAGATAAAGTTACATTCAATGAATCAAAGGAAGAATGCGAGAAGGGATTTTAAAAACTTGAGTATTTTGACAATTTTTGGTCCTCTGTGTAACCTACTCCTTTCTCTCTAGAATTATACTACTCTACAGCATGTAAGTTTTACACCATACTTTTTTTTACCAGGAGATTTTTGAGAAACAAATGACGGACACTGTACAGAGCAATAAGTTCATCAAAATGGAGGTAAGGTAATTCCTAACTCAGCCCATAAATTATCTGAAATCTGGTAGTGCACAGTCTTAGATCTGGTAGTGCACAGTCTTAGATCTGGTAGTGCACAGTTGGAAATCTGGTAGTGCAGTACAGTCTTAGATCTGGTAGTGCACAGTTGGAAATCTGATAGTGCACAGTCTTAGATCTGGTAGTGCACAGTCTTAGATCTGGTAGTCCACAGATGGAAATCTGATAGTGCACAGTCTTAGATCTGGTAGTGCACAGTCAGAAATCTGGTAGTGCACAGTCTTAGATCTGGTAGTGCACAGTCAGAAATCTGGTAGTGCACAGTCTTAGATCTGGTAGTGCACAGTCAAAAATCTGATAGTGCACAGTCTTAGATCTGGTAGGGCACAGTCTTAGAACTGGTAGTGCACAGTCAGAAATCTGGTAGTGCACAGTCTTAGATCTGGTAGGGCACAGTCGGAAATCTGATAGTGCACAGTCTTAGATCTGGTAGAGCACAGTCTTAGATCTGGTAGTCCACAGATGGAAATCTGATAGTGGACAGTCTTAGATCTGGTAGTGCACAGTCAGAAATCAGGTAGTGCACAGTCTTAGATCTGGTAGTGCACAGTCATTCATAGATCTGGTAGTGCACAGTCTTAGATCTGGTAGTGCACAGTAATAGATCTGGTAGTGCACAGTCTTAGATCTGGTAGGGCACAGTCGGAAATCTTATAGAGCACAGTCTTAGATCTGGTAGGGCACAGTCTTAGAACTGGTAGTGCACAGTCAGAAATCTGGTAGTGCACAGTCTTAGATCTGGTAGTGCACAGTCGGAAATCTTATAGAGCACAGTCTTAGATCTGGTAGTGCACAGTCGGAAATCTTATAGAGCACAGTCTTAGATCTGGTAGGGCACAGTCTTAGAACTGGTAGTGCACAGTCAGAAATCTGGGAGTGCACAGTCTTAGATCTGGTAGGGGACAGTCGGAAATCTGATAGTGCACAGTCTTAGATCTGGTAGTGCACAGTCGGAAATCTGATAGTGCATAGTTGGAAATCTGATAGTGCACAGTCGGAAATCTGATAGTGAACAGTCTTAGATCTAGTAGTGCAGTCTTAGATCTGTTAGTGCAAAGTCGGAAAACTGAAAGTGCACAGTTTGAAATCTGGTAGTGCACAGTCTTAGATCTGGTAGTGCACAGTCATTCATAGATCTGGTAGTGCACAGTCTTAGATCTGGTAGGGCACAGTCGGAAATCTGATAGTGCACAGTCTTAGATCTGGTAGTGCACAGTCTTAGATCTGGTAGTGCATAGTTGGAATCTGATAGTGCACAGTCGGAAATCTGATAGTGAACAGTCTTAGATCTAGTAGTGCAGTCTTAGATCTGTTAGTGCAAAGTCGGAAAACTGAAAGTGCACAGTCGGAAATCTGGTAGTGCACAGTCTTAGATCTAGTAGTACACATTCTTAGATCTGTTAGTGCACAGTCGAAAATCTGATAGTGCACAGTCGGAAATCTGGTAATGCACAGTCTGAAATCTGATAGTGCACAGTCTTAGATCTGATAGTGAACAGTTTGAAATCTGGTAGTGCACAGTCAGAAATCTGGTAGTGCACAGTTTGAAATCTGGTAGTGCACAGTCAGAAATCTGGTAGTGCACAGTCGGAATATCTGGTAGTGCACAGTCAGAAATCTGGTAGTGCACAGTTTGAAATCTGGTAGTGCACAGTCAGAAATCTGGTAGTGCACAGTTTGAAATCTGGTAGTGCACAGTCAGAAATCTGGTAGTGCACAGTTGGAAATCTTGTTGCTAGAGCACAGAAGACAACCAACAACTTTCCAAAGGCAACACTTTCTATGCAATATATCACTTGGTAAACAGGAATTCAATTTTATACAGTATACTGTATTGGGAAAAAAAGTCTTACCATGCTTTCTTGTATTAAAGCCAACATTGTCTGTGAAGAATAAGAGAATATATGAAAATGTTATGCTTTTCTCATACAAAGACAGTACCTTTGGTTAACAATAGACTAATCATTCTCAATATTTGAAAAAAATGTAGATATGGAATTTCAAGCTAAAGTTCCTTTTTATATTGATATTTTACGTTACAAACCATGAAGATATTTTCCAACATGATAGTTTTCTGCATGGACACCCCACCATTGCTTGTAACAATAAAAAATTATGCTAGCATTCAACGTTAGGTTCTGTAATAAGAATTTTGTATTTTGAGGCCTACACATCTTAACTTTGTAATGATAGAAATGATGCTGGATTTTCCAACTTGATAACAAAATAAGAATGTTCTATATCAATGCCCCCTCACCTCCTACAGGAACAGTTATATAGTAAATGATGTTGGAATCGTTTTGTAACCTTACTTGGTATACAAAGTGGAAAAAAAGTTAAATACAGGTTGAACAATTATAAAAAACACAGTTTGTATGGTTCCTTGTTCGATCATTGTGAGAGTAAATTATTTGATGAATGATGAATTTTGTTTGAGTTGTGATTCCCTGTTATATCAATTTGATTTTTAGACATCTGAAGGGTAAACATTTGATGACAGAAATTAATTTAATAGTTGAAAATATTTTGAAATAATATAACAGATATTGTCACATAAATGTATTTATCCCACAGTGTGTGTTCCTGTTAGACCCAAACTACCCAAAGTACATCAGGGGTCAAATCCAGTATGGCCTCAACTTCATCACAATCAATGAAAAGAAAGGGGAAGAACTGTGAGTAGGGTCAAGGTCATGTGTAATACATGAATTATGAATTATCAGTTGTTTGATTTCATTGTTATGGGGTTAATGACTTGATAATTGCTTGTTCTGTCAAAACAAATTATCATATTATTGATTTTATAATAATCACTTTAACAACTTTTTAAAACGTTCTGGGATAATTTTTTCAATAATTAAAGGTTAAAGTTAAAATGATTTCGGAATAATTGTTTTCACAACTAAATGGTTAAGGCAAAATTCTGGAATATTAACTTTCGCAAATAAATATTTGGCACAAGCAATCATTCAGGGATAAATGTTTTAAAAGTGATAATTATAAGATAATTTTATTCATAACTACATTAAGCAACTATATTGCTGTAAAAGAAAAATCTTACCTTCATTTTTTTATTAGAAAATTCAACAAAGGGTTCAACAATTTAAAGATTTATAATTAAAATACTGTGTTTTGATCAAGTTAAGTTCAAGTTCAAGTTCAGCAAAATAATGTATCATTCAAAGATTCATCGCACAAACAGAACTAGATCAGTCAAACCTTAAATTAGAGTGAACAGATTTAGTTTAATGTGAGTAAGGAAACATCACTATAAATACAAGGGAGACAACTCAGCTTAAGATAATAGTAAACAGGAACGACACAAACTTTGGGGTTTAACCTGGTAAGACTCTTGGATAAACATGTTAGTTGACAAAAATGAGAAGATCTATACTGATATGATATATGAGCCAATGTACACCTAGAATAAGAATTGATCAGCTATATATATATATATGTGTGTGTGTTTTCCAATGGCAGATCATTATTGGGGTATTTTATAGGCAAAACCAGTACATTAACACACAATAATATGATCAATTGAGAAATTGTGCTTTAAGTTTGATATATTGATATTAATAGCAGTCATTAACTGGCTTAACTAAAACTATAATCTCATGCTGATCAGCTAATTATAACAGATTAAATTTGAATGAAATGTGTGATGTGTGTTTTTGATTAATAATAATGTTTGTTGCAGCTGGAGTCTGGAATGACTTGATTGATATGGACTATAACTAACATGGTAATAAATTATTGATACAGAATATAACATTGTAATGATTTATTGATACAGACTATAACTAGATGTATCATGGTCATGATTTATTGATACCAACTGTGGGAACCATAGCATAAATAGTTTATCAAGTTTTTAGTCACCCCTGGGGGAACCCCAGCGGGGACTATTAATTTCGGTTTCATTCCCAGATTTTGACATCTGTTGCCTAACACTGTGAAGGGCTTTCGTGTGTTTGCTTCTGTCGCTAATTACAAGCTCTTGGATAACTCAGATATCGATTTTCCTTTAAAAAGGAATAGATCTAACATACAACCTAAAGGTGGTCCGAATTTCAAACTGAAGATGTTCCGAATATGAATCGGGCACCTTTGAGGTTCCCTAAGGGGTAGACTGTTATATTACATATTGCTATTGATTGATTTAGATATTTTATGTCTGACCAACGACTGTATTAGTAAATATTTCTTTTTAAACCAATATGAATGTTGTAATAAGATGTTCAGGTAGAAAAGCTCAATAACATCTCTTTTTCTTTATCATTTCATGCCAAGGCTCGCGCTTGTCGCTACTGGCTCCTAACAAAGGGACCTGAGAATTAGTCACAACTACATTTGGACCTAAATTGAGGTGTTCAGAGTAGTTTTACATGTTTTAGGGTTGAAATTGACTTTCGGTAAAAATGACACCCAAATGCTCATATACACGAGAAGGGAGGAAAGCTCTCGATGTTGAAATGTCGACCCCACCTAACTTTCTTGCATCAATACAACATTTCTAGTTGAGCTATGGGAAAATGCTTAGTACCGTTTAAAAGATGGGTAATTTTTCTTTTAAAAACCTCCTAAATGCATATAAAATGTATTCTCCTTCTGCAGACATGATCTCCGTTTCCTCCAAAAATACACACCATTTCAGAGTGTCAGAGTTTCGCAGTCAGCCTGCCACTTTTTTTAATATTAATCAGGCTGACGTCAGCCACTTGCTGAGACCCGTGGTGTGATTGGCTGGAAGTTCAGCCATTTTTTCGCTAAACCAACCAACAACACTGCTTGTTTCAGCACGGGCTGACATCAACCTCATTAATATTCAAAAAAGTATAATCACCTTCAGTATTCACAAAATATTTAATTCACCAATGAGTCTACTCATGAAGCAAGGTAAAAATAAATCTCATTATTGCAAAATTAAAGTGATTTATAATAAACTAAGTATGATTTTTTTATAAGTTAACCCAGAATATAAATAAGATAATAAAATTTTATTGATACATGTATATACTAAATACTTAATGAAGTTACATAATATACAATTTAATTAAAGAAGACTTGTACAGGTATATAGCTAATATATGGATAATTTTAGTGACAAGAACCATAATGATGATTAAGAGTATTTCATTGATACAGGGGGAACTATAGGTTTGCACTCTGTCCGTCCTTCTGTCTGAGAAGTTTGTTCGGGACATATCTTCTATACTATTTCACCTGGAGTAACCAGATTTGTTGTACAAGGACATCTTGGGATACCGGAGTGCAAAGTGCAAGAATTAGGTCACTGTGATCTATGACTTTGACCTTTACTTTTGAAAATGTTTGTCCAGGGCAAATCTTTCACAATATTTCACCTGGAGTAACCAGATTTGGTGTATAAGGACATCTTTGGATGGTGGAGTGCAAGAATTAGGTCACTATGACATATGTTTTGACCTTTGACCTTAACTTTTGAAAAGTTTGTCAGGGGCATATGTACTATTTCACTTGGAGTAACCAGATTTGGTGTACAAGGACATCTTGGGACGGTGGAGTGCAAGAAGTAGGTCACTATGACTTCACTGTGATCTATGCTTCCTGACATAAGTTTACTGTTTGTTAAATATAGAAATCATTACCAGTGGGGGACTTTGGATTGCCTTGCAATATTATATATTGAGGTTTTACTGTTATACATTATATAATATTAAATATTGAGGTTTTACTGTTATACATTATATAATATCATATATTGAGGTTTTACTGCTATACATTATATAATATTATATATTGTGGTTTTACTGTTATACATTATACAATATTATATATTGAGGTTTTACTATATGTTTAAATCAAAATTAAACAAAAAACATCTTGAACAAAAGCTATTTTGTTTGCTTTTTCAGAGTGACAAGTTTCTGTGAGTTTCCCATGGCGACGCTACATGAGGGAGTGTTCCTTAAACTTAGCCATGGGGAGGCCTACATGGCGCTTTATATGCCTTGGCTGGCAGTCCATCAGAAGGAAAACAAAGAGAGGGATGATTTGTTTTGTTAGTAGTTTTTCGTGATCGTATTGTACAGTTATAGAATGGGTATGTGGGAAATAGCCCATTTATGGTCCCCGAGGTGAAAAACTTTCCCGAGGCGTTGAAGCCGTCGAGGGGAATAGTTTTTCACCAAGGGTGACCATAAATGTGCTATTTCCAGAATCACCCATTCTATAACTATTTTATTAAAACGAAACGAATTATTAAAGGCAATTTAACAAATGAATTCATTTATCCATTTCCTTTTACAATTTCAAAGAGAGAAAAAATACAATTGGAAGTACTGTATGCATCGTCGTTGATGATATCTTCATTTCTGGCATTCAAGAAGTGTATTTATAGACTGTATCTCACAATCACCATTGTTTTCCTACCATATATAGTCCCATCCACTTTTAAGTTCTGCATAAAACTTGCGTGGACACACGTTCACCTCCTATGAACTTGCTTGACCCTAATATTGTCGACGCTTCCGGCATTCCGTTCTGTTAAATAAGTTTAAAGTGAATTCACTGCAGTCTTTAAAACAGCTTTTGTATTTAGGTTACGTTTAGCGTCCAAAATCTGCTGTAACTCCTCTTTACAACAACAAAACGGCCTTCATCGATGACCATTTCGCTGTTGTCATTTGGTTCCGAAAATGTGACGTCACGAGCGTCACGGAGATGGCCCCGCCTACCAATGTTTTCATTGGTTAAAATCTTATAAGCTCTGCCTACAAATATTGATGAGGGAGTAGTCCTCTTTCTGGCAGGGAGTAGTCCTTTTTTTCAAGGAGTAGTCCTAATTTGGGGAGGAAGTAGCTCAGATGGAGAGATTTAAGTGATTTAATGGAAATAGGATGTTATATCGTATTGTTTTATATAGGGAAAACTCAGTTGAGGTAAAATAAACTGATTTAGGGTTTCATGCTCCACTTAATGCAGAGTTGAGTCCTTTTTGTTAACCTTTGATACGTAGTTTGTCAAATGTAAAGGTCTATAGATTGCTTCATACTTTTCCCTGTTCAATATGACATCTATGTTTCATAACTCATCTCATAAAAGATCATTGAGATTGTAATGCTAGTGTACAACGTCATTCCTGTCGTCAACCCTTTCTTTCAAAAACTTACTTCTCCAGAACAATCGATCAGATTTCAACCAAATTTGCTATGTCACATCCTGGGACAAGCAATCCCCATGTACAAAGGAATGGTGTTGTGTCCCTTAAAAATTTGAGATAATACTTATGTATACAATTGCTTGACACAAAAAGACTTATACAGATACATGAGCAGGATTGATTTGGAGGTCTATTTCCATCTGTAGGTACTTTAGGTGGTTATGACATGGAAACAGTTGAGATCCTTTCCAAGATCCCTGTAGATATGATCAATATGATCAATATTATAGAAATAATGTCTATTGCCACTGAACCTTCCTCTATACATTATACTGGAAGGTAAAACCTCCTAAAACTGCTATTGACAAAGCTGATATTCTGTCTACTCAGTTGTTGTTACATTGCTTATAATTGAATTTTCCTCAGATATCAGTGGAAAGCATTTGGGTGAGGAGGAAGAGGAGGAGTATGTTCTTGAGGATCTGGAGATCGACTCCGCTAGAGAGCATGTGTTTGATCGCTTTGACCCAATCAAACCTCGTAGGGTCAAGATTGATGGGTTTGGTGGTATGCGTGAAACCCAGGACAGTCCTTACGCTTCTAATATTATCACACCTCTAAGGTAAATCTACACTGCACAGGTAAGTCTCACTTCTCAGGTAAATCTACACGGCACAGGTAAGTCTCACGTTACAGGTAAATCTACACTGCAAAGGTAAGTCTCACTTCTAAGGTAAATCTACACTGCACTGCAGGTAAGTCTCACTTATCAGGTAAATCTACACTGCACAGGTAAGACTCACTTCTCAGGTAAATCTACACGGCACAGGTAAGACTCACTTCTCAGGTAAATCTACATGGCACAGGTAAGTCTCACTTCTCAGGTAAATCTACACCGCACAGGTAAATCTACACTGCACAGGTAAGTCTCACTTCTCAGGTAGTCTACACTGCACAGATATGTCTCAGTAGGTCCATGCTAGATATATATGTTCTTTGTTTTCCTGGCTCAGCAGGCCCATCTTATAGATTATTGTTCTGTGTTGCCTGGATCACCATATCTGTTATAGATAAAAATGTTCTGTGTTGCCTTGGTTATCAGATCCATGCTAGAGATGAGAGCAGCAACAGAGAGTGTGAAGATAGCAACAACTCTAGATGCCTGCTACACCTCCATTCTGCTTCTGCTGCTGAAGAACAGGTAACCATAGTGACTGATTACACAAGTACAGAGTGTTACAGCAAGTAAATCACATTATAGCAGCAGTGTTCTCATTAAAAGCCAGATGCATCAACTTTGAACTGGCTATTTATAGGTCAACATTATATCATATGAACATTCAACTGGCTATTCTTTTCAAGTCAACCACATACTTCTAAACTAAGTGAGAACACTGAACAGGTACATTATTTCCAGCTTTAAAAAACACTTTCCCAGTGATTGTTGACCAGACAAGCACCTTTATCCACCTATTAAATCTGTGTCTCAAAAGGGGGATACATATTGAGAGATATTGATATATTCTTTGCACTATTCAAAGTCCCCACCATTTTGTGTCTGTCTCGTCCTGTCCCATTGCTTCCCTTTATAATTAAATGCCATCACTCTAGTAAGTTCATTTGTTAACAGGTTGTGATCAAACTTAATTAAAAGGTCAAGAAAATCTGGAATGAGCTGTTGTTTCAGGGTTCCAAGGTCAAGGCCAAGGCCACTGTGTTACAATATACAGAAAGTTGTCAACCAAGTCAATGACATCACTTCAGCAACTTCATTTATTGACAGCTTTCCATACTTTTCAAAGTTTGTACAAGGGTCAAGTACAAGAATACTTTGAATCTGAGTGTATTCTAGGAACCAAAGGTCAAGATTACTGCTAATGTTTATAGATTATAGAAGTTTCTTTTAAAAAATGACTTTTTTTTGGCATGGGAGTAAGGACATTCATGTCTTGCAGTTATTTTCAATTTCTTATGCATAAAAGTGCAGCAACTTCTTTTGCATGAAAATTGCTCTTTACACAGCTTTTCTATACAAATGTTAAGGAGCATGACATGTTAAATGCATTTGAGATATAACTTCCCTTGTAAATTGATAATTTTGTTTAATTAATTTTTTATTTTATTTGTAGAAATGATAACGACAAGAAATTAGAAATGGAGATTTATCGTTTGATGCATGGAACTGCTGGTCGGGTGTATGACCTAATGGAACAGAATAAAAGTGTTCGCTACATCATCAAAGGCTTTTCTAATGTAAGTTATAGTTGCAAGTCATGGCTGATTCTGTTGAGGTCTGAAGGGCTGTGTCAGGAGTGGATCAAAATGGCTGATTCTGTTGAGGTCTGAAGGGCTGTGTCAGGAGTGGATCAAAATGGCTGATTCTGTTGAGGTCTGAAGGGCTGTGTAATGATCAGGAGTGGATCAAAATGGCTGATCGATATGCTTTAAATGACTACTCCTTACAAACTGCTAGGCAGATTTCTACAAAGTTTTATTTGAAGCATGTTTATGTATTATCCTATAGAGATCAATCAAGTTAAATAAATAAAAGGGCTGACCCTCCTGGGGGCTGAAGGGTGGAGTCAAATGGGTCAAATTGGAAAATTTGCTTAAAACTTCTCTTCCTAACCTACTTGGCATGTTTTCACAAAATTGTGGTGGTTACATTTTTAGCAAATCTGGATGAAACAAAAACATACAAATGAATTAGTTAACCCTTCATGGGGGCTCTCCTCCTTAACCACTGGGTAGATTTTAACCTATTTTTCATAATAGGCAGGAAAGCAATTAAAGGCCTCTTGTTTTAACTACTTATTTCTGATTGGTCAAATATTTTGTCAATTATGAATAATGAACAATTTACAAAAAGTATTTGTCTTTCAAATGATGTCATAAAAAGTACTTGTCTTTAAATGATGTTATAAATATGACTTAAGATTATTTTTTCTGGTTATACTAAAATATTGTGTGTACAGTTCATAGCAAAGTGATGTAAATTTCATATTCTGTTCTTTATTTCCTTTTAGACTAAAGAAGTTGGTGTTATACGGGAACACCTCGTGACGTACAGGGACGCCATAATGAACCTGTTTGACAGTAGTCTGTAAGTAGGTGGCCTGTGGTTTACCAATCTATTGCAAAACATTTTAAAGACAAATTGTATCACAATATTAACTATAGTGTATTCATTCATATTTCGTAGCAACATAAACCAGAGACTGTTGATGAGCATATACTTTTGCACTTAACAGTAGGTTAGACTCTGAATTTAGCACCATATCTTTGATTGGACTTCAGGTTAAGCTAAATATCCATGGAAGGAGAAGCACCACAAATTTGTATGTCTTACACACATTTTCTAGTGTGACTTTCTGTTACATTCGTACACATACCTTGCAGGAATGTTCGTAGTAGTGAGTATATTACCGTGGGCCGGGCAATGGCTGCCCAAGTGGACGACATGATCCCAGAAAAGTCTGACGTGTTTGCTACTGTTCCTCACATAGAGATGGTAAGTTACATCCATTAAGCTGTTTAGGTTTGTTTAGTCATTGACCTGGCTGATAACAATTCAATGGCTAGAGCATGCATTTAGAGTCCAGAAGGGACTTGGTTTGAACCTCAGACTGGCTGTTATTAGTGTTAACTCCCCTAGCTTTTGTATGGCACTCTTTGCTATAGTAAAGCAATTGCCTACCCTTATTGGAGCTCTTCATTGGTGATACAGCACAAAGCGTTGAGACTCCTTAATGGGGGAAGGAGGGG